GTCAGCAACCTAAGGCCCATGGGCCGGAAGCGGCCTGCGGAGGTCGTTTGACCGGCCCACAAACTGCCCCCAAACCGAGCTGTGCTAAACCAGCGCGGTGTGGGGACTTGCTTCCGTGGTGCCAAAAATCGCATCTGTGGACGCACAGACGCCGAAAACTGCAGGTGCGCATGTGCAGATGCTGAAAATCGCGTGCATGATCCGGCCCACGGAGGGATCTCCGCAGGACCGATCCAGCCCAGGCAAGATAAACCTTGCTGACCCTTTTGCATTGGTGGTTCAGTGGTAGAATTCTCGCCTGCCAAATGGTTTCTCACTGCTTCACTCTCAGCACTATAGACAGATTCCCCCATGTCTCCTCAGCTAGGGTTGCTGTATTCCCAAAAGTGAAAATCCAGACAACATAGCTGAGTTTTTTGGTGTGTTTTTTTTGGTAAAAGTTTGCTCCCCCCCAAAAAAAACACCCACACACATTTTGGGGCTTTTCTGGATTTTTAAAAGCTTTTTAAAAAATAAAATAAATCGCCCTACTTGCCATACGTTTCAGATTTTCCTGGACATTTTGCCAATTCAGTGAAAATCCGCCCAGATGCCATTTTCAAGTCCAATTCCCAGATGTGTATGGGAAAACCAGGACGTATGGCAGCCCTAAAGGTAAAGGGACCCCTGACCATTAGGTCTAGTTGTGACTGACTCTGGGGTTGCAGCGCTCATCTCGCTTTATTGGGCGAGGGAGCCGGCGTACAGCTTCCGGGTCATGTGGCCAGCATGACTAAGCCGCTTCTGGCGAACCAGAGCAGCGCACGGAAATGCCGTTTACCTTCCCACCAGAGCTGTACCTATTTATCTACTTGCACTTTGACGTGCTTTTGAACTGCTAGGTTGGCAGGAGCAGGGACTCAGCAATGGGAGCTCATCCCGTTGCGGGGATTCGAACCGCCGACCTTCTGATTGGCAACTCCTAGGCTCTGTGGTTTTAACCCACAGCACTACCCGCATCCCATGGCAGCCCTACCTCAGCCTAAATCAAGCGATTCAGCTGCCATAGCAAGCGTTCTACCATGAAACCACTCTGCCTTCCTCTCAGGTCTTTTCGATCTTTCTCTTCTGGATGTCCACCAAGCACCAACCAACACGGACTGACTGACTGACTAGCAGCATCCAGCCATATATTTGCTTTTTCAGGCCAGGGCAGCCAATCACATAGTATAACCAAGAATTCTAGACCTGCAACTACCAATCAGAATGTGCACATGTTCTATCCTTTTGCATACTGAGAGTTCTACCTCCAACTGCTCCTCAGTTGTCAGTTAACATCCACCATGGCAGTTAAAGCAACTTTCACCTGACTGGACAGAAAACCTCACTGAACATTAAAACAACAGAATGCATTGCACAATGCCCATTAAAGCACAATTTAAACAGACAGGATTCCTTCACAACTATACACACACTTTCGTAAAAGCAATCAGGGATTTAGGCAAGAGTACTATGAAATACTTCTTTTTAAATGGCTCTTCAAATGGAAGGGAAATAATCTCAAATACATGGGGATTCCTCCTCACTAGTTACTTCTGAGCCAGTGTGGTGTAGTGGTTAAGAGTGGTAGTCTTGTAATCTGGGGAACCGGGTTCGCGTCTCCGCTCCTCCACATGCAGCTGCTGGGTGACCTTGGGCTAGTCACACTTCTTTGAAGTCTCTCAGCACCACTCACCTCACAGAGTGTGTGTTGTGGGGGAGGAAGGGAGATTGTTAGCCGCTTTGAGACTCCTTAAAGGGAGTGAAAGGCGGGATATCAAATCCAAACTCCTCCTCCTCCTCTGCTGCTGCTGCTGCTGCTGCTGCTGCTGCTGCTGCTGCTGCTTCTTCTGTGACATGGTTAATAGAACATCGTTATTATGGTGTCTTTGTAAACCATTTTGAAACATTGCTGAAGGGCATATAAATCTTAAATAAAAGTGGATGTTTATAAAATGATACTGATACTGTAAATTTTAAACAAATGGCACATGCTGATTCTTAGGAGGAACATTCAGGAACTTAAAATGAATATATAACTCGACTAATGTATATAATTCATGGGATTCCAATTCATATTCTCCGATCAATTTTTTAAAATAGAATATATTTTTACAAAAATTAATGTGGGTGCCTTTCAGGCAGATCACACACAGTCTAAACCAAATTTCAGGGAGAAAGAATGAGGTTATCTGATGTATGTCATCACAAATAATGTGTCTTAAAACACACATTTACTGTAAGTGGAGGAGGGAGACCATCCTAATCTGTATTAGGTTTACTGAAAGGACTATACACTGGCATCCACGTTTAGAAAGAAGTCAGATATTTTATCTCCTATAATACAGATTGCAAGAAATATATAGAAACAAGTGGTGGTTATTCAAAAAGATACTAGGCTTTCTCCAATAATTTACATTTCTCAATGTAGCATAATCTGAGTGAAAAATGGGGGAGGGTATTTATTTGGAGTTGAAATCACTGTGAAAGGAAAAGTACATTGATAAAAACTACAATATGTAGCAAGCCATTCCAACCAAATACTAAATATTACTTATTTAATTTATGAACTGCTTCCTATGAAGCATCCTGAAGCGATTTCACAGGACAGTATAAGCATATGTTAAAACAACTGCACCTATAGCAAAAATTTCAAATCCAACACAGATACCAGCTGGCATATCTGTCTGTATGGTGCCCATCCAGTTTGAACACTGTAATTCAGTCTAGCCAGTTTGGGACAAACAAGGTTTCTGCATGAACCTGAGCACTGGATTTGCAGCAATATGAGGAAGAGTTTTGTAAGGAGGAGTTTCGGGTGGGAATCCAAACTGGTCCCAGCCCCCACAACCTTTATAGTGGGTGCAGTGTCCTTTGTGACTGCCCCCCTAAACAAAGCTCTCCAAGGTGCAACTTGGGGGTTATAATACTGCTGAATTCTGCATGCCATCCACTGGGACAGCTCAGTCAGTAGAACATGAGGCTCTTAACCTCAGGGTCGTGGGTTCAAGCCCCACACTGGACAAAGAAATTCCTGCATTGCAAGGAGTTGGAATAGATGACCCTTGTGGTACCTTCCAACTCTACAATTCTATGTTCCTCTCTTGGACCAACCTGCACAAGGCATGGACCTACATCACAGAGTTGTTGGACTACATCAACCGTCAGTACTACCACAAGACTACATTGCAGGGTTGTGGTAAGGTGGTTTCTTGCAGCTGGAATACCAGGCAGTGCCAAATTTACGTATAAGCTAACAAGCAATAGCTTAGGGCCCCACTCTCCCCCCCCCCCCAAAAAAAATTCACTACAGTGGTACCTTGAGTTACAAACTTCTCAGGTTACAAACGCTTCAGGTTACAAACTCTGCTAACCTCGAGTTGAGAACTTTGCCCCAGGATGAGAATAGAAATTGTGTGCTGGCAGCCTAGCGGCAGCAAGAGGCCCCATTAGCGAAAGCACGCCTCTGGTTAAGAACAGTTTCCGGTTACAGTGGTACCTCAGGTTAAGAACTTAATTCGTTCTGGAGGTCCTTTCTTAACCTGAAGCACCACTTTAGCTAATGGGGCCTCCCTGGCGCACGATTTCAGTTCTCATCCTGAAGCAAAGTTCTTAACCCGAGGTAATATTTCTGGGTTACAGGAGTGTGTAACCTGAAGCGTATGTAACCTGAAGTGTATGTAACTCAAGGTACCACTGTATTAATAAACTTACTAATTGTATCTCAGTTCAACAATTACTTGGACAAAATACATATTTTGTTATGTTCAAATGGCTTTAGATACCTATTAGGTCCATAAATTACCATATAGCATGTATTCAACAAAAAAAGCAACAATTTGTTGTTGCCAAATGACAGCTGGACATATAAAGGGCCCCATTCCGTCAGTAGCGTAGGGCCTCATCAAACCTAAATCCGGCCCTGCTGCCAGGAATACCAACTTGGCCCCGCGATTGAGGGTGCTATGCAGCATGCATGGCCTGGGGGTACAGAAATTTGTGGATGTTCAGCCCCTTAATGGGGAATTTTGTGGGTACTCGGGCACCCCAGGGAGTGGGCACCTAGGCGACTGCTTGCATCGGAATTCGGGTGGGCAGGGCTGCACTCCAGAGGTGGGAGGGATCCTGAGGGTCATCCATCCATCCATTCCTGCAATGCAGGAATCTCAACAGGGGGTCTCCCACCCATTATTATATATACCGCCCTATACCCGGCATATATTACCATTAAAAGTTATTATATACCATTAAATGGTATATAATACCATTAAAAGAACCTTTTAATGAGGGTGAAAGAGGAGAGCGCAAAATATGGTCTGAAGCTCAACATCAAGAAAATGAAGATCATGGTCACTGGGCCCATCACCTCCTGGCAAATAGAAGGGGAAGAAATGGAGGCAGTAAGAGATTTTACTTTCTTGGGCTCCATGATCACTGCAGATGGTGACAGCAGCTACGAAATTAAAAGACGCCTGCTTCTTGGGAGGAAAGCAATGACAAACCTAGACAGTATCTTAAAAAGCAGAGACATCACCTTGCCAAGAAAGGTCCGTATAGTTAAAGCTATGGCTTTCCCAGTAGTGATGTATGGAAGTGAGAGCTGGACCATAAAGAAGGCTGATCACAGAAGAATTGATGCTTTTGAATTATGGTGCTGGAGGAGACTCTTGAGAGTCCCATGGACTGCAAGAAGATCAAACCTCTCCATTCTTAAGGAAATTAGCCCTGAGTGCTCACTGGAAGGTCAGATCCTGAAGCTGAGGCTCCAATACTTTGGCCACCTCATGAGAAGAGAAGACTCCCTGGAAAAGATCCTGATGTTGGGAAAGATGGAGGGCACAAGGAGAAGGGAACGACAGAGGACGAGATGGTTGGACAGTGTTCTCGAAGCTACCAGCATGAGTTTGACCAAACTGCGGGAGGCAGTGGAAGACAGGAGTGCCTGGCGTGCTCTGGTCCATGGGGTCACGAAGAGTCGGACACGACTAAACAACAACAATATGAAACTCTGCAAGCCGTTTTATTGTCACGCCACTAGCAGACACATTGAGAAACAGCAAACAATGCTTTCCTACGTAAAGGTTTCAAAAAACAGAAACTCCCATATCTTTGCTGCAACTTTTTTTTGGGCGGGGACTGGACACCCAATACTTCCGCCGGGGGGCTCCGTTGAAAACGGCTTCTCGAGACGCGAACCAGGAAGCGCCTTCTTCAGGTCAGCGGCGCGCGACTCTTCTTTTTTCGTACCTCTGCGGCTGCGATCTCCTGGGTGACGCGGACGCGGTGGAGGCAGTTGAGCGCGCATGCGCACTCCGCCCCTTGCCCTCCCTCACACCCCTCCGTGCGGCGGCCCCCTTTTAAACAACGCCATAGCGAAGGGGAAAGATGCAGGTGAGGCCCTGAGGGAGAGCGGCGGTTGGGTCGCGCGCGCGCGTAACGCTGTGCCTCAGGGGTGGGCCGTGAGGCCTATTATTAGGCAGAGCAGCCCCGCCGCCCGTGGGGGCCGCTTCTCGGGGCTTCTCTTGGCCGCTCCCCTTCACGCCTTCCGCGGGGGGAAGCGCAGCACGAAGGTCCCCTTCAAGGACTTCTGGGGCTGTTCACTTTTTCTCCCGCGCTCTCTGTGCCTTCAAAAGCTTCGCGACAGGCAGACATTCAACAGGTGGAGTCATCGCCTGTGGGGAGAGAGAGCTGTTGGATATTGGGGAGACTATTGGGCTTTTTGGCGGGGGGCTTTTAATAATAATATGACCTGCCACGCAGGACCCTGCCAGAAAAACAAACAAACTACGCATTGGCCTCCGCCTGTCACAGCTGTGTGGCAAGGGATTAGAGAGAGAGAGAGAGAGAGAGAGAGAAAATCCCTGCCTATTTTACAAAAACTATACCATTCGGTATTCCATTATCCATCAAAACTTCCTTACCCTGTTGATTTTATCTTAAGGCTTCCAGCGTTTTCAGCTGTGCACAGTTATTTCCCATATATTCAATAAAGGTTTTCCAGTCTTCTCGAAAGGTGGCAAGCGATTATTCAACAGGTGAAGCATAGATGTGGCGCTATATATCTGTTAATAAAGAAAAGAAAAAGCACACGATATCCGACAGAGAAATGTGGCAGCTCTAGCGAGGACTAGGATCATCATTTGACTAGCATTCAAATCTTGTTCTGGAAAATCTTGCTAATTTAGGGGGGAAATGCCTTTTGGGTACCTTTTGCTAGCTAGCTGGTTTTAATCTGTTCTGGCTGGAAAAGGCTGCTTTATTATAACTGACAGAAATGTAGTCTTCCGCTACAAAAGTTTGTGCTAGATTGAAGCTGCAATACTATACTTAGGGTTAGCCACATTAACCTTAGTTGGACTTACTTTTTGAGCAGACCCCTGGAGAATTAAACAAAAATGAGTTTTATAGATTTCAGAGAGAGTGCTTAATTTCTAGAAAAAGTGATGCTGGGGCTGAAAGAAGTACTTTACTCAATTTTTTGTTGTTGATTTTGTCAACTAAAGTACTTCTGATCTTCCCCTTAATCCCAGATGAGTGGGGAACATTTAGTGAGGAAAACACTTTCCATTTGCTTGGGGTACTTTAATTTGCATCTTATGTTCTGGAGCTGAGCAAGAGTAGTGAAAATCAAAATACATCTGACAATGAGCCCTGGGAGAAATTAAACCCTCCAAGACTTTTTTTTTTGCCATAGAAAGCAGTTATTCTTTTGGGTATCTAAACATCTAACAATCCTAAGAGGTCTTATTGAAGAGATGCATACGCAAAGCAACTTATTTTTCTTTATGGTGTCATATCATAAGGATATATGTAAGAGTGTGTGTGTGTACTGCTTATAATAATTTGTTTGCTTCTCAGACAACTTTAAAGCATGTATATTTAAAAGGTTTACAAGATGTACCTTGAAGAGGAATTCCTTTGAGCCGATTGCTATTTAACTGCTTTTTCTCCAACTGGAGAATACACCTGAGAAATGTAGCATCAGAGGAGAATCAGAATACTGGCAGCAACCATTTTAGGCGCATCCAATTGACGTGCAATAACTGATGTGTGGGTCCTTTTGGACCTGGAAAAAGGCAGAACGGGGACGGAACGGGACAGGGAGCATTTATATGTGCTCTAAGGACATAAATGGGGGCCAGGAACAGAACCCCAGCGTGACATTATCACCGCCTATATATATGAGACTTGCAGAACATACCAGTTGCCATTAGTCCTCTTCACAGATCTTGCTGCAAAGTGTATATGGATTCTGTGTTTCCTCTTCACTGGTATTTTTTCCATTTGCATTAAGGATTTTGGAGCAAGAACTGCAGGAAGCTGTTCTTTTGAAATTAGTGCTAGGGATTCCAGTAAGGGTTGCTTTAGTTACTGAAAATTTGTTGCATGGCATATGCTTGCACTCTCAGGCCTCTCTGTACTCAGGTCTGTTCTTATTTTTATAACAAACACTCCCAGAGAACTGTTCCTCAGTAATCTTCAATATGAAATATGTCTTTCAGCTTCTACCCATTTTGCCTGCTGTCTCTGTCTTCTGCTGCAATAGATATTTGGGCGGGGAATAGTAGAACTGAAATTAAGGGAGATGCAATAAAGCCAAAAGACATGCCTTGAGTTTTCTTCCTATGGTGCTTCATTCTCTCCTTTGATACAGCCTTCCTGTGCTATTTACTGCCCAGTATATTGTTTTCCTTTATACTGGAGGAAACCCTCAGGATGTAAAGCATGCATTTCTACATGCACTATTACTCCTGCATGTGGTCCTCCCACCCTTTAGTTAAGTGACATTTATACTGGATAAATTAAAGCAGGTTTCCCCAAATATTTTGGACTATAAATCCCATCATCCCAACCACCATGACCAAATGCCAGGGATGATGAAAACAGTAGTCCAAAACATCTAGAAGGCATCAGGCTGGGGATGTCTGCTCTAAAGCAGGTGTAGGGAACATTTAGCCCTCCAGATTTTGTTGAACCACAATTCCCATCAGCCCCAGCAAGCATAGCCAAAGGCCAGGGATGCTGATCAGAGTTGTAGCTCAGCAACACCTGAAGAGCCAAAGGTTCCATACAGCTGCTGTAAAACTTCAGTTCCACAGCTGTCACCTGTTTGGGGGATTATGCAATTTTGCCTGTTTGTCTCCAAAATTTAGCAGAAGGTACTTAGAACAGATTCTGTCTGTATGCCTTTATAAAAATATATTTCTTGGTTTTTCTAGCATTGCAGAAAGTTGGTAATTTCCCCCCCTGAATTAGGTATGCCTTGTAAATGAAAAAAGAAAAATGGAAAACATTTAATGATTGTGCATCTTTAATTGTCAATTTCTTTCCATAGCGAGTATTTACCCTGTCTGAAAGGGATGCACCTAGTTCACCTGTGCAATTTGCTTGGCAAAAAACTGTAGGAAACTACATTGCTGTTGCAGGGTAAGATAATAAAGATTTCTTTATTGTATATGTTAATTAACTAAACAGATGAATCAGATTTTGTCATAGGAAGCAGCTTACAGACTTTAATAATATTTACAGATGTATGAAAGATGACCACCATAATGATTATTCCTCTTCTGTTTTTTTTTTTTTTTTTTAATTTTTAGACACAATCACACTGTAAAAATCTTCGATCGCCATGGTCAAAAGAAAAATGAAATTATTTTACCAGGGTAAGTCTTGTACAATTTTGTGAAAGCAAAATATTACTTTTAGGCAAATTCAACATTAAATTATCTGATTTGTTTGGCATAAATGCCTTCAAAAATGGTGGGGGAGAGGGTTATGAAATTGGATGAGATTAGACTGCACTTTATTTTAGGAGAACAGAATTATGGGGAATGGATATCTCCTTCAAGGAGCTAGTCAGGCTTGCATTTCCACTCAGTTTCATATTTTTGAACCAAATATTGGAACATCCGGTTAATACTTTCTGTGTTTCCTTAGCAACTGCATTGCTATGGACTGGGATCAAGATGGTGATACCTTAGCAATAATTGCTGATAAGGCCATTTGCATTTATCTGTGGGATGCCAACACAAACAAAATCAGCCTGATAGACACTAGCATGAGGTAAGCAAAAAGTGTGCTTTAAGAAAAAGTATATTTCCAGGCCAGTTTATACATTTAGTATAATTGCAACCTAAAATTAATACAGGGCATAGGTTGTGTTGTTTAAATGGGAGAAGCTTTCACTTGTAGTTTTATGAATGAATTTTTCTTGCTGGTAGCACAGGTTCTGTAGGATTGCCATATTTCGTTTCCTCCTAAAGTTGTTGAGAGCTTTGCGGGGGGGGTCCAAAAGTTGAGCTTTTTTTTTCCCCCACCAGAAAAAGGGGATTTTTTAATTGACTTGCCTAAGCTCCAGGACAGAGTGCCACCTTTTGGAAATTTCCCCCAGATGTGTATTCTGCTTTTGAAATCCCAGTAATGTCCAGGAGAATCCGGACATATGGCAGCCCTAGGTTTTGTATCTGTACCACCAAGCTGAATGGGGCAAGAAGAGCCCAGACCTAATTTCCTCATCTTACAAAATTCTTCCCAGAAGAAACCTTTTTAGAATACGGAACATTGATCAGTCAGTTCTGACTGGCACTTTCAGCTTGTTCTTCGTTGTTACTTATATTGCCATCTTCAGGGATATGGGTGGGTAAAAGAGAAACCATGTACAGATGACAGGAAAGCAGAGTGTTCTTGAGCTCAAGTCCTACTTGAGGGGTTTCCTACTGGCATCTGTGTTTTTTTAAGCTAAATCTAAAGTTGCCTGATTTCCTCAATGGTGGCTATCTAGTCTTTTATATATTGTATGTGTCTGTATTATTAATGTATTTGGATGACTTTGTTTGATTTTATGATTTTATTGTTTAAACTTATGCCAATAAAGGCCAGTAACAGTAACAATAACAACAGAATGCTGGACTATATGGGCCATTGGCCTGATCCAGCAGGCTCCCCTTATGTTATTATGAGTGTGTATTGCTAATACAGAAAAGGAATGTGGCAGAAACTATGCCAGTAAACAAGAAGTAAAGTAAGGACAGGCCTGTTAATCTTTCTCATAGGAAATGTTGTAGAGCAATTTGGCTTACTCTATTGTGCAAACCAGGCCATCTCTTGAATGCCAATCATCAGTTTTCTACTACAATATCATAACTGCGCCTGCTTTTCTGATCTTGAACCAAGTACTTTCTCTCTCTCCTTACTGCTGTTTCCTTAAATATTGTCAATTAAAAATGGTAATCCATTCAACATTCTTGTTGTTACAGTGGAACCTCTTTTTTCGAACTTAATCCGTTCTGGAAGTCCGTTCGACTTCTGAAATGTTCAAAAACCAAGGATCAGAGGGCTGTCGGCAAGTTCGGGGGGGGGGGAATGAGAAGCACACCTCGGAAGCCGTTTGACTTCCATGGTGTGTTTGAAAATGGAAGCATTCACTTCTGCGTTTTCGGTGTTCAGCTTCTGAAACGTTCGGCAGCTGAGATGTGCAAAAACCGAGGTTTGACTGTATTGAAAGCCTATTTCATTTTTTTATTACAGGGAACCAATGTCTTTCTTACGTTGGTCGAAAGCCGAACCCTTACTTGCTGCTGGAACAGCTAAGGGAAATGTACTAATATATAACCGCCAAACTTCTCGCAAGATTCCTATCCTTGGTCAGTACCATTATAAAATTAGTGAACTTCCATGTGGGGAGAGAGCAGAAATTTGCTCGCTGTGTTAAAATCTAGTTAATATCTCTCTAGTGTAAGTATTTCACCATGTGTAATTGTAGATGAGGAAACTGTGATCTACCAGATGGTGTTGAACTCCAGCATCCAGCACCCAGCCAGCATGGCCAATGGTCAAGGATGATGGGATTTGTAGTCCAACAATATCCTATGCTATTTGTCTGTTTTCTTTTAATAATTCACAGTTTTAATAATTCACAGTTTTCCAGCTTAAAATGATAATTGTATTATTGGATATGCCTACTTGAATCACATACTTAACATCCATGCATTGTTCAATATCTTTAGGGAGCAAATTGTGATTTTTCTATGTGAATTTGTTTTTACCAGGTAAGCACACCAAACGGATTACATGTGGTTGTTGGAGCGGTGGGAAATTCATAGCATTAGGCGGTGAGGACAAACTGGTAACGATTAGCAACCACGAAGGAGATACAATCAGAGTGGTAATAAACCTACATTGTTGTTATGCACAAGATTATAACAGTTAGTTAAATGAAAAAAATGCCTTCGCCCCCATTTGCTCTTTGTGTGAATGTTAATGTGAGAGAGAAAGCAGACAAGAATTGGTTACAAACTAAATGCCTGTTTGAGCCAGATGAAGTCTCACATTTGAATTACAGGCTCAGGAAATGAAAAAGAACAAAAACCATTTAGTGTTGTGTGTGAAAATATCCTGGGTTAATGTTCAGGAATCTGTGTAGTTTAAACATTGGTTGCAGCTTTGCTTTTTATTGGACCAACTTCTATTAGTGAGAGTGCCCAATCTTTAAAAACAACTATAAGATGCTTATAACCAACACCAGTTATTTTTGTGAAAGTCGTAGATTTTTGTCCCTGTTTTTTCTCCATGTCTTTCCTTGCCTCTTTCTCCCAGAGGGCAGTGAAGGAGCTAATTAACTGATAATGGGGATCTCCATATATATATAGATAGGCACTGTCTAAGTCCTAGGATACAGTCTACTAAGGATATTATTGTATCATTTTGGTTTTATGATTTTGTATAATATGTTATTTTGTTAGCCGCTTTGATTTCCTCAATGAGAAAAAGAAGCAGGATCCAAATTTTGTAACTACAGGAGAAACTAATGTCAGAAATGGTGTAGCTGTTTGTGGTGGTGATCTAAGAATTAAACCATTGTGCCCAGCTGGCTGGGATCAGCAATTTTCCATGAAGGCATTGTTTAAAATCTCAGGCCACATGTAATTCTTTCTTCCTTGACAGAGCCTTAAGGCAAGCAGATGAAAGGCTTTATAAGGTGGAATGGAAAAAATATGACAGCTGTGTTCCAAACATTGCATTATTGTAGAGAACAGGAAGCATAGCCAGTTTGTACATCTAGTTCCTCCACACAAAGTTAGTGTCCAAAGCTGCTTTTGGAATTGAGGTTGATAGCTGTTAATATTGCTGTATTAACACTTGAAAAATCATTGCAGTGTTTTGTGGTTTTCCTGTCAATGGCCTAGTTTGCTCTTAGCACTAAATCATGATTTATTAAACTTAGCACTATGTGTGAACCCATCCCAGTGACTTAACTGTGGTACATTTACTGCCAACAAGCCATTATCTGAACCTAGGCTTTTGTTTTTTGCTTTACTTTACAAACCTTGCTTTGTTTTAACTAATGGCTTCGTGTTGCATGTGAACTCAGCACCCTTCCTTAACCAGGCACTCGGCAAACTCACAAAGGCATGAGGGAAGAGTCACTGGAAAACAACCATTGGAGGGGGAAAGCCATAGTTTGCTTATCATCTGTGGGACAACTTGTGGTTAACTTGTGATTTATTAACAAACCATGGTGTAGTGTTATGGGTATACCAGGCCAGTGTAACTGTTTCAAAAAATAAGAATTACTTATTCTATTAACCTTGGAACCTTATTCTTGCAGACAACAGTGAGAGGAGAACCCAGTGATATGGAGTTTATAGTAATGAAAACTGATGATAGAACAGGAGGAAATGAGACCACAGTAAGTATTTAACAACACAGCAAGTATATATTGCGTGAAACCAAAGGGGCTTTGCAAATAAAGCAATAAGGGAAAGTTATAACACAAGAAAATAAAATACAAATTTTGTTTGTCATAAGAATTCCAAAATTAGATTGTAGCTCTGAGACGTTAGTGTCATTCTTATCATAAGAGCTTTATCATGTTACTTGACAAGGCACAGTAAAAGATTTAAGATAGGTGTCTTTGATTTTCTTAGCAGCTGATGCTTACAAAGGCTGTCTTAGAAATAAGTAATCATGTCAGGAGAATAATTTCTAATCCTCTTAAGGAACACTACCATTGCATTATTACCGTAAGATGCGCAAGATGATTCTGGTTTTGTTCAATAGATTATTATTTTCTCTCTCTCTTTTTTTCAGGTATGCATTGTCGTTGCTCAGAAAACCCTGTATATTTATAATTTCAGAGATCCAGAGAACCCAATTGAACTGGCGTTTCAGCCACGCTACGGGAACATTGTCTCTTATAAGTGGTAAAGCTATTCACCAAACTAGTAAGATTACATGAAAGAGAGTGCTCCAGCATTAAAGACATTTCCAGATGGGTAGCTGACAAGCTGTATTAATCTATTGAAGCAAAAACAGCACAGAGTATTATTATGCCATAACCTTCCATGAACACTGTCAACTTCAGCAGTGCACAAAAGCTTCTGCCATAATAAATTGCTTTTATAAATGTTTTGTGCTAGGATGGGTTTTGTGCTGTTGCTTCAGTCAGGGAAATCTAAATACTTTATAGCAGGGTGGAGAAACTTTGTTTGTCTGGATGTTGCTAGACTGCAACTTCTATCATCCCTGAGATGATTGCTCATGTTGGCTGAGGCTGATGGCAGCTGAACAGCTGGAGGGCAACAGGTTCTAAATCCCTGCTTTTATAGACTAAAGCCAGGGCTAGAGCCAGGGCTTTTTTGGCCATGTCTCCGATCTGGTGGAACACTCTGTCACAAGAGACCAGGGCCCTGCGGGACTTGACATCTTTCCGCAGGGCCTGCAAGACAGAGCTGTTCCACCAGGCCTTTGGCCAGGGCACAGCCTGACTCCCTCCCTCGGCAATCTTCGCGGAGCTCTGGCCCAATGGTTGCCAGTGGCTTGAATTAATTAATTTTATAATGAATGATTTTAGAGTGTTGTTTGTGCTATACTTTTGTACTGTTTTATTGTTGTTAGCCGCCCTGAGCCCAGCTTCGGCTGGGGAGGGCGGGATATAAATAAAATTTATTACTATTATTATTATTATTATTATTATTATTATTATTATTAAAAGTCAGTGTTCTTGAAAAGAGACGCAAATGCAATTGTTCCAGTGTTTCCTAGTAGTTTAATTTTGAAATAGAATTTGGTTTTCTGTGAACAATCCCATTCCCCACCCTCCCCAGCCAGCTGACAATTCTGAGATTGTGTCTTCAACTTTTCTTTCTTTCTGCAGCCATGTTGCTTGAATGGGTTTTGATCATATTGTTGAAATCTTTACAGGTATGGTGATAATTACATCATGATAGGGTTCTCGCTTGGCTGTTTTGTGGTGATTTCTACACACGTTCGAGAGATTGGCCATGAGATCTTTCAGGCATATGATCATAAAGATAACCTGACTAGCATTGCAATATCACAGTCACTAAACAAAGTTGCATCATGTGGAGATAACTGGTGAGTCATCATGATTTCATATGAAGCCCTTAAAATACAAGCTATCACAAAGAAAGTGCTAATATTGACTCTGAAAATGTTGTTCTAGAACAGTTGGAGGTCATGTTAAGACATTAGTACCCCAATCAAGAGATCTGTTTGGTTTCTGACAGAAGCTGTTATCTTTCATGTGCCGATATGCTATCTTATTCCAAGGGAGAAAGCAATTCTGCACCAGCTGTAACTTTTATACCATCTTCAAGGGCAGCCCCACATAGAGCATACTACAGTAGTCTCATTGAGATGTTATCAGAGTATGTAGTGCCATAGCTAAGCTATCCTGATCCAAGAACACTGAAGATGACGAGCCAGCTCGAACAGGGTATAGGTACTTCATGCCACAGAGCCACCTTTGCTTTTAGTGACAATGACTCCAAGAGTACCCCAGGCTAAAAATCAGCTCCTTCAGGTGGGTGTGGGGTGCAACTCCATCTAGATCAGGTTGTCTGTCCAAGTCCCAGACCCAGGAAGTACTCAGCAACAGTACCTTCATCTTATTATGTTGTAAGTTAACACTGAAGGAAGTGTTTTTCTTTCTATTATAGCATCAAGATTCATGACTTGTCAGATTTGAATGAAATGTATGCAATAATAAACTTGGAGGATGAAAATAAAGGTATGACCACTTTTAGATTTACCTGATTGCTTGCCAAATCATATAAGACAGATTCTTAATTTGCATTAGCAATTTGCTTATATAAAGAAATGTGATGCAGTAACTACAGTTTGTGGATTGGACCAACCAGACTTGGGTTGCAACTCTCACTCAGCTGAGCTTTGCTATTAATAACCTTAACGTGACCTGTGACTTTCTTAAGACAATCCTTCAAACCGTACTGTGGAGTATTTGAAACCAACAGTGACAAGCCTTGGATTAGAAATTTCTGCTTCCAGTTAGCTGCAAACCACAGTTTGCTGTTTGAATGTGCCAAACCATGGTTTACTCAATAACTTGCCCACTGGGAAGGGAGAGCTTTTTATCTCTTCCCCATGTGTGTGAAAGGAAGGTGGGAAGCAGCATTGAAGCCCAGTTCTTGCAGCTTTCTCTCAGACTAGCCTTCCTCATAGGGTTGTGGAAAGGATAAAACATGATAACACCATATAAGCTGCCCTTGGATTCTTGAAGGAAGGGCAGAGCAGAAGTGCAATTCATTGCTAATGTGCCCATTGTAGCTTACATAATTCCCCAAAGACTTGGGGACAAGGGCTAGCAACTTAAATATGGAATTAGAAATAAAGGTATATATTGTTTTGTATGACATTTTGCTAATCTGACACAGGTAGGTTACTCTTTAAGACACAGAAAATGCTTTTTAGTGACGAAGGTATTGCTTCTTGGATTTCTAAGATAGAATACTGTTGTTGTTTTTACAAAACCTCGTTGATATTTTAGGTCTAGATCAGTTGTCATGGACAGACGATGGACAATTGCTGGCAGTGTCTACGAAGAAAGGGACTATCCATGTCTTCTTGACAAAACTTCCCATTCTTGGAGACTCATACAGCACACGGATCGCGTACCTCACCTCGCTTCTTGAAGTGACAGTTGCCAACCACATTGAAAGTGTATAGTACTTCATTCATTTTAAAGTTTAGTTAGGTGTAACATTTTGTTTTATGGTAAGCAGTTCTCAGCAAAAGTGGTATGGTCTGTCTTGGCAGGAGCTACCAATTACAGTTTCTGTGGAAGTTGAGCCCAACTTTGTGGCTATTGGCCATTATCACTTGGCTGTTGGCATGAATAATCGGGCATGGTTTTATGTTCTGGGAGAGAGCAGTAAGTATATCTCTAGTTCCATTATTCCACACTGAAGTAGTGTAGCACTGTTGTATTTTATTGAATTACTGGTTATTCTATAATATGTTAGTAAGTTTATTGCTTCAAATTGTACCCTTAGTGTCACAACAGCTAATTATACCTCTTGTAAGATGTTACAGGACACACAATTTAGATGATGTAAAAATAATATGAAACAATTATTATTGGGATTATGAAAGAAAGATGGAGCTTTTTGTCTTCATGTGGGCCACATAGCCCTGACAGTCACAATCTGATTGCATTGTTCCAAATATTTGAAGTATTTTAAGTGGCCAAGGATATGTTCAAAAGAGAGAATCACGACAAAATTTCATTCCACATTTTGCAGGTGTAAAAAAGCTCAAGGACATGGAATATCTTGGAACAGTAGCCAGTATGTGCCTTAATTCTGACTACGCTGCTGCACGTTTTGAGGGTAAAGTTCAGTTGCATATGGTAAGTATATTAGGCAGCCTGAACTCCCAAGAGTCGCATGAACTGCTATAATAGAGCTGGACGAGAAACTCCTAATTATGTAATCTTCTGTGATGCATTTTATCTAGATAACCAGTTAATTTCCAGTCTAATTTAGCAGCTGGTTACTGGAGAACAACAAGAAGCTAAATGCACCACTGAGATTAGTTGCAGGCAACTGAAAGGCAAAAAGTTTTGGATAATTACATAGTTAACAGAGTTGGTGTGAAAAGTCCTCTTGAGATTTGGGGTGGCTAGTGGAGATTTATGACTCATTAAAGGGGGAAAGGATGAGGCTGAGATTGATATAGTATGCAGCTAGCTTCTTTAATTTTAGATTATGAGCTGCTGAAACCTGTTCACTTTTTATTGCTGATAAAATAACCTTCGGTTTGCTGTTTTATTTTAGATAGAAAGTGAACGCTCCAATACCCAGGAAGAACGGGAAACTAGACTCTTCCCAGATACAGATGATAAAAATAAAATTTTGTGCCATGCTTTAACCAATGATTTCCTCATCTATGGTACTGATGTAAGTATTTGTTTCAAACTGTGGATGCCATCTTTGTAGTATAAAATGTTAATTATTAAGAATACCGGTTTCATTTTGTGCATGTACATTCCATGACACTCCTTGGTTCTATTCCACATTCTCTTACGAATAACCAAAGCAAGTGAGACATAATGGGAGGAAAGGGGGGGCAAAAGAAAGAAGCAAAATTCATGCCCCCTTTCCCCTTCCTGTGGCCGCATCGCTCTGTCATTCATCTTCTCTGATCACATTCTCCCCTCTTGAAAGATGCCACTTGGTGTCCTGCTTTTTCAGCAAACTTAGTGGTCTCTTTCAACAGGTGGCCACCACCTTCCTTTTAGCTAACAACAAGTAGGAGAGGGGTAAGAGGAGTTTTGTAACCTTTCCTTTTCACGCTTGATCCTTTTCAGCAGTGAAGGGTCAGACAGCCCCACCTCTCACTGCTGAGAGAATCCTCAATACAGTGGTACCTCGGGTTAAGAACTTAATTTGTTCTGGAGGTCTGTTCTTAACCTGAAACGGTTCTTAACCTGAAGCACCACTTTAGCTAATGGGGCCTCCTGCTGCCACTGCACCACCACTGCACAATTTCTTTTTTCATCCTGAAGCAAAATATGTAACCCTAGGTAATATTTTTGGGTTAGCAGAGTCTCAGGAGCCCAGTTATGTCACCCCTTGCCTGCAGAGCCGGCAGCCTCTCACCCCTTTTCAAACACCCTCCCTTGTGGAGTGTTCCCTTAGCCTACTCTCCTCTCCCCTTGGGAGTCCTCTGGGCAGCCACTGCTGCCACCTCTGGTTTCTGAGCTGCTCTCCTGCCCCAAAGAGAGGTGCTTCTTTCACACTACCCCACAGGGGCCTGGGAAGAGGATGCCTCCAGCCTTAGTGGCCCAACGGAGACTGGCCAAAGGTGAATGTGAGGATAGTACCTTAGCTTGGGAGGCAGCAGTGGGCACTGCTGGGCCTGCAAGGCAGAAAGGCTCCCCTTCAGCACCGGGTTCTCAGGTCCCAGGCAGGCCTTTCACACAGCAAGCACAAGAAAGGCCAGTGCAGCGCCTGCCTGCCTGCCCAGCCTCCTACTTGTCTGTCCATTCACAACAGCAAGGGTTGGCTGGTGGCTGGGATTCCTCACCCGCTTGCTTGCTTGCTTGCTTGTTCCTTGCTTATTCCAATGCTGCCTCATCTCCTGGCAACAGGCACCCATTGGCCAGCCCCAGAGGCACCATTCGTGTGGGGAACTTGTAGCCATGGCTGTTGCAGCAAATAGCTGTTCAGGTGGCAGAGACACAAGAGGGGACCAGAGGAGGGAGGAAAGGAAAGAGGGACAAAGGCCAGTGTTCCCTGCGGCACCCCGACTATCCTTCAAGGCACCCCAGGGTGCCATGGCACACTGGTTGAAAACCCCTGAGCTAGAGGATAGGGGACTATCCTTGGTCTGGATGAGTGAAAATATGTTTTTTGTAGGGAAGTAGTAGAAGGAGAGGGACGCGGGTGGTGCTGTGGGTTAAACCACAGAGCCTAGGACTTGCTGATCAGAAGGTCGGCGGTTCAAATCCCCGCGACGGGGTGAGCTCCCGTTGCTCGGTCCCTGCTCCTGCCAACCTAGCAGTTCGAAAGCACGTCAAAGCGCAAGTAGATAAATAGGTACCGCTCCGGTGGGAAGGTAAGCGGCGTTTCTGTGTGCTGCTCTGGTTCGCCAGAAGCGGCTTAGTTATGCTAGCCACATGACCCGGAAGCTGTACGCTGGCTCCCTCGGCCAATAAAGTGAGATGAGCGCCGCAACCCCAGAGTCAGCCACGACTGGACCTAATGGTCTGGTTCCTTTACCTTTTAGTAGAAGGAGGGAAGACTCTGAGTTGGTCCACCCAGCCAATATAATTGTTCCACCCTTCAATCCTTGCACCTTATTATCACCATCTGTCATTGGTATTCCTCAGTGGCATATGGAAAGTGTTCCTCTGCAGTATTTGTCCAGATCTGATTTGAGAGTTGGTTGTTCCAAATGCCACTCCCTAATATGTTTCTTCAAGGGTAGAGACTCCCTACCTTTTTCCTGCAGTGGAGGAGGGAATCCTCGGATGGGTGGACCCTCTGACTCGCTCCACTAGGCAGGGCCATGCAAATTAAGGAAATCTTACCTCACTGCATGGTAGAGTGACACCTCCCCATCCAACACTGGCCAACCTAGCTACCTGTGCAGGTTTACTTTGTCTTCCATTGTTTCTGAGAGGCCTTAATCTACACAATTCTTGTCAGTGGAGAGATAAGAGAGAAAAGGTTCTGAGGGGGAAAGTTTTGGCTTGGCCGTGGCTCAGAATCCCTTGAGGGCTCCCAGCCTGATTTTCTCTGCAAACTCTTGGAAGCATAAGGTGTCAGGGGGAGAAGCTGCCCAAGGCGATGGGCCTGTCTACCCAACGAGAGCAGCTACCCTCAGTTTCAATGAGGTGCTTGTAATTAATTGTTCCTTTGTCGGTTCTCAAGCCAAAAATGTTCTGCTGGTCTGGTTGTCTGGATCACCTACTTCAGCTGCAAATGCATTAGTTTTTCAGGCTCTAATGCTAGTATTATGGCTCTTATTTTGTTGGTTGTTAGACTGGTGCTATTCAGTATTTCTACATTGAAGATTGGCAGTTTGTGAATGAGTACCACCATTCCGTCAGTGTGAGAAACATCTTCCCAGATCCCAATGGGTCTAGATTAGTTTTCGTTGATGACAAAAGTGATGGATTTGTTTACTGTCCGGTAAGTCATTTATTCCATTCCTAATTTATAGGTTGCAGTCTACTTATTTCTCCCTTACAGACTTTTGCTTTCCCCCCCTCATTTTTAGTCCACCCATCTTCTAAAGATAGGTACTTAGTGTAAATAGGTTTATTCTGTTTTATTTTCAAAAATCTGTAAGGTCATTGGGATGAGAAACTGACATGCTAGATGCCATAAAGTAGGCATTTGAACCAGGTCTCTCCAGTCTAAGTACAACACGATGGTCTATTGAACTATGCCAGTGCTCTCCCGTAGATTGTGAAATTGATTGTGGGCTTTGTTACCCAAAACCACACACATTTTGAACTGCTTTAGTTGTCATGGGGGGCTTCCACTGTTCATGTCCATTACTATTGTTCTCTGATTATGCTTTACCTGCTTTAAATATCACTAAACCCCTGGCCTGCCCTGAGACTAGGTTCAGAGGCAATTCTATCCTGGCATGGCTAGTAACAATCAGATAGCATGTAATCCTTTTATCTGCCCCACTTCCCATTTCCTTCACTGTCCCTCCTCACAGGTCTCTAATGAAGCCGACAAGATGGGGGGAAGCCTTGCCAACTCCACTTTGCTTTTTTAATTGCCAATTTTTAAAATTGACTTTGCAATATAAACCCAATTACACAAATTAGTTCAAAATTAATACAATTTTGTTAAGAGGCTTCCCATGCACCATTCTTGATGGATCTTTATGATCTAATATTACTTTGTTTCATATTCTTACATATTTCTATTATATCCCATTTTTCAAAATTATCACATAATTAACAGCTGCACTCTTTGTTATTTTTATTCTTGTTACTATATTATTTATATTATTTAACTTCCAGAAAAAGGCTTCAAGTGAGGAACCATAGCTTTTTTGTTTTCATCCTGTGTGCGTCCAAAAGTCAGTTGTTGATCCTCTTGGCCTTATATGTCTCTCTGATGTTTTCCTTTTTCCTGCGGCATTTGGGGCTATCTCCATACACTGTTGTTGTATTCCAGCCTGGTTGGGGCAGAGCTGCAACTTCAAGGTTAAACCCTCGTCTTTCTCCGGCTCAGCTCCTTCCCATAATACTCAAGCAGTTCCAAATCGACAACCTCTTTCACTGGCACCAAATCAACAAGTTCCAGAAATTCACCAGCTGAGAAGGGAGGGGAAAGGTGGCACCATTCCTCTATCAACATCCAAAAAGCCCTCACACTGCTTTCCTTGCACGGCTACAATAGCATCTTCCTTTTTTCTTTTCTTTTTTTAAAGGTTATATTTCAAACTCTCCATTATCTTTCAGTCTTTTTTTAGGGGGGGGGGTAGGCGCTTAACTCCCAGCGACATCCTTCCAAACAAAACAAGCAGGATCTCCTGCCGCCCCCCCCTTACTCCTCTCAAGCCACATGCAGCTTTACATTTTCTTTTAAATCTCAGTGTTACATCGTACATCAAACCATCTTCACTTGTATATCTTAAAATTCAATCTTAGAGGGTTGCCGAACCATAAATATAAAAACTTCCATTAAATATAGCAGAGTACCCCCTTCTCCATCCATCTCTAGCACAAGATAGAATCTTCTCCAATTTCAAATTTCAGTTCCATGCAGCTGATTGTCCGTAGTTATAATGTCTATCTCCTCTGGTGTTATGCCTATTCTTAATGCCAATTAGAACCCAATTATAAGGAGAACCTCTGCATCCAATGGCGATTTGGGGGGTTTTGCATCAAGCAAAGTGCAGTGAGCCATTAGGACCCATGGTCACCTGTACCTCCCATGCCCCGAGAGGTTTATAGGAGATGGTTTAACCCCTCCATCCCCCTTTTTCCCCAGCCTGTGCCTCTTTCCAATGTTGAGAGACCCATCGCCACGGCATGGGACAAGAACCAGAAGCCCACTTTGCTTTTATTTTAAATTGCATTGTTTGTATGAGCACCAGTGCCTGCCTGCCTGCCCTTTTGGGTGTGTGGGTATGTCGAGTCAGGTCGAGGGGACCATATGAAAGTGACAAGATTTTTCCCTTACCTTCTCTGTTTCACTGAATAGAGTGAAGGAAATGACTGTGGCAGAGGTGCTCATATTGCTAGAAAAGAGAGGAATTGAGTAAGAGAGCTGTGCCTTTTAATAGTAATCAAACCATATCCAATTTCAGCACTTTTTATTGCTTTTTTAAGATGTCCATATTTCTGTTGAATTGTGACCAAAGGAATGGGGTTTGGATCTGTAAGTTCAGGTTATTCTCAGATCCCCATTGCAAACACCTTAGATTGCAGCTGTTGATATGGGAATGGGGTTCACCTGACTCTTTTAAAATGGTAATGTAAATCCAAAATTAATTAGATCTCATTAACATTTTTATTTAGAAATTAATTTTGCACTGCTGCCTTTTGTAGGTAACTGATATTGCCTTTGAGATCCCAAATTTCCAGCCAACCATCAAGGGTATTCTGTGGGAAAATTGGCCAATGGACAAAGGTGTCTTTGTTGCTTACGATGACGACAAAATATACACATACATTTTTCACAAGGATACTATACAAGGTAGGGTAAAGTTGCATTATTATTCCAACAGTGTACATTTTGCAGAGCAGCTGAAAGAAAACCCCTAGAAGCTTACAATATAAAATAGAAGATTGGTGGAGGAAAGGCATAACAAAACACAGAACGAATGGATTAATGGAATTTTAGGTTGGTTGTGTAGTTCAGTAGTGCTCAATATTTATTTCGTACCCTTGTGTGAATTTGGTTCTCTAGGACAATGAACAACAGTAGAACTTCTGGTGTTAGGTTATTTCAATGGGCTTTATTCTCAAGTGACTGTACGTCAGATTACAACAATGATGGAGTATAAGAGCCAGATAAGCCACAAGCTAGGCTGTGCCAGTTAGGCTGTGCCAGTTAATCTGATTTTCCTTTTAAATACATGGTCATAACTGCTAGGAACAAAATTCCAGAAAGTAGAAATTCTAAGCTAGCTATGGCTAAGCTACTGCTTTCGTTGTGTAATCCTTTTTTTTTGGCCGTGCGGGATATATTTTCCCATATGTTCACATTGTAGCACAATACTTTAGTCTTTATGTCAAGCTGGTTTTATTTGCTTGTTTGACACTCGTATGTTCAAGGAACATTTGTTTTCTGGTATAGATCTGGCATTGTAAATATAGGGGGTGGGGAACCCTACCCCACACATTCAGCCCTAGCTGGTATGAGCCAGCACTACTTCAGGTGCAGTGGAGAAGCCGCCACTCTCTGCTTCCCTGCTCCCTTGTTAGGATTTCTCTGTTAGTCATTCATCAGTAACTAAGAGGATTTTTAAAAAACGGATTTTATCTTTATTTAGCAAGCAAGAGCTAATGTTCTTTTGATGGGCAAGTTCAATAATTACTTTGTTTTCGTTTGTAATGTAGGGTCCAAGGTAATTTTAGCCGGAGGCACCAAAGTTCCTTATTCTCACAAACCATTGCTACTATATAACGGAGAATTAACTTGTCAGACTCAAAGTGGGAAAACCAACAGTATCTTCCTTAGTACACATGGCTTCCTTGGCCCACTGAATGACTTGGAACGTAATGAGCTGAAACAGGTGCTTATACAGACTTTAATACTAAAAAGGTAAGCTTCCTGTCAATTCCAGTACACCATTGATACCCAAACATCCGAGATCTGACCATGCTTATTGTAGCTGTTGCCTTTGTTTTGTTAAAATTTTTGCGTAGGTTTTCTGAGGCTTGGGAGGTGTGCAAACTTCTGAATGATCATTCAAGTTGGAACGAGCTTGCCAGAGCTTGCTTACACCACATGGAGTTGGAGTTTGCGACACGTGTTTACCGGACAATCAGAAATGTGGGAATGGTCATGTCATTAGAGCAAATAAAGGTAAAATAATACACATTTAAATATTACAGTTTGTTTGTTTGTTTGTTTGTTTGTTTGTTTGTTCGTTCGTTTTACTTAGTTGCTGTGTGGGATTATTCTAGTCCATGGGCTGATATCTCAGAGCATAAGCTTGGGCAGAAGAACATGACTTCAGGTCAAGTGCAAAGTATGATGTCAAAATCATTAGCAGTTGAATCTGGTAATAAAAACAACCCTGGTAAGAGGATAAAAGAGCTTCCGCTCCATACCTGGCAAAGTTCAAAAGCTTTCAAAATACTCAACATAGTCAGCTATGTCAATAAAATACAGTTTTCTGATCTGATGACTTTGAATTCATGAGGACTCTTATTCAACATGGATCCTCATGTTTTAAGTTCTACTTTCCACAATCCCTGTCTAGGACTTTAAATTCCTTTGTGTATGAGCTGGGCCAGATGAAGCTCTTTTCCTTGAGTCTTTTCTGACTTCCATATGCTATAGCAATGCATCCCTGGCAGCTTGTCTAATGTTAATCCAATATAATAGGGACTTCACACATTTCTGTGCTTTGTTTTTCAGGGCATAGAAGACCACAACCTTCTAGCGGGGCATCTTGCCATGTATACAAATAACTTTAATTTGGCTCAGGATTTATATTTGGCGTCTTCTTGCCCAGTTGCCGCACTTGAGGTAATAAATTGAGCCACCAAATATTTAATCAGATGGGGCAGGGGATCATAATCTTTTCCATTTAAATCAATACTTCTTTTGATAATAGATGAGGAGAGATCTACAGCACTGGGATAATGCACTTCAGCTAGCTAAACGCTTGGCACCAGATAACATCCCCTTATTATCGAAGGAGTATGCTGTGCAGCTGGAATTCACGTATGTTCTCTCTTAAAAGCCTATCAAATCTAGCTTTTGTCATAAGCCAACAGTAGAAAACTATTACTGGCTTGCGTGGTGTTGGAAAACAAAGTTTGGAAGCAATTGAGAAAGGGCAAGGTAGTTAGTGTAGCTCAGGCTGGGGTTTGATATGGGGATGCTGGCTGCTGTTCATGTACTTTGTAGAAGAGAAGTCTGGAAAGTTAAAACCCCTTATCAAGCAGCCAGGTCACTATAGAACGGTGTAGGGCCAATGTACTGCAGACATTTTGGACTACAACTTTCATCATCCCTCGGGCTGGGGTGTTGTTTGGACGGTTTTGTTGGATGGGGGTTATTGCTGCTGGCTTTTTGTATCTTTATTTTAGGTCGTCTTGTGATTTATGTGAAAATTGTTCAGTTTGGTTATTTTTTAAAAAATGTTTGTTTTTACTGTTTTTGACTACTTTTTGACCACTACTTTTGTAGTTAAATATTTTTTTCATGTTGCAAGCAACCTTGGGCATGGTTTGAACTTTGGGAAGGCGGCATACCAATAAAATTATGACCATTGGCCTTGCTGACTGGGACTGATGGGAATTGTAGTCCTCAACTGGGCACCGTGTTGGTTACACCTGCTCAAGTTGATCTCTTTAAACAATTAAAAAAGGTTGGGTTGAGAAAAAATAGAAGTTCTGGGAATCCATTCTGAGGTGCAAGGAGCCAGCAACTTCTACCAGCATCTATCTGTAAGCTAAACCAGAAAAGGGGTTGGGTGATGGTACCTTAATGAAGACCTAACAGCTAGTGAGGGCGGGCTTCCAATACAGGCAATTGTTTGGTTGGCTCCACCCTTGCTGCTCCTAGCAGCAAACAGCACACAGCTCGACACAGTCCTCTTTATGACTTTTAGGTGTCACTTCTACTGATATTGGACTTCACACTCATAAAGCCATCTATCTGGAAGTCCCCTAAGAATCCCTTCAGTGTCTCATTCATGTCATAATATATCACTCTATGTCAATATACGTATAATACAATCTGACTTTTTATTTTAGGGGTGATTATGTGAATGCTTTGGCCCATTATGAGAAAGGGATTACAGGCGATAGTAAGGTAACGCTCTATTGTTGGTGATGACATTATGGTGGACTTTCACCCATGTAGTTAATTATTTTAATGATTTGCTTTAAAATCTTATTTTAAAGCACTGTAAATATTTATTTGGCTGAGGCTGATCTTGGATTAGAAATGCATTTTGTCACTTGAGCCGCAAAATATAAAAGCAGGAGATTGCTGTTGAAATAGTCGCTTTACAAACCCCTGATTCTTCATTTACCACAATTTTGGCACAGAAGAATAGAGTGGTTTGTTTCGCTCACTTAATTAGATAAATATTTGCTGTGTATTTATATTATTTTAAAGGGTAACTGGTAGGACAGTTGATCTGAGAGAACTCTTGTTATAAGGGAGTGTATTATTTTATCTTCTGTGGATGTGTTTGAAAACTGGTATGGTGCATCTTAACTGTTTTTTGCAAATGGCAATATTATAAACAAAAATAGTTAACTAGTCTAAATAGGAAGAAAACCCTTCTATTTTATAACTTTTCCCTTCAATACTTCCAGAATAATGGTTGCTGCATTTTCAAACTCTGTCTTTATTTTCTTCAAGCGTGTGTATTTTTCCCATATTTTTTATTGGTGCATGTTTATGCTATACTCCTTGTTGCCAGTTCCAAGAGCATGATGAGGCCTGCCTAGCTGGAGTTGCCCAAATGTCCATTCGCATGGGTGACATTCGCCGGGGTGTTAACCAAGCCATCAAACATCCGAGCAGAATGTTGAAAAGAGACTGCGGAGCTATTCTGGAGAGCATGAAGGTAGCTAGTGCTTTGAATACAGAAAGGAAAAGATTCACAGTATGAGTTTGCATGCTTTAGACTAACTTTTGTTTCCCTGTTTGTTTTATAGCAATTTTCAGAAGCTGCCCAGCTCTATGAAAAAGGGCAGTATTATGACAAAGCAGCATCGGTATATATCCGGTGCAAAAACTGGTAAGCACTGGTGTTGCATTCCTTTAAAATTACAGCACAAGGATAGGGAACCTGTGGCCTTTCACATGGAGTTAGATTCCAGCTCCCATCAGCCCCAGCCTGCATGAACAATTGTCTGGGCAAATGTGTCGATAGCTCAGTTGGTTAGAGCGTGGTGCTGATGACACCAAGGTTGCAGGTTTGATCCCCATATGGGACACCTGCATATTCCTGCATTGCAGGGGGTTAACCTAGATGATCCTCAGAGTCCCTTCCAACTCAACATTTCTAGGATTCTCTTGCTTTCCTTAACCGGTGATCACTTTATTTAGTCACTTTTCTAGCTTTTTGAGATTTCACTCAATTCCCAAGTGTATTATCTCAGCTGTTAAGAGCTTGAAACTTTGCTTTTTAAGAAGAAAGAAATGTAAAATTCTTGGGAAGCTGAATTACCACATTCTGCACTTTTTCTACACTTCACCAGCATCACGACATGCTGATCCAAAATAGCTCTTCTGTGAACTGAAGGGCTGAGATTTAGCAGAATCTCCACTTATGGAACAAGCAGGGGAGCTGATTTCCACCAGTTCCCCCTTCCCCATGGAACCTGCCCCACTTCTAATTCTGCTCTGAAGGTCCTCTGACCCCCTGGACCAAAGAGGAGATTGGGGGTGGTGTACACAAGGCTACAAGGGGAAGGAGGAATCAGCAAAATACCATCTTCCCTCCATTCTGTGAATGAGTGGTCTGTGGATGGAGTTTTGTTCACAGAACCCTGTGATAAATGTTGTTGTTTAGTTGTTTAGTCACGTCCAACTCTTCGTGACTCCATGGACCAGAGCACGCCAGGCACTCCTGTCTTCCACTGCCTCCCGCACTTTGGTCAAACTCATGCTGGTGGCTTCGAGAACACTGTCCAACCGTCTCGTCCTCTGTCGTCCCCTTCTCCTTGTGCCCTCAGTCTCTCCCAAAATTAGTGTCTTTTCCAGGGAGTCTTCTCATGAGGTGGCCAAAGTGTTGGAGCCTCAGCTTCACAATCTGTCCTTCTAGTGAGCACTCAGGGCTGATTTCCCTAAGAATGGAGAGGTTTGATCTTCTTGCAGTCCATGGGACTCTCAAGAGTCTCCTCCAGCACCATAATTCAAAAGCATCAATTCTTCGGCGATCAGCCTGTGATAAATAAGATACCCAATTACCCTAGTTTGAAGCAGTGCCCTATGTTCGTCAGTTATCTTAATTCTTGGTATGATGGGATTGGAGCGGGGGGTGGGGTGAGAGAAAGCAATTAAAATAATGTGTGTGTGTGAAATTACAGTTATAAAATAGAACTGTTTCTGTTGTCCAGGGCAAAGGTTGGTGAGCTTCTCCCTCACGTATCTTCTCAAAAGATACATCTTCAATATGCCAAAGCAAAGGAGGCAGATGGCAGGTATATATATTCCTTTCTGCAGTCAAATCTGATGTGACAGTCGTACTTACATTGGAGTTCGGGGCGGGTTGCTCTGCCAAGTTCAGCAGAACTTGGATCAGAGAAAGTGTGGGAAGGGTAGCGTCCGAACATTGAAATATTTGAGGACTGAAAATTAATTTTAATGACTTACTGCTGTTATTTCTGTCCTGCTTTCCGGGATACAAGTCCACAATAAACAACATTATTAAAAACTCATCATGAGCCTTCCCAAGGCAGCTGATGGTATAGCAGTCCTCCAGTAGGGAGGGAATAATCCAGCCAGAGCAGACTGAGGTGGTATTCGCCTGCCTCCCACTCTCACCTTGTATCCCTTCCACAGGACAGCTAATGGAAGAAAGGCCCTCTTTTTTCTGCTGAAGTTTTTAAATCAATTACCAGTGTGATACAACATATTGCTTTTCCTTTAAGGAACAACCAAACAAAAAACTTGTTTCCAGAATTAATATTGCCTCCTGTTTTTATCCCTTACAAGAGCAGAGGGAAAAGGCACGAAAAGAGTTTGTTCTCCACCCTCCATCTCCTTTATTTCAGATTTGCTAACCTCTGCTAACAACTTAGCATCTATAGAGAGAGCATGAAATCACTGCCCCCTGCCTCATTATTGTTCAGTTCATCTGGACTTTGCATGTGATTAAATTTTATATAGCAAAACTTAAGCAACAATAATTTGTTTAGTCCAAAAAGGGTGTGCTAATTTGAAAGTTATTATTTCTTGTTAGAAGGAATTGGCATCTTTAATAGCCCCCCCCCCATCAAATATGGGAAGGTAGAAGACAGAATATTTCTTACCACAGTTTTTAAAAAGCCTTTAAACCTGGATACTCACCAATAGTGGTTGTTCCTAGTTTTTTTTAAGATGGATTTTATTTGACAACTGGTTTCGATTAAGAGAAAAAGTGTTATAGTCTAGCTCTATACGGGGATATTTGCTGTTGCTAGGTACAAACTGGAAGAAAACTCATCTTTAAATTTTGTCAGAGTCAGATTTGAGACAAGACACTTATAAACAGAATAGCATCAAAATTAATTAAAAAGTTCTGGGAACCATTTGGCTCCATGAGTCTCTGTGGTAAGAGTTAATAGTATCTGATATAAGGTACCTACATTGCATGGGGTTGTTTCCAGACTTAGTCACACTTAAAGTAAACACACTGAAATCAATGGGCTTTTAAATAATAATAATAACAACAATCAATTAATCATCAATAATTAATAATTAGTCATGATCCAACCTATATTGCATAAATTGGTTACCAGATACCAGCAAAAGAATAATTTATCCTTATTTAGTAAAGTGTTTTTAAATGAGTAACAGCCTGTAGCCCTGGGAATTTTGAGGACTGAACCTGAAGTGTCTATGATGATCTCTCTTTCTAGATACAAAGAAGCCGTCTTGGCCTACGCAAATGCCAAGCAGTGGGACAGCGTCATCCGGCTATATTTGGATCACCTTAATAACCCAGAGAAGGCTGTTAGCATTGTCAGGGAGACGCAGTCACTTGAGGGAGCCAAGATGGTAGCCAGGTAATGCAGCTATAGTAACTCGTTTTCAGACTTTTAACAGAGTTCTAACTCTGTAGAATTGGTCAGATTATATATGTGCAAAACCCAATCTCTACAATTTGCTTTTAAAATATTTTGTTTGACTCTATTCAAATGAGAGAGGCTAAAAAAACATTTTTAAAAACAATAATAGAAAAGAGCCCCTAGCTTTTGGAAAAAGTTTTTTTTTAAAAAAACCATTTCAAACAATTCTGATGGAGAATCTGAGCTTTAAGAGTATAAATTCATTTTGACATGTACCAACCCCATTTAACTTTTATTTTAATGTTTGCTTTCTAGTTGTAGTAACAAAAGCAAAAGCAAACTTGTATTGATTCTATGATACGATTTTATGTACATCTTTATATGCAATTTACATGGATTTTGTTTTGTTCTCTTTTGATGTTGTCTAAGACTAATTTCAGGAATAGAAAAGAGCATATGGAAGATTTTTTTCATAATTTTTTTTCTGAAAGTGCCAGATACAATTTTGTATCTAGTTTTCCTGCAGAAATACATTTCATGACTAATTTGATCTCTCCAAATGGAGTATTTTACCTTCCACCCCAAATCAGAGATGGAGAACCTGGGCCTTTCAGCTGTGAGTGGGCTCCCAGTTCCCATCAGGCCCAACCAGCATGGCCAGTGATCAGGAACAATGAGAGTTGTAGTCCAGTAACATTTGGAGGTCAGCATCCCTGCCTTAAATGAAGCACCAGAGAACGCGACAGCAAGGGGTTGAGAAGGACCCTTCCAGTTATAGGAGCCTGGAGGTGTTCCATAATTCAGCCTCGTTTGTACAGAGCCACCAGCATGGCTGCAAACTTAAAATCTAAGGATCTGGAGTTGCCTAGTTGACCTTATCCATCATACTTGCCTTCTGAGACATTGCCAACCATATGTATGTATCCTTGGCATGTTTCAGGTTAGTGTAGCCTGGGTTGGAGATTAAGTGGAACATGATTGCAGAGTGGCAGGTCTTTTTCCCCCTCTTGCATGCAGCTAGTAATAGTGATTGAGCTGCTCGTGTTCTTCAACATCAACTTCGTTGGACTGGTCATGTTGTTTGGATGCCTGATTTTTGTCTTCCAAATCAACTGCTCCATTCCGAACTTAAAAATAGAAAGTGTAATGCTGGTGGTCCACAAAAGAGGTTTAAAGACTCTCTCAAGGCTAATCTAAAAAAATGTAGCATAAACACCAACAATTGGGAAACACTGGCCTGCGAGCTCTCCAGTTGGAGAACAGCCTTTACCAAAGGTATCATGGGCTTTGAAGACACTCAAGCTCAGAACGAAAGGGAGAACGTGCTAAGAGGAAGGCACACTTGCCAAACCCTCACCATGATCAACTCCTGCCTGGAAACCTATGTCCCCACTGTGGATCCAGAATTGGCCTCCACGGTCACTTAATGAACTCACTGTTAAGATTGTGTTCATGGAAGACAATCTTACTTGGCTATGAGTGATCACCAAATAAAGAAGACGACTATTTTGGGGGGCTGAATAGGAACCAACTCATGCGACTCTGCTTTCCTGACTCCTAATGAGCTTGCAGGCATACAGAATCTCTGCACCTGCCCTCATCATAGCATTGGTGGGAGCAAGATCATGCCCTTGGCTTTTAAAATAGTATGGAAGCCTATGAACAAGGCCTGTCTTATTTTTTTAAAGCATTGTACAGCATGTAGTGTTTTTTAAACGTGTTATTAATAAATAATAATGATATAGTAGGCTCAGAGATACGATTGTTGAAAATCTGCCCTGAAGAGTAAGCTTAAGGCAGCTTACAACTGGTTATGGGTGTAATGAGAAATGCTGCTTCAGTGTTAAAAATACTGTGGATGCTCCTGCAAATCATTACATGGATTTCATGGATTCTGTTCGTTATACTTTAAAATAGTATAACAGATTTGTTAATTTGGTTTAGATTCTTTCTGCAATTGGGTGACTACGGGTCTGCCATCCAGTTTTTGGTGATGTCCAAGTGTAACAACGAAGCTTTCTCGCTGGCCCAGCAGCACAATAAGATGGAGATCTATGCTGATATAATTAGTGAGTATTGCATCCTCTTGGATACTGTTTACCACTGGAAAAACACTGCCAGTGCAATCCTATACATGTCTAATCAGAAGCAGGAGCAACCCAGTCAGTTGGGTGGGGTGCAAATAATGAAATTATTATTGTAAGAAAGTCCTATTGAGTTTCTCCCCCCCCCCAATCTATTGCAGGTTCTGAGGACACCACTAATGAAGATTACCAAAGCATTGCCTTATATTTTGAAGGAGAGAAGAAACATTTTCAGGCGGGCAGATTCTTTCTTCTGTGTGGTCAATATGCACGGGTTAGTATAGAAACTTGCTGAGTCAGACTAAGGGCCAACCTATGGGAGATCTGTGCTCTTCCAACGTCATTTTCTTTGCTTTGAAAATAACTGCATTGGGTCTAATTTAGATCAGAACTGAAATGTAAAAAATTTTGTCCGTGCCTAATAGCAGCTTACAGATATTTAAAGGAAGTGGTCAGGGCGGGGAGAGGAAGAGAGAAAGACATAGGACTCCCCCACTATCTTCTCCCTGTAATTTCATTCAATAGCAGCACTGCTCCCAGTTCCACACTTCTCATTAACCCTGTTCTGCACATTTCTCGTGTTATTCTGGCTGAAAGGTGACTCCTGCTTGCCAGGATGGAGAGAGAGGTGTGCCTGACCACACCTGCTTTTGCCACACTCGCCATTGGTACGTGGACCTGGGAAGGTTGTCCATGAGGAAATGTGGCCCTCATTAAAAGAGGAGGCGAGATTTAGGCAATACAGTTAGCACCAAAGCTTCCTAGACAACTGTTTAGGAGAGCACAAAATGCCGCTGTATTGTGTGTATTATCCAGTTAAGAACCTGAACGTCTTTCATGAAGTAGAGACATTGGGGAATTAGGCTGATGCTGTGTTTTGGGGGCATATCTAGATCTCCTGGTCATTTTTAAAACTACCAACCTAGTCAGCCAATTGGTTAACATTAATTTCTAGCTTTTGAAGCACTTAGTAACATAAGACACATTCTCCTTAGAAATGCAGGTGATTTGAAGAGTAATTTGTTCATAGAGAAATACTCAGATATAAGGCATTAAATGCTGTATGTGGTTTTTTTCAGGCATTAAAGCACTTTCTGAAAAATCCAAATGCGGATGATACTATGGCTATAGAAATGGCAATAGAAACGGTAAGAAACATCATTTAGGAAGGAGAGGATTCTTCCTTTTACCCGAAACTCAGTATCATTGCTATAATTGATTAAGCAGAGAACCAATGCCAGACTATTTGTTTTATATTTATTTTACAGCCTGTATTTTACTCTTCTTCCTAAATTGGAACCCTTTACTTATTATGTTAAATATCCTCTACTTTAGACCCTTCAATGTGGTATAATTACTTGTAAATAACAGATTTGTAGGCCTGGGATACCAAATTATTTGTGGCTTGACTGTATAAGTGTTGTTCATTTCACATAAAAGAACCTTCCCTACAGTGTGTTGTGTTACTCCATTCACAATTTATTTTCAATAGGTAGGACAGGCGAAAGATGAAGCTTTGACCAATCAGCTTATAAATCACCTTATGGGAGAGAGTGATGGAATACCAAAGGTACTAAATTCCAAATATAGACTTATGTTTAATATAATTGTTCCTCTATTAGTTTGGTTTTTTTAAATTAAATGGCCTCTGGTCTAGATTTTCAAACTCAGACCCTATCTGCACTATACATTTAAAGCGGTACCATACCACTTTAAACAGTTGTGGCTTCCCCAAAAGAGTCCTTGGCAGTGTAGTTATTACAGAATGCTGAGAGTTGTTAGTGGGCCACTATTCTCCATACAGAATTACAATTCCCAGAGTCCCTTGGGAAGAGAAATTGTTAAACGTCTTTGACAACTGGCAAACCTAGATTTGCCTTAATGTAATGGGTGTAGAGTGGCCCTAGTTTCAGGGTAGCAATTTACCTGTACGGACTGTTGCTTTTTTTGTCTGTTTCTGAGAGACTGACTGTGTCCATACTGCATTAGACCTGAGTATGACTCCTGAATTTTGCCTATAATCTGTGGTTCATTGGCAGAGAAATTGGAATAAAAGCCTAAGACAAGGAGGCAGAGGAAGCCTGACAAATTGTATAAGAACTGAGCTGTGGATGTTCCTGGCAGTATACCAAAAGCTAGTTTCCTTAAAAATATTTTCTGTGCTAAGACTGATGTTGGGTCTGGTTTTATTTTGCTGTGTGTTTGTCATCTCTGCACATTTCTTCCTCTTACATAAAATTGGGATGGGAAATGCTTTGGAACCAAATCCATTTTTAATAGTAGACATAGTTTTACCTTGTGTAATCATTTTCATTGCTTTATTTAACAAGTTTTATTTGGAATAGTTCTATTTTCTCATTTAAAACCTTTGTTCTTCTAACTGCTATACTGCATCTGCCATAGTCTCTTTCTGTGAGTAATTTTTTTTTTTTACTTTAACCAATCATAGCTGCTATTTAACTTTTTGTTTTTAAAATAATTTATGAGGCTGCTTCCTTTAGTATATGCACTTACTCAAGTGTAAGACCCATTGAACTCAATGCATAGGATTGTGCTGTAAAAGGACAAGACTCTATGCTCATTGTTTGCATCATTTGTGGAAAATGACTTGTAGCATTTCTGAACCCCTATCCCACAATGTTTTAGGATAATTTATAATGCTGGGGTTATGCTGGCTTAACTAGTTTTCAACCCAGAACACATTCACAGTATCTAAACTATTTCAATCAGTATTAGCTAGATAACAGAGGAATATTAACTAATGTATACTGTAATAACTGCACTAATGTATACTGTAATAACAGCATGCTACAGTGTTCTAATACCATTTATGGCTTAACTTGTCCAATTTAAACATAGCTGTTTGGCATAAACTGATTTGATTAAAAGAAACTGAAAATTCTTATTTTATGTTTGGAAACTTTAAAGACAAATGCTTATTTATTTTTTAAAAACTATTACTAAAAATGGGAGGGAAAGCTGTATTTTTAAAAAAGCTATCACTAAAATATTTTTTCAGCTGAGATAATTTCAGCTGACTGATTTTATTGTGTATTGCAAAATAACACTTTAACCCTGTGGAAATGTTCAGATTTTATACATGTATGGGAAGCTATTCAACAAACTAGCTCAGTAGTGTAAAAAATTTGTGGAACCAAGGCTTTCCATATGCACACAGAAAACCTGGGCAAACGAGGCTGTGCTTAAAGCTCAGCAGCTCCTCAGCAGTTCTGGCTGAAGTATGGCTAAGATGCATGTGTGGATAAATAGACACTGTCTTCTCTTACTCATCTGTTTCCTTGCTCTAATAAAGGAAGCCAAGTATCTGTTTCGGCTGTACATGGCACTCAAGCAATACCGAGAAGCTGCCCGGACGGCCATAATAATTGCCAGAGAAGAACAGTGTGCAGGTAAGACACTTATGCTTCCAGCAGTCTGCGACGTTTGTGCACTTCTGTTTTGTTTGGAGCAACAAATATGACAAACGACAAGAGCAGGAGGGCGAATGAAGGGGAAGGAGACAAGAGTGTGAAGCATCTTCAGTGCATTGCCTTTTCTCTGCAGAAGCGAGAACTGGCATGGGGTTGAGATTTGTACCTTGTCTCTCATTTTCTCCCTGGGCTACAACATTTATTACTGCTTGCGTTACCTGCCTGTAGGCCTCCAGGTGCTTTTGGACTGCAGCTCCCATCAGCCCCAGCCAGCATGACCAATGGTCAGGGATGATGGGAGCTGTAGTCCAACAGCATCTGAAGAGCCACAGGTTTCCTGTCCCTGCTCTAGACATTGGTGGCTAGAGATGCAAATTGTTTTGGTGAGCATGATATCACTAGACAAGTAGTGTCCGTGTAAGATGCCTTATATGCTGGCAGTTACTAATACAGTCTTGCTAAATTTACTTAAATCAGCTGAAATGAAGAGAAGCTGGAATATAAGGGGGCACAGTATCCTTCTGAAACCTAATTAGTATTTTTTGTCATTTATTTATATAAAAAGGGAACTACCGAAATGCCCATGATGTTCTCTTCAGTATGTATTCGGAGCTGAAAACCCAGAAAATCAAAATACCGTCTGAAATGGCTACAAACCTTATGATTCTGCACAGCTATATTTTAGTAAAGGTAAAGCCTTGAAAATATTTATGGAAACTTGTGAAAAATGAAATGCATATTGCCCACCACTGCCTTTACCTGATAGTATAAGTGGATTCCTGATCACTTTGGGAAAATGTGTCTAAGAAAAATGCTTCATTGTTTAGCTCCAAAGTTCTCAAAGGGCCTCACACACTGTGTGTGTGTGTGTGTGTGTGTGTGTGTGTGAGAGAGAGAGAGAGAGAGAGAGAGAGAGAGAGAGCACGCACCACATGGTTGGAAAGACCTTCAAGATTGCAACTGTTTAGCTTTGTGAATAACTCACATTTCTCTCTCAGATTCACGTTAAATGTGGCGACCATTTGAAGGGAGCACGTATGCTCATTCGTGTGGCCAACAACATCAGCAAATTTCCATCCCGTAAGTGTTAACTATACTGGGAAGTGGCACCTGCCGTTCTCAACCTTGCATCCCCAGACTGATGGTTGGACTACAACTCCCATCAGCCCTGGTCACTGGTCCTGGTAGTTATAGAGATGATGGGAGTTCCCATGACATCTGGGGACCCAAGGTTGAGAACAGCTCCATTATGTAGACCAGCTGTTAATGGGGGTTATTACTTCCTCTTTGTGTCATATAATTGATCAGATGACCAGAGAGGGGACGATTGGCTTCCCTGTCAGGGCACTGGATGGGCAGAAAGGCTAAACCTCTGCCAACTCCATCAATATGTCTACTTCAACTTTTCTTTTTGCTGCCACCATCACAATTGATGTGGTCTTGAGTGGGGAGCAGAAAACTTGCTTGGGGGCCTATACCAGACCACCAGGCCAGGGGTTAACCATTGCTGCTTTAGGAATTACTCCCAGTTAGTGAATTGCCCAAGGGCATGTAACTGAAATTCAAGCATTGGTAGAGATGGTCCTGGAGCAAGTGGAACTTCAGTTTTACTCAACGAAACATTTCTTTCGTTCTTAGAATAATTGCATGAATTTACTAGAAATATACGCAGCTAATTGATGCCAGCTGTTGGGTGTCGTTGCTATTCCTATCCCTTCCCATGTGTTTTCTGTAAAATTCAGGAAAGTCAAATCAATTAGCAGCTCTCTGGAAATCCGGAAAGTTATAACTGGAAGCCAAAAATGAAGGACCATAGCCCAAGGCTTTCTATCGCCATTGGAAATAAAATTATTGCCATTGTTCTTCTTGTAGACATTGTGCCCATCCTGACTTCAACAGTCATTGAATGTCACAGAGCAGGACTGAAGAAGTCAGCATTTGGTTTTGCTGCAATGTTGATGAGACCAGAGTACCGTAATAAAATTGATCTGAAATACAAAAAGAAGATTGAAGCCATGGTTAGGTGAGTTGTCTCTGTGTAACTGAAGTTTGGAAATGCATTGATAAGAGTTAGCTTGAAAGCATTGTGGCAGTACTTGAAAACTGCAATTTGATGCACACTTACTTGGGAGTAAGTCCTATGAAATGCAGTAGAACTTACTTTTAAGTAAATATGCATTGGTATTGGCTGTTAAGCAGAGTTATCAACAACCACAAATTTTAGTCTGTGCCCCAACCCTACAAGCAACACATGTAATAATATTACATGCAAAAGCAGGATCCAGGAGACATTTCAATTGTTTTGTTACGTATCAACCTGATTTATTTGAAGACAACACTCTAGAAAGGTTTGATGATGTTGCCAAACCACCATATATGAAAATAAGTACCTTTGACTGTGCACCCCCTCCAACAAGTAGCGTTGACTTCTTTAGATATTTGGGGTAGCCTCACCTGTGTATAATGCCACCTATGCAGAAGTTTTAATAAGTATTTCCTGAGTTTTGCAGAAACCGATGTCAAAAATATATTTCATAAGTACTAGTGTTCCAGAGGCAGCTAATAGAGTCATTTACAGTAATAACTGTATTGCAAAGCCAATCTGCTGAATTGTCATCTGGTTGGAAGGATAAAGGCACTGTGGCTCTCCAGATGTTGCTGGATTATTGGAGTTGTAGTCCAAGTTTAATCTTGGCTTCCTGCAGACTCTGGTTCACATGCAACATAAAGCTAGCCTCTGGTTTGTTTCCTCTAGCCTGGCAAGGGAGCAGAGGAACAAGTTTGGAACTTTTGAGCTACATACATCAGCATGCTGCTTATTTGCATTAAGCATCTTTCATTACATTTATTCTCATTTATCATCAGAGCTAAGCCTCTATAAGCTAGGAACGCACTTCTGCTATCCTCGTAGATTAAAAAAACCTGACCGTCTTTGTTAAAATGTCTTAATGGAATTTCTTTCTACTAACAGACGACCTGACACAGCCGAAGCAGAAGAGCCCACCACCCCATGTCCCTACTGTGAATTCTTGCTGCCTGAATGCGAGCTTCTCTGTCCTGGCTGTAAAAACAACCTCCCATACTGTATTGCCACAGTAAGTATCATTTGAATATAATAGACTACTCTTCAGGAAGGTCTAACTGTTCTTACCATAAATTTCTAATGCTGAAACTGAAAAATCCTATTATTTGAAACTGGTTCACACTATTTGTTTCCACTCTGCAAAATCTCAGAATTTTCTTGCTTTTTGAATGTTACTTTTAGATTTTGCACCCTTTGGTGCCCCCCTGCTACATGTCATTGGTTTAGAAACAAGTCACTTGCAGCATATGCACCCAATGGCCTCTGTCCACTATAGGTTGATGCAGAGCAATTTGGAATATTTTCCACCAGGTTTAATCACCCTCTTCATTTTAGGGACGACATATGGTAAAAGATGACTGGACTGTGTGCCCCCACTGTGACTTCCCCGCCCTGTATTCAGCATTCAGAAAGTAAGTTGGAATCTTTTTTATCTTCCTTTAGGATATTACTTAAATGCCAGAGACGTTTACCATGATCCTCAAAGCAAACCAGACACTAGATCGATTCAATATATACATGAGATTTGCAGCCAATCATCTGTTAAGTACAGTGGTACCTCGGGTTACATACGCTTCAGGTTACAGACTCTCTTAACCCAGAAATATTGCTTCAGGTTAAGAACTTTGCTTCAGGATGAGAACCGAAATTGTGCTCCGGCGGCACAGCAGCAGCAGGAGGCCCCATTAGCTAAAGTGGTACTTCAGGTTAAGAACAGTTTCAGGTTAAGAATGGACCTCCAGAACGAATTAAGTACTTAACGCGAGGTACCACTGTATATTTTGAATTAAAAATTGAACTTCAGCTTTCCTCACCTCTGAAACGCTTGGCCTTGCACACCTTGTTTGTACAACTGTGTACACTAGATTTCCCTTCAGCTAGGTGGCACCATAACCTATGCCATCCCTGCTTAGCCAAAGAAAATCTGCCCTTCAGATAGGCACCAACCATACTTTTTCCTTTTCTGCTCAATTATTTAAGCCAACATAGAGCACCATTACTTTCTCAAGGACCCCCCTTTCCTTTCCTGGGCCCCTTTTTGCATAAGTCCTTCTGCCTGCCCTGCCCTTCTCTAGGATCATTGTATTCCAGCCAAATAGAGAGAACTTGTCTGCCCTGCATCTCTGTGAACTTAGCCAATCAGTGCCAGAGGCTCCATCACAAAACTCCATAGCACATTACAGTTAGGACTGAGTTGAAAGTGTTTGTTGTGTCTGTCTGCAAGGTCTTCATTAACATTACAATATGTATTGACTGGCTAGGATCATGTCCAAGAAGCATTCATTTCCTTTATTCTAAACCGGCTTTATTTGCCCTCAGTGAAGTCAGCACGTGGTCAAAATTTACTGCATACATAACTTTGTGGCATCCTAAATGATCCTTGGTTGGCTGGGATAACTCTAGGAAACGGGGCAAGACTCTAGCCATCTGCAGTGGAATGGGGAAAACAATGCATATAAACATATTTGAGAAGTTGCAAATTTGCACTTACGATGGGTTTGTGGGGAGAACATCTCCACTTCCTGGCCAAGCACTTTTAATTCTGAAAATTGAAATGGACATTTATTTAACACAACCCTAGGAATATTTCTGAACATTTAACTTGACTTGTACGACTAGTATTACAAGTTCTGGGGATCATCTGATAAAAGCAAACAGCCTTTTTTAGTGGCTGGGCTGGTCTCCCAGAGTATTCTGTTAGGACACTGAGCTGACTCTAGGAGCAGTCCGTGTGTTCACTGCATTTTTGCGGTTCCTGATATTAGGAATCTATTCCTGTTTGGCACATTCCAAGTGCTGAAACCTGACAACATGGGCAGCAATACTTTTTAAGGGTATGCAGCCTCATGTACCTTCAGAAGAAGAAGAAGAGTTTGGATTTGATATCCCGCCTTTCACTCCCTTTAAGGAGTCTCAAAGCGGCTAACATTCTCCTTTCCCTTCCTCCCCCACAACAAATACTCTGTGAGGTGAGCGGGGCTGAGAGACTTCAAAGAAGTGTGTCTGGCCCATGGTCACCTAGCGGCTGCATGTGGAGGAGCGGAGACGCGAACCCAGTTCCCCAGATTACGAGTCTATCGCTCTTAACCACTACACCACACTGGCTCTCAGCATCAACAAAGCACTTGGACAAAGAAAATCCCTTCCTCCATTGCCCCAAGGTGCCAAAGTTATTCACCTGTAAGACCAGGCATAGGCAAACTCCAGCCCTCCAGATGTTTGGGATTACAATTCCCATCATCCCTAGCTAACAGGACCAGTGGTCAGGGATGATGGGAATTGTAGTCTCAAAACATCTGGAGGGCCGGAGTTTGCCTGTGCCTGTGTAAGACAGACACAAACTATTTTGACCAGTATAAAATAATCAAAATGACAGGGCATGTTATGAAAATGTGTCTTTCTCAAACAGCTTGTTACAGTATGAAAGCACATGTCCCATGTGTTCAGAAAAAGTTGAGATTATGAGCCTTAAGAAAACTGCTGACTGTACACCATACCTCAAGCCTGAAGTGGAGCAATGATTGTAGTCGGGTAAGTGTTTCAACCTTGGGTCTCATTTCTAGAACTTCATAGCATCTTATGGACTAAATTTTTATTTCGTTAATGTCTAAGGGAGCAAACTGTCCAACTGGTGTCTGGTTTCTCTGGCAGTGATTAAGGCATGTGGTTCTTGTTCTGACTTCCTCATTGATGATCTATATAATCACTGAGCCACCAAAATTTTAAAAAATGCAAATGTGGCATAGGTTTAAAATGGGTGCTCTGGGAAGTTAGGAATCCTAGGGCTCTACTTCTTTTCAACCATCAGGTTTTTGTTACTTCTGAAATGGCAGCAGCTGTGTTTCATATGGCACAGGACACCCAGGCAGGATGTTTTCAGATCTTACTGCCAATGGCAGCTGGGTGACAGGCTATGAACGTAGTAGTGCAGTGCTGTCTGCATCATGTTGATTTGGCGGGGAAGGAATGCAGAGAAACCCTCAAGAGCCATCAAAGAGGTGATGTGATTACAGAATCATAGCGTTGGGTTGCTAAGGGCATCTAGTCCAACACACTGCAATACAGGAATCTCAAAAATTTAATGGAATATTGACTTTTAAATGCTAAAAAAATTAGGTAGTTTGTGGTCGTATATAGCACTGAGGGGAATTTTATAGGAGAGTTTATTGAAATAATGTAGAAACATAATTTTAAAAGTTTGCCACTTGTTCTCGTTTTCCCAGAATGTTGAATCTATGTAGTTTGCAACATTTCATGTTTTTAGCTACCAGACTGGTGTTCTCTAATACAAAATGTTCAGAGTTAGAACATCTGTGTTTATTTTCAGGAGATAGTGGCCAGCCAAATGCTGCAACGCTAAAGGATGCTTCAAAACTTTAAGCCCAGTTGGTACGGCTATGCTTGAAATTATTTTATAGTTTATCAGATCTGTGAAACTGTAAATATTTCTTTTATAGAAATTTTGTACTATGGCCTTTTTGGTTTACAATAAATTTTTAATGCTAAAAATTAGTCTTAAATCTATGTAGCTGGCAAGATTTCTTGAAGATGGCAAGGGCAGGGTGGAAGTAGAGAACAAATTTGATTATTTAGGCCAGGGCCTAAACCCCAGTCGGTGTAAGATACAAGAAGTAAAAAAAGAAAAATTGGTTAAAAATATGAAATTAGTTTTATTGCAATTTTTAAACATTGCTGTGTTCTCATAATGTACAAGAGACCAATCTATATACTATATATATACAGGAATTGAAAACATAATAATAGCTATTTTTAAAAAGTATCAGCTTTGCACAGATGAAATATTGTAAATGCAACAAACAGGCCAGTGTTTATTTTTTCTAGATGTTAACTAAGCCACTGCGCATACAAATCAGTAGACAGAGAATTGCATTTAGTCCTATTTATTCAGTATATTACATATTTGTATTTGTGTAGTGATGATAAAATGACTAAGCTTGTTTTATCAACACCTCCAGCATAAAGTAACAGTTGCATAGCTGGTTCGGAGCATTTGTCAGCACTGAACCATTTATTTAGACTTCTTCTTGGCTTTCCCCTTTTTAACATCTCCGTTCCTTTTTGGTTGTTTAGCAGTCTTGGTTGTCTTCTGCAGAAAAGAAAAATCAGGTTTTAAGTCAGATGAAAATTTCGGTCCCAAGGAATACTTGCAAATTGCTTTTAAGGTCTCCAAAAGCACTAGAGCTGGGCGATATGGTTTTCAGCATTGTGGTATAGCAGCAGCTAAATGCTGCTATACCATAATGTCTGAAATGTATCGGCTGCTTCCTCCTCTGCACCTTAGGGGAGGAAGAAGCAGCCAGCTACATTGCCCAGGCCTTCAGCTGAGCAAGCCCCTTTACGTTACCATACAAGCTGGAGGGTAGGGTCATAGGGGCTTCCTTAAGCTGCTCTGTGTGTTGCCTCCTCCTGAGCAGGCAGGGGGGCAGTCTCTTTCCTCCTTGTTGGTCACTTGGGAGTTGTAAGACCAGCCACTTGCTTCTGTGGACGACTGGGTGCCCCTGGCTGCCTTCATCCAAGCAGGTGTGCTGCATCTTTACCCTGGTCAATCACCCTGGGAGTAAAGACGCAGTCTGTCCAGCCAGGTGGCAGTAGCCAAGCAGGTGGAGCCTGTAAGGCTTTGGTTGCAGGGTTTCCACCCACCGAGGGACACGCAGCTGCCTGTACCCCGGGGGGGGGGGCTTGATCAGTTTCTCAGCTGGCCAATGCGCCCCCCCCCCATGGGGGCTTCATTAAACTGCTCCACTGCAGAGCAGCTGAAAGAAGCTTCCTGCAGGTGAAACAGCAGCCACTCCTGTGTCCCTCTGGTGTGGCAGAGGGACTCAGGAGCAGCAACTGTCTCACCTGCGATACACCACCGGATGAAGCAGCCATCATGGTCTGGCCCATGTATCAACATATCACCCAGGCCAAAAAAGCACACATTTCTTTTTTAAAAATACCACCCCTCCTTCCCAAGGGAAGCTGTAAGGAAAGAGAAAGTATGAAGGGATAAGTTGACCAGAACAAATAAATAAAAGCATCTTTCCTGTAATACTTCCCTGCTCACACTTCGAAGTTCAGTGAACATTTAGAAAGGATGGGAATGAAAACCAAATGATTATAAGGAAAATTATACAGATGAAGAAAAATAACGTCACATTTTATACTTCATGCCAGAAAATCAGTAGTATTGAGGACAGTTTCTATTAAATTGCAAGGTTTCACAACTGCAACACAGTTAGCATGATAGAATAATGTATCATGGCAACATTTCTTCAGTAAGGAAAGATGGCATATGAAGACATCAACTTGCCAGTTTTCAGAGATGTTATAATACTAGTTTGCTTTCAGTAAGACAAACCATGATCCTCGTAGGTTTAGATGCACTGTAAACTATTACCCCTGGTTTACCATGATATGCAAATAAGGCCACTACTACATTTACTCAGGGTTGGTTCCCCACAACAGCTGCTTCCATGGGAAATGGAACATGTTCCCATGGAAATACACAGAGTATGCAGTGGAACTGCATTCCATGTGTCTGTCGAGAAATGCAAAGGTCCAAGATAACTGCTATTTCCCGCTTGCAAATCTTCCCTGAAAAGACTATGGATTATTAATTTTCACATAACATTTTCCACACGTACACCTCCAGAGGAATAATTCCCAAAGCTCTTGTGGAAAGCAAACATTCAAGGGCTACCCTCAGCTTCCAACATTATGAAAACATATGACAGTTATCAGGCTCTAATTTATTTTCCTGCTATGAACAAGTCATCTGTTGCAAGCCGGGGGGGGGGGGTTACTAAGGATTTAAGAATCAAGGTGTCTGAACACTTTTGGCCCCAACTTCAGACCAATCACTTTACTGGTGTAAACAAGACTTAATAAAAACACACACTGGCATATGACAGAAGCCTTGTGCAAATCAGTCCCTGGTTTTATTAAACCTTTAAAGATGGTTTGATTTTCCCTGGCATTTAACTGCCCTGTCAGCCAAAAAATGTTACCTTAATCATTGCATCATTTTCAATAGTGTCTTGCTCATTCTCAGACGGGATTTCTTCAGCTTCCAGTTCTTCATCCACCGTCGATCCTGCTCGTCGATTCGCCTTATGCACCACTTGCAGAGAATATGGTGTAAGGTGTGCCTCTTTGTTATAGGCTCGCGTGAAGGCAGATTTAACCTGCACACAATAAAGGAAAGACACTGAAGTTTCTCTGTGGCCACTTACCAGCTGTGAGCAGCAGTTTTGAAGCAGCATTCTGGGGAATTCAGGAGTACCGTAAGGGCAATAATAGCAGAAAGGTTTTCTGAAAAGACAGCTTTTCCATTACTGCTGATCTTTTCAAGTAATGTGCAAATGCAAGGCAGGTGTTTGCCAGCCTTCACTCGGTTCACATGAAGTAATGGAGTCCAACAACCCTGAACACCATGCCTTGGAATGCTCTGCAAATGCTCTGCAAAAACAGTGGTTGCATGAGAAGATGTAAGGATGTTTGAAAACCACTGTGTTAGGTTTAAACTGAACCTTGTTAGGTTTAAACTGAACCTCAGCTAGGACACATCATCCCCAGTAAAACAAAACAAGGGTAGAACATTTTGAAGAGAAAAGGAGATTTCCATTTTCAATGAGAGGAGGAGGAGGAAAAGGGTCCCAGCCAAGGAGTGCAGTCCAATGTCAAGAACATTTCCTCAGGATAAAAATCATTCAAGAGGTGTTTATCTGACTTGGGGTGGATGGGAGCAGAGTTGGTGGATAGATCCAAAGCTAAAGTTGTTGGAGTAGAGTGGAGCTACCCATTTCCATTCTGTCAAACCTCTCCCTTCTTTCTCAGCCATAAATATCTTGTGTGCACAGCAGTTAGTCTTGGAAAAAGGTCCCATTTATGGCCAGGGCAGGGCAGGGCTAACCCTCCCACCACAATTGAGCCTAATTGTTGTGTGCAGGGGAGAGATTGTGGACTGGACCGCAAACCTGCTGTGGGCCACATCCGACCCATGGGCCAGTATTTCTCATCCTTGAAAGGGAATAAAATCTTCCTCTTAAGAATAAACTCTCACTTTTGGGAGGTTCCCAAATACTGACAAACTGGCCTAAGTATCTTAACACGTGAGCTCTAACCCACAGAAACGGAACCTTGCCTGTTACTATCTTCCTTAGGCCTTTCTGCTCGCTCACTCTTCTTTACCTGCAAGGGCCTGACTCATGTATCAGCCAAACCCAAAGGATTCCATATGGCAAATCTAGTTGACTTCTGAAGCAGTCGGTTAATTGGCCCACCTACAACCTTATCTGTTCTGCTCTGAGCTTATTTGAACAACAAGATCTAAACATTCTTAAAAAAAACCCACCGCTTATATAATCAGCCTAGTGACTAATACCATGCAAAGGCACTGACTTCAGCAAGCTGAGTGCCTTTGTATGTTAAGAGAAGGATGAGCTAGACATGCCCTGGTTAGTGTGGAAGGCACCTGGAAGCAAGTGGGTAAACCCCCTATATGGTTGAGGCTGGGGGACATAACCCTCTCTGTCTTTGATTCTCCCTTCATATCTGCTAGAAGGAATATTCGCAATAAGTAATCTGTGTCCCCAGGAGGCACAGACGGTGGCGGAGCTTCATGGTCCAGCACCAGGGGGGGCGGAGAGCAGGCGGGGGCGGGGATGGCACACATCCTGGGGGCAGGGTGCCCAGCGCAGGTGGGGAGGCAGCCGCGATGGCACCCCACCAGGGCTAGGCGCTCCCCCTGCACTCCTCTTCCTCCGCCAGTGGGCACAGAGGGTTAAATCCCCCAATGACTCATGCCTAGACAGTGCAAGGAAAGTTAACGCACTCATTTCTGGATGCCTCCTAAGGTAAAGGATCCCTGGACGGTTAAGTCCAGTAGAATTAAGACTATGGGGTGCAGTGCTTATCTCGCTTCAGGCCAAAGAAGCCAGCGTTTGTCCACAGACAGCTTTCTGGGTCATGTGGCCAGCATGACTAAACCACTTCTGGCACCACAGAACACCGTGACGAGTGCCAGAGCACACGGAAACGCAGTTTACCTTCCTGCTGCAGCGGTACCTATTTCTCTACTTGCACTGGTATGCTTTCAAACTGCTAGGTTGGCAGGTGCTGGGACAGAGCAACAGGAGCTCAACCCGCCATGTGAATTTGAACTGCCAACCTTATCAGCAAACTCAAGAGGCTCCGGGGGGGGGGGGGGAGGACACACACACGTATGAGAATCCTATTTAAGGAAGCCCATAAAATGTTTTTGGCAGACAATAATCCATGTAAGAGCAACTTACCTTGGAATCAACTTTAGAAAATTCACTAGGTTTGCCTCCCCAACTGGTTACTTCCATTATGCTTTCGACATCTTCCTTCATCAAGCAGTAAGTATCCATAAATGCTACTACATCCTGCACTCCATCTGTTCCCAGGCAAGTCAAAGGTTTCACAATTGCATCTCGTAAGTATGACAAATAGTCCAGATTTACTGCTCTCTTGCTTGCATGTGTCCTATAGGGAGGGAGAAGAAGCATTATGTGGGTTTCCCCCTAAAGCCTTTCTGAAGGCAGTGAGGGCTCGTGCTCTGCATACAGGTAATCGCAGGTCCCATCGTTGCGATATTCTAATGAACATCACTCAGTGGGTTGAAGTATAGCCATACTTCCAGACTGGTATAAAGCATATGTAAGTTCATCTGAAGGGCAAAACAGAGGCAGGAGGGCGTGCTTAGCATGTTGGAAAGTACCTATGTGCCAAGCAGGCAATGTGGCTCAAGGGACTACCGATAAAGGTGAGGAGTCATGCAGCAGGACCTTTTACCCATAGAATACTCTCTAAACCAGAATTGTTCTGCCCACCCAAAATACTATGAATGCAGCAGTCATCTACCCGACAACGTAACATGTTTAAGATCTATCTTGCAGAATGGGAATACCAGTTTAATGCAAAGTCAAGAGAGAATGTGGGTACTGAAAAAAATGTGTAAGAACTCAGCATTTTGACCCATTTCCTGTTGATAAATTGTGTTCTGCAGAATTCTAACTACAGAAGAAATGCTTTGCAGGTTTCAGTAACCACCAGTAAAAAAGAATCTCACATTCTAAACCTTTGGCAACTTGATCACTGTGGCCATGTTTACACAATTAACAACAACCCTGTGAGGTAGATTAAAAGGCTGTGACTGGCCCAAGGTCACCCAGTGAGCTTTATGACTGAATGGGGATTTGAACCCTGATCTCCCAGGTCCGAGTCCGACACACTAACCGCTACACCACCCTGGCTTCCTAGAGTCCTTGTGCTATGGAGCAGCTATATAAATTAAGTAGGTAAATAAATATAGGGAAAGCAAAATGTCACTTAGAGAAGGATCTGAAATATTTCCCCTGAAGCATGCATTTGTTTTTTTGATGTTTTAATGTGCTGCAAACTGCTTTGAGATTTAAAAAAAAATATAAAGTAGTGTAGAAATGAGATGAATAGTAAGAATAAATTTAATGGGGGACGGGGACGGTACCAAAACATTCTGTTGTGGTGATCATAACCTAGTTTCAGGTGCCGTTTGGCTTATATATCTGAGTTTCTAACACTGCCCATAATGGGGGAATTTGCAACACAGGTCACCAGGATTACCTGAGGCTCATGTGCATCGACAGCTCTTGCATGATACGGTCGTGCTTTCCTGTTGATGAAAATTTGCCCAGCCAGCTTGGGAAATTTGGGAATTGTTTCATGTAGCCTCTCATCAGCTCCCCGGGGAGGACACTTGAATAAATGGCCTGAACAATGAAAGAAACATCCATCAGTTTTCCCTGGAGACTATAATGGACACCATTATTTTCTAATACGCTACACAGAAAATACAGAATGGTACCCAAGGCAATAGTAGCAGAACAGAGGTGAAGATGGAAGCCCCATCACCAGCACAGAGTAGGGATCCTCTTCCAGCCCAGGGCCCCCATTAATTCCAGGGGTCATGTGTTGGGCCCAGCAAGAGGCAAAGTAGTGGGCTACATTTCAATCACGTAAAAGACGAGGTTTCTGCAAACATATCACTCTGTCCAGGAAAGCAAGAGGCATCACAGGCTAAAAGCACATTCCAGCAAGGCAAAATACCACATTTTTCGCTCTGTAAGACGCACTTTTCCCCTCCTAAAAAGTAAGGGAAAATGTGTGTGAGTCTTATGGAGCGAATGCAGGCGGGAGGCTCTGCTTGGTGCTCCCTTTAAAGAGCTGTGTGGAGCGTGTGTGCGGCTCTTGGGGGCTTTTCCCCAAGGAGGGAGAAGGGCAGCCCTCCTCCCTCCTCGCTACGCAGTGATCCCGCTTGCTGTCCTGACTTCTGCCTTAGCCACTCGCAGCCTCTTCCGGGCAGGGGGAGCCTTCATCCCGCTGCCCAGGAGTGGCTGCGCGCGGCTATCCCGTAAGCCAGGACAGCAAGAGGCTATCCCAGAAGCCAGATCCCTCTTGCTGTTCTGGCTTCTGGGATTCAGAATATTTTTTTTCTTGTTTTCCTCCTCCAAAAACTAGGTGCGTCCTATGGTCTGGTGCGTCTTATAGAGCGAAAAAACGGTAACTTGAGGGTACAAAGCTTGGAGAGTCTTAAGGACCAGGCAGGCCAGGTCACATGTGAAGGTTCAGATAAACTTCCAAGGGAGAGGTTGGTGCTTACTGGGAAGTAGCCACAGGCTGTGGCTGTTAACTTTGATCCCTGTACATGGCTCCTGTGCTTTGAGATGGAAATTGTGCCAAACTCAGTTGGTAGAGCATGAGACTCTCAGGGTCATAGGTTCAAGCCACACTTGGGGCAAAAGATTACAGGGGGTTGGACTAGATGAGTCCTTGTGGTCTCTTCCAACTCTGAGATTCACTTTTGAAAGTGCTCGCTGCCGAGACAAATCCCTTCCCACCCCAGCAGGGAGAGAAAAGGCCTTTGAAATCAGGAAATTACACTGCTGACAGGCAATACAACCCCTGCTTTCAAAGCTGTTCATGAGGACCTTTCAAAGTTGAGAGCATCCACCCTCCTTCAGTCACTTTGTAAGAGTTTCTCATGGGCAAAACTATACCCCTCCAAATTTCTCTGAAATTCTCCCCACCTCTCCCTGTTTTTTTACCTGGTATGTTTTCACCCCTCCCTCCCGCTAAACAAACTGATGGGGGAAAGCATGGCTGAAAAGTTCAGCCCCCGCTCTACTTTGCACAAATCCTGGGCTTTTTCCTCCTGCCACAGCCTGCAACAAAGCAGCAGCAGATACCCCTCAGGCAACCACACGATATGCTCTGGAAACTAAAGAAGTGGGTAACCTGCGTAGGTAGAAGGTTCCAATTTTGTCGGCTGCGAATCTGCCGGTCAACTAAGTCGCCATCGCAAATACTGTCAGCTGCTTTGCTAAGCAACATCAGGTGTTTCTTCATGTTACCCCTGGGGGGAAATGATGGCTCACATTACTCACAAACAATTGTACTTTCGTTAGTCCTGATGCAGCTACACAATCCAAATCGTTTAGATTCATTTAACTCACCCTGCAGCAGCTGGGGTCACGTGGATGTAGTTCTCCTGGACAAAGAGCGGGGCGAGAGAGTAATCGTGGAAGAAGAGGTCCGATTTGTCTATAAGGGACATGTGAGAGGTCTCTTCTCCGGTAGCAAAAACCTTCCTGACAACATCGAAAGGGCCCTGCAAAAATTAAAGAGGCTCTGAATTCTACCATCAAGCAAAGCTTCACCAATTGCAGAGATTAGCCCTGGAATAATCTGGGCAAGTATCCACTACAAGTGTTTTTCTTACTATTTATTAAATTCATCCAAAGATCACAGGGCGGTTCACCACATAAAAATATAAAATGAGAACACAAAATACATTATAAAACAAAAACAAACCAATAACGCCGCCACCCCGACACATTTAAAAGGCCATAGAATGTTTAATCACCCGAAGGACTATAGAGAAAGGTGTTTGCCCGGTGCCTAAAGATATGTAATGAAGGCAACAGGTGAGCCTCCCTGGGGAAAGCATTCCACAAATGGGGAGCCACCACAGAAAAGGCCCGTTCTCCTGTTGCCACCCTCTGGACCTCTCATAGAGGGGGCACACAAAGAAGGGCCTCCGATGATTATCAAAGGATCCAGGTTGGTTCATATTTTACATTGAACCTCAAGGACTCCAATAAATAAGACACTCTGCAGCACAATCATTGCCACGTTTACCCAGAATTATGTCCTACTGAATTCACTGGGCCCTACTTCCAGGTACGTGGGGTCAGGACTGCAGCCTTAGTCTGATTTGGTTCAGTGCCTACATGTTCAAAGATAACAATATCTGGGGTATTATGAGCTTCAGTGCCTGTTCCCAATACTATTATTGTACTTTTCTTTTTTAAGGCCAAAATTAGACGTTACTGGAAATGCGAGTGCTGCTAAAAATAGCACCCAGTGTTTCTTCTTCCTTCCTGGTAACACAGTAAAAAAACAGAACGTGATGCAATATTACTGTGGTCCAAGTTTAAACATGGACAACTGCACATTCCTGCATTGCAGGGAGTTAGACTAGATGATCCTCAAGGTCCCAAATCTACGATTCTATGATTCTATATATTTAAATATGCATTTTAACATCATTTTGCTACTTTTTTGAACCAAGCACTACGTTAGAGCATTTAGAAGGTACAAAAGCAGCTTACAGAAGGAATTCACAAAGATTCAGTTCCTTAAGCATCTATGCCCATTTGTTTATAGTCTCTATGCTTACTGCCCTATGAGGATTTTGTGTTTTTCCTCACTCAGCTCATGATCAACCACAGAAATTCAGTCAGCTGCACCTTCCCTACCTCTGCAACTCGGTGATGGGAAAAGTTACACTTGGTGAAACGCTTAAAAGGCTGCAGGAAAGAATAAGGATTACAGCTGAAGTTCCTCATGTGAAACTTCATAAATTACCTATCATACCAACAAGAATAGAAATCACAAGATTGCAGCTGTTGTATAAGGGATTATTATATCGGAATGGAATGAAAATTATTAAAATTTTGGAACGCAGAAAAAATGCAGAAGACTGAATGAATCAACTCTAGCATGCGAGGGGGCCAGTTAAATTAAATTGTATAATTTGACATTTGAATAATTGCCAATAATTGTATTAATTAGATAAAATTGGTATTTTTAGAATGAGGCTGTTATTGGGACAATACTGGAAAATCAATAAAAAAAATTATTATTTTATTATTATTACTATTATTACTATTATTATTATTAATGATGATGATGGCTGAACCACCTCAACCAAACAGGCAGAATTCCTGGCATCACCTAGACATTTCTGCTGTCTGAGCGATATTTGAAGCCATGGTTTTAACAGGGGCCCAAGGTACAACTTCTGGTTTCTGGCAAAAATCTAATTTTGCAGGTCCTGTTGCAAAGCAAGCTGGCACAGACATGACATTCCCCAAGCCAAAGTTCATCCTACCAGCTTGATGTCCTTCTTTGCTTTGTTAGCATCCTCTTTGACACCATCGTAGGTCAGAGATTTGCTCCTTGCGCACCACATGCTGAGATTATGTAAAACCTGAGAACAAAACAGAAAGGTTAGAGCTTGCTTCATTTTGGTGTCTGAAACTCCATCCACCTTGGATAGAGCGCAGACTAAATAAATGACTAAGGATTAAAGGCTGGCACTGATCAATAACTCACTTGTCTGATATCCTGATTGGCTGCCAAGATGACTTCATTCATTGCTGGTGGTGGAATCTTTAAGCCCTCTTTAAAGGCAATGGACATCATGGCACCCTGCGAGAAGGAAATTAGAGAAATTCATGAGGAATAGATTTATAAGTGGTTATTATCCATGACAACTAAGTGGAATCACTTCTCTCTGATGGTACCATCTAAGGCAATGCCCTCCCCCCCAAAGCTGGGGAAAATAAAGCAATTGGATAGCCATCACTGTTACACCCTGCTTTTAAGCTTCCTGGAAACATCTGTTGGATCTCTTGCAGAAAGGCTTTGGACTGACCCAGAAAGGCAATTCTTATTGTCCTACTTTAAGAGAGTCCCAGCATATTATTTGTCAACCGCCTACCTTAATCTGCTCCACGCGTGGTCTGTGAAAGCGAAGATCAAAGCAGTAGTGGACAAGGGAACGCATCTTTGGGTGATTCCGATCATTACACATACAAATTATAGGAACCTTTGTATGTTTAATCAGGTCAATCAGTTCCTGCAATTAGAGAATGCAACCCCACCATGAAGCCGTTTGTGTGGCTCTGCTGGTACCAACCACAGTGCTGTGCAAATTAGTGCAACTTGATAGAAGTTTGCCATGCATCTCATCTAGCTTTCAGACATTTAGCAATGACCCAGCTGCTTACCAGCTCAAGCTGCTGTTAGTGAATTAGTCTCAAGGAAAGCAATAGCTTTCTAGTAGACCAACTTGATAAACCAAAGCAAGGTTGAGCTTTTTCCTTACATTTTTGTGAAAGAAGCGGTTGGCACAAAATGGAATGATGAAATATTTTTGAGACAAAAAAGACATGATACTCATTTTCAATCAGTTATCCTTTAAGCTAATAAAGATCTGTTCCATGTGCTGTCTGAACTTCCACCCCTCCTCCCCCAAAAAACTCACGATAATCACTTTTACACTTTTCATGGAATTTATTCTACCTGGATGCCTCCCCTGTCTTCGTTGCCAGCCATTCCATCCACCTCATCCATAATTAGGACATGCTTTGTGCTGACTGAAGATGATGTTCCTGAGGATGATGGAGTAAAAAATTGCAAAGTGATCTTCTCCCCACACAGTACAGCCGCATTCATAGTAAGCCACAAAGCACAACTTACTGCGCACAAGCAAACCACACCCACTTCACTCCTTCCAATTCGTGCAGGGAAGAAATAAACCACCACCTCTGTCTTAACATTACATTTGAACCAGGGATTATGGTTTGTTTCATCCCAAAGAAACTCAGTTAGTAAACCAAGAATGAACCTTGGTTACAGATCATGGTTAGTTGGATGCAAAACAAACCATGATCTGTGGTATTGCTAAGACAGGGATTGTGTTTAATTACATTCTAGGATAGAAGAAGAAACAATAAACTGTCCAGAAAGGCCCAGTTTCATGTCATGGTAAACTGTTTGCTGTGAACCTGCCCATCTCCTGAAAACGTTGCTGCTTACAAAAAATCAATCCAAGATAGAATACCATTTTTTGAGCATGAGGGCCTAACTGTGAAATTGGGGACAGCAAGTCCACATTAATTGTTCTAGCCAGTAAGAAGGAATGCCCAGAAAGGGAAATGAAGATACCTGAACAGAACTCTTTGATGCTGGTGTTATTTAGAGATTCGGCAACCACCTCCTTCAGGCTGTTCTTACTGCGAGTGTCACTGGCATTTAATTCCACATAGCTCAAGCCCAGTTCCTAAGCCAAACACACAAATAAAACAGCAGTGTCAATAAGACAGACAGACAAACAAAATGCTTATATTGTATAGATTAGTCCAGCAGCCAACAAGCAGTCTTATTCTAGAGATACGGTCAATAAGATCAATAACCACAACCCCCAATCTTCTATGCACACCACTTGATTCCAGTTAAAAATTGGGGAGTCAGAAGATATTTCTCAGGTCAGCTGTGGCCCTGGATCTTCTCTAAACTAGTCATTGTTTTTGTGATCAGCCACTAATATAAAAATGACCCCCCAAGACAAAATGACCACCTGAAAAAACTAAGCAGGCAGCTCTGCTTTTGTAACAGTGAGTCAAAGAGGATTAGGTCAACTAAACAGATGGACCTGACCCACAGAACAGGATACCACAGAATATTATAATTCAACTTTTTTTAAAAAAAAATGCAATTGCAGTTGCAACCTTGTTTTTTTTAAAACAGACTTCAGAGTCCTATACAGAAATGAATTACCATATTGGCCTGAATATAAGCCACACTTTTTTTTTCCAAATTCCGACTGTGAAAAGTGCGGCTTAAATTCGCAACCTTACAAAAAATGGGCTTTTACGATATCACTGCTGAAACAGACATATAGTAAAACAGAACAGGTGTGAGTCCTGCGGAATTTTAAGGGAGCGGCTTATCCGGGTATTGTCTTTTTTTCTTTCTTCCCCTTGAACTTTAAAGGTGCGGCTTATATTCGGGTACAGCTTATATTTGGGCCAATACGGCAAATCAGAAGCAAACAATTGTCCTAGCCCTCTAATTCTTAGGGAAGCCAGAGGGAGAGAGAAAGAAAGTACAGCTAAAGCCAGTCAACCTGCATACAGTAGAACCTCGGTTTTCGAACATAATCCGTTCCAGAAGTCCGTTCGACTTCTGAAACGTTCAAAAACCGAAAAACAAAGGGCTGTCGGCAAAGTGAATGGTGAAAATGAAAGCATTCACTTCTGGGTTTTCGGCGTTTGGCAGCTGAGACGATTGGCAGCCAAGACGATCGAAAACCAGTGTTTGACTGTATTTGACTGTGGTCGCCTCCAGTAAGTGGGGAAACTTTCAGAACTTTCTAATGGCCGAGGTTGATGCTGTTACAGTGGTACCTCGGGTTAAGTACTTAATCGTTCCGGAGGTCTGTTCTTAACCTGAAACTGTTCTTAACCTGAAGCACCACTTTAGCTAATGGGGCCTCCTCCTGCTGCTGCTGCGCCACCACCGCGCGATTTCTGTTCTCATCCTGAAGCAAAGTTTTTAACCTGAGGTACTATTTCTGGGTTAGCGGAGTCTGTAACCTGAAGCATATGTAACCCGTGGTACCACTGTATATGGTGAGCACTGACATGCAGGCCAGCTTTGATTTGCTGATAGACTTAAGCAGGAAAGCAGCTGTCAAGGTCCACTGCAATACCAGAAAATGCATTTCTGTTGTTGTTCAGTCACTTCCTCCATCAAACAGCCCCCTAAGAAGTTCATCCCAATGCTCTCGTTTCCTTCGCATGCAGTCCCTATTTTGGAAAAAAAATGCAACTCACTTCGCAAACTAGTGAAGCAGTGGTCGTTTTGCCAACCCCCGGGGGGCCAGACAGCAAAGCAGCTTTTGAACTAGCACCGTCGTCTTTGACTCCAAACTTACTGGGTTTTGCTGCAGGGAAAAGAAAGGGAAGCTTTAGCCAACCATGTCATATAACAGCCAAGAGGAAAACAAGCAACAGTTTAACGAGATTGTTCAATGAAACAGAAACAAAGCAGTTTCAAAACAAAAAACCCCGATGCTTTACAAATCCAACAAAGGGAGTGCCATGTTGAACATCTCTGCCCATCCCAAAATTATTTTTAAAAATCCAAATGTAGAAAACCAGGCTACATGTGCTAGTGTTTTCAGTAAGTCTTTTCGTTTTACATGAGACAGTATCTAAATGCCACCTGCAGAACCTGCAGTAGTAAAACAGGATGCAAGAATTTAAAATGAATAAACTAACCACATGCAAGCCTCCATTTTCAATCTAAAGTTGTACAGTCCCAACAGGAGCACACAATTATTCTGAATATGTAGATCAGTTCTTCATGCCAGAAAAAATGAACATTTTAAAATAAATTAAACACTGCAGAATTCAAGCAAATTTACTCTGAACTGTCTGTGGGTTTTGTATCAGTTTGAAATGGCAAGGTATTAAAGGGTTTTTTTTCAAAAGCAAAACTGAGCCTGTAAACCTATGGATACCTAATAAGCCTTAAACTTCATGTTAGATTTAATTTGCTTCAACTGTAAAGAATTTCCTCAGCAAGGCTTGCTTCAAGGGCAACGCTGAAACATGGTTTGTGTTCCTTAAACCAAATTAAATACAGTTGATGTGTTAAGGTGGGAAGCTAATTAGAAAATCCTGTTTATAAATAGCTTTACTGGACTGAAACCATTAATACTGGTTCACTGAATGCAGTATTGTATCTACAAACAGTGGCTGGGGCAGTAAGAGAGCTGTGTGGGGTAGCAACTATGGACTCCTTGGGAGGGGAAGGGAACACACGACAAAAGCAAAATTCTGACTCAGTTGTACGCTAACATTGCAATGACCAGATCCAGAACATTAGCAGATTAAAATAAAACCAGGTTTCAACGCTATCTGTCAACCAGGCTACGGTTTGGCATTAAGATGTACTGTATAAATGTAATATACATCATCAAGACCCTGGAAAAAGGTGTCAAGTTCCAGAAGAATCATTTATTGCACAATTACCGTGTTTGTCCTGCGAAATATTCCTGTGCCAGTTTCGAAGCCAACGTAAGAGTTTATTGGCACAACTTTGGTCACCTTGTTGCCCAATGATTGTTTTAAGGGATGTGGGCTTGTATTTGTCCACCCATAATAACACCTCAGCTCCACCTTTACTGCCTTTTTGAATTGGGCTCCCAGCATCCTTCGGGTCCTTTTTCTCCGGCGCTTTCTGATCAAAGTCCAGTCCTCTCCTTGCTTCCATTGTTTGCTTCTTGGGAGATCTGACAGTATTGTCCTTTTCAGGAGTGACTTTTTTCTTTTTGGGTTCACTCTCTCTAGTTGGAGGGCTAATTTTTCTTCTTTCCGCTTCAGTTTTCGGTGGGGTTTTCACACACTTGGATTTGGCCTTCTTTGCCTTGAAAAGGAAAGACATGCCAGAATTAGCAGGCCTGAGCTCGGAGACAAAAGCTTTCAAATGGTGCTTCTAGGAATTAAGGGATTCTCAAAAAGATCAGCAACAGGAGCTCACTGGCTTCAATCAGATACAAAACTAAACTATAGTTTAAGTATACTAAATCATACTTGAGCGAGCCCTGGGCTTGCTTCAGTCCAGTCATTAGAAGGAGAAAGCTTTTTATTCTGCTTTCAAGAGAACTACTTTTCTGTTAGGTCTGAACCCTAAACTGTGGTTAAAACTGTGGTTAAAACCAAATTATGGTTTATTATGTCCCTTTAAGGCTACCAGGGACACACTGCAAAAAAAAAAAAAAAAGTTGGCTGCCTCCACAGCAGTCGTCCTTTTCTCCATACAATTACCAGGAAGGGGTGGCATATCATAATGTACAATGGCTTCCGGGGACTTTTAAATTAGAAGTTTTAAACAAGTGTGACAAAGTGTGAGGCTGTTTCAGGATTTATCCTGAAATCCACACAGATTCGAGATGGCACAGACTTACTAGTCTGCTCATGTGCAAGGGACACACATTGAATTAAGATTATTTTCTCCAACCCTAATTACAATAGAATATCTATTCTGTCAGATGGATAACCGTTTTTTAAAAGATCGCTATACATAGCAATAACATTAAGTCTCAGTGTCAGCACACAAACTAGGAGGTTATTCATCCACTTTTAGTTGGGGTTTTTTTGGTCTCTGTGTGTAAGGAAAGAGGAGAAAACCCAAAGATTTCTATAATTTTTCTCCCCAGCTTGGAAGAAGGCTTTTTCTTGTGAACATGGCTTGTGAGGAAAGGATAGAGCACCCACTCGCCCCGGAAAAATGCTGCAATCTAATTCATAGCCCCCACCCCACGAGTCCACAGTTCTTCTGAAGGCTGAGCAACAACCCAATGCTAGGAAATGTGATATTGAATCTCCTGGCATCAAGCATTCTTTGGCCTTGAGGTTATTCAAAAGAACTACTTCTGCAATTAAAAAGAGAATTAAGAGAGTGTTGTCAGTTAAAGCTAATTTGTACAAACCTCTGCTTCAGCTGCCACTTCATACTTTGACTTCTTGCCTGGCATGCTCCGAATCAGGTCAAATAAACCATCTTCATCAATTATTTTTGTCCCTAAAGCTAAGGCCTATAAGAGAAGCCAAAGTCTGCAATTATTCACATTTATAGTGCTCAGTGACAGAAAGTAGCATAATCGCACCCAGCTAACATGTTCAAATGCACCAGATGTAGAACCTGGTTAAGCAAATAAAATATACCTCAAATCAGAGGTCTCCACTAATTATTTCCTCACCTCAACAAGCAACCTTCAGCTCCAGAAGAAGAGAATCTGCCTATCACAAAGATCTGGCCTCATACTGCTGAGGCTGAAAGCCTTTGAGTCTAAGAGTTGTACTGTTGATAGTGCTAACAAAATGGAACTCAGAAAAAGGCCATTTCACTAAATGCAGGATACATTTAAAGCTGTAATCCTAAGCACATTTATTTGGAAGTGCCCTTGAATTTAGTGTAAACACACTGAGGAGTGCACTTTGTATCAAGCAGCTGCAAGGTGACAATTGTACTTAACTAAAGTAGCGCAGGAGTGAGGAGGAATGTTTATTTCCAATAATGTACAATACAATGTACTGGATGAATATCTCTATAAATAGATAGATAGACAGACAGATAGATAGACAGACAAGATAATTTATTATGGTTGGAGAGTAGCTTATAAAACACACTTGGGAGTACAATCCCAGAAAGAAAACAAACAGTTAAAACAATGTACAACAATAAATTTAAAATTTATAAATGTGATAAGCATATAGACACTTAAAACTTTAAGATAAGCTACTGCACAGATATGACCCAGTTACCCATGGAACCGAGTTTGGGGATTTTCTTCATAAACTAGTTTGAGTCGGGGGATGGTCTGCGCCTACAGATCTTTACCATCTGGTGACCATCCGGGTCGTCTTATGATCTTTGCCTAACAGGAAAAGGTCGAATTTTTGCTTTTCCGGGAAGTCAGTGAGCCTCACCAGTAGGGGATCAATGGTCTTACTATGTGCCTCTTCATAAAAGGGACATCTAAAGAACAAGTGCTCTGGGCTTCCCATATCCCCCAATGAACAGGCACAGAGTCTCTGGGCATATGGGACTTTTTTAAAGGCTCCTTCCAGGACCAGCGAGGGCAGAGCCGAGCTTCTGGCGAGTGTAAAGGGCCTTCTAGCATTTTTGGATACGAGAAAGAAGAGATATGCTTCCGGTGCGGCTATATATCTCTCGATTTCTCCAATTTTATAGTCGGGGCACCTTGAGCAGTCCTGTTGTCTCTCGGTGTCTATGATTCTTTGCCTGACCGTAGCTTTTGCCTGGCCGAATCCCACACTTAGAAGGGCTTGAGGGGCAAAACCCAGTTTCTGACGGGTGTTCAGGACTGCTGTCTGCCAGCCTGACTGGAACTGGTCACAGAGGATCAGTGGGGATATTCCTTGGGGGAGCAGATTCAATGTCAGCCATTTGTAAACTGATGTTAGGCAGAATATCTCTATCTGCAAGCGCCAATCTGCCATCCCGGAATGAAACCATTTCAAACCCTAATGGATTTTCCTCAAACGAACTTCACTGTGTTCCAGAGGGCCTCCTGCATCCCCTCCAAAAGGAGCCACACAAAACGAGTACAGTGGTACCTTGGTTTCCGAACAGGTTAGTTGTCAAACAAATTGGCTCCTGAACGCCGCAAACCCGGAGGTGTTCCTGTTTGCAAACGTTTTTCAGAAGCCAAACATCAGATGTGGCTTCCAATTGAGTGCAGGAAATTCCTGCAGCCAATCGGAAGCTGCACCTTGGTTTTTCAATGGTTTCGGGAGTCAAACAGACTCCCAGAATGGATTAAATTCAAGAATCAAGGTACCACTGTACCCTGCAGAGAGCTGTCTTGAAAGAAAATTAGCACCCCCCCAACCCCTATTTCAAATAGGCTGGGGTTGTGGTAAGAGTTAATTTTTAAAAGTTTGTTTCATCAAAAGCGCTGAAATAAACCTTTTTGTATTTAGATTTATTTCATTTTATTTCATAAAATTTATACGCTTTTTGACTGTAAAAAAACCCTTCAAAGCAGTTTACGAAACGCTAAAACAAGGAGCAGCAGGGGCGGAGCAGCTGCCAATTTGGGGGGGTAGTCTAATATGCCCAATCGCCTAATATGCCGGAATCTACGGTAATTATGAAATTATTGTGAGGTTTAATAAGTTAACTATTTATATTTGGACAACTTTTCTGCTGTACTTTATTGGAAGGAGAAAAATAATAATTTCCTTAATAACAATTTAAACAATTTATTTAACTAAAACAATAACTTTATAGCATATGTATCCATGTTTGTTAACTGATAAGGCTAAACTATTTTAAGAAAACAACTTAGACTGAGTTTTAGTACACATGAAAAACTTAAAACAAATCCCTATTTCCTGATGAATAGCTTTTGGACTATAATGTAACTTAAATAGAAAACTTTCTTTAGAAAGATTTTTCCTCCAAAAGCATTTTATTTTAAAAATCCAATTTAAATAAAAGAAATCTGATTTAAATCAAAAGAATCCATTTTTAATTGTTGATTGTTTTATCCACCCTGGTTAGTTCCATTCAAACAAACAAACAAACAAACAAACAAACAAACAAACAAAAACACAGTACTTTCACACACAATGTTAGTTCATGCAAATCACTGCCATGAGTTATGGCAGCCTCTTACCATTGATAGCTTCCTGATGTTTGTTTTGGACTCCAGTTCCCATCAGCCCCAGCCAGCATAGCCAATGGTCAGGGATGATGGGAGCCGTAGTCTAACACATCTGGAGTAGGTTGGAGAAGAGTTACAGCAATGCCCATTACTTGGCTTTTTAAAGGATTAAACTTGTATTAGCCAAGATAGTTAAATGGAACTTTGAGATTCAGAGGCAGTGCACTTCAGAATACCAGGCATGAGAGATAAGCAAGGATAGCCTTTGCCATTGTGCATGGACCAGACATTTCCAAAGGCAGTGCTGGGCGCTGCTGGGGACAGAATATTGGAAAAGATGAACCTTGATCCAATCCAGTGAAGCCATTCTGTTCTCAAGACCGGGACATGGCTTGATAGGAGAAGAGGATACATAGGTCAGGGAGGCAAGATATCGCTTGTTATGACAAAGCAAGGACTCCATGACCACACAGTAACAACTTACCTTGTCAATCTTGGCTGCACCGCAGTCACGACCCTTCACAAGATAGTCTGTCTTCTTGCTGATATTCCCAGTTACTTTCCCTCCATAGCGCTCAATCAGAGATTTGGCCTCATCGCGTTCAATGGATTCCAAGATGCCTGTGATCACAAACGTCAGGCCTTCAAAGCAATTTTCACCACCCTAAGGAGAAAAAACGGTGCCAATGGGCAGCATTAGGTTTAAGGCAGTTGACATGAAAGCTACAGCAGCAGTGTTCCACAGAGAGGAAAAGTAAAAAAGGGCTGCTTGAAAAATGATTTTGTTCTTCATCATGCTGAAATGAAAACTGATCTTTGGCACAGTATAAACATACTGCTGGCTTGCAGAACAGTCTGCAAACCTGAAGACAGCTTTGTCAGCAAATATGCACAATTTCAGCTGTCTGGCCTTAAATGCACATTTATTCTACAGTATCTGGTTAGAATACAGTAGGCCTGGGAGAGAGAGATGAGAAAGTCTAGAAGGAGTTGCTAGGCCCAGTACTACTAGAAATACCAATCACTCGTGATATGTTTCTGCAAGAAATGTCTGCACTTACTTGTGGGATCTCCTTAGAGCCAAGCGCTCTTGGGCCTTCACGATTAAGATAGCTTCTGTAAGCTTGATAGTTGGCTCGCTTCTTTTCAGAGTCCTCAGGACTTACAGACTTTGAAAAGAAAAATCACATAGCAATCAGGTTCCACCCAGTTCAAATAATGTAAAGAGATGAGCAAACATTAATAGAGATAAACCCAAATACAAATTATTTGTACACCAATCATTTAGGATAAGTTTGAACACACTTCTGGTATGTTAATCTTCACTCAAATTAAGGCCTACCTATTTTTAAAAAAACAGTTCAGTTTCTTCAAGGACTGATGCTACTCTTCCATGCTCCCTGAAGAGCAAAAAATACAAGAAGCTGGACACACAAACTCTTGTGTGTTGAGCAGCTGATCAAGCACTCTGCCCATTCTGAGCAATGTCTTCGGTGCACAGAATTGTGCAAAAAAAGCTATAAACAGAAGGTGGCTAAAATGGACTGTCATCTCTGCAGCTTGTCCAAAGCCAGTTCACAACAGAGATGAAATTGATGTTGGAACTGAAATCTCCCCTGCACCCCAATACAGCCCTATATTATTCACGCTATAGTGTTGACAGCAGGGAGTGCGCTGAAGAGCACACTGTAATAGGGATTGAGGATATCCAGCCTGTTCAGCTAAATTCTAAATCCTTGCCTGGCAAAAAGCATCAGACACAAGACCACTAATCCGTTGAAAGTATAGTATGGGCACACTTATTGGGACACTGGGACTACAAGGGGAGAGACCAAAAAACCCCATTTATTCTTCACTTGGCCTGAGCTCTCTGAACAAATAGGTAGGCTAGCGATATGCATGCAAACCAGATCAATGTATGATATTTAAACTGGACACAAAGGAATTTGAGGTCATTTTAATCTGTCTTAGTATTTTAACTTTTGCATGCTTTAGAGAATGGCTGTGAATTTTTCTTGATTTTACTGTTTTCTCTTTTGAGGTTTTTCACAATCAAACAGTGTATAAATTTTATGAAATAAACAGATAAATCTGTTGTTTACTACGTTTATACAGCGTCTTGTAACATATATTCTCTGTGTGACATAACAATTAAAATACAACACAAAACAATTAAAATACCATCAGACATATGGCATGAAGCTATTTAAAAGACCCGGGTGAATGGGAGGGATCCTCAGCTGGCAACGATTGCACTGGGCAAAGCTTTCTGGGAAGGCTGTTCCCACAAAAAGGGGGACCCCCAAAAATACCTTCTTCCTGGTGGTTACCCCCCCTCACTTCATTTGGTGGGGACACTCAAAGCAGGGCCTCTGAAGGCAACCCTTATTTTTTGATAGGTACATATGGGGAAAGGCCATCTCTGAGGAAATTTTGTTCTAAGCTTTTTAGGACATTCTAGGTTAAAGCAACACTTCCAAGTTTGGCCTGGAAATGCACAGAATAAGATGGTTCTTATTCTGAACCATCTTCAGTTTCTGAACCATTTTTAAAAGCAGGTCCATGTTTAAATATATTACAATAGTCTAAATAGGATATTACCAGAGCCAAGCCATTACCATCCAGGTCAAGTCACAGCTGGTGTTATTAGCCAAGGTGATAAAAGGCAGTTTCAGCCACAGAAATCACTTAGGCCTTTAATGACAGTACTGGGTCAATAAGTACCCCTAAACTGAAAGCCAAATTATTTTTGGGAGTGTGACCTCACCTAGGACAGGCTGCCCAGCATTCAGCCAGATGGATGACCCACCAACCAATTCCATCTTGTCTGGAATTGCATCCCAGCTTGTTTGTCTTCATCCAGTCCACTACCATGCCAAGGCATTGGTTCAATCCATGTCAGGCCACACAAGACCTTTCAAGTTCCATCAACATGCATTCAAAATAATGATGAAATCTGCAGTTCCTAAAGTGTGGTCTTCAAACCTACCTTAGATTTGGGGGGAGTAACCTTCTCCTTTCTAGGTGTCTCCTCTGGTAAAAGCGACTTTACTTTTGGAGTCCTACTTTCATTTTTTATCGTTTCTCCTTTTGGAGTTCCATTTTCTACTTTAATACTTTCTGATTTTTGCTTCAGCACAGCCAACTTGGAACTTGGCTTTGAGGGCAGCACCTTATTCCCCAAATCCTTCCTCTCTTTACTAATGGAAGACTCAGGGTGCTGACTCCATGTTTTTGTACTTTCTGAGCAAACCTGGTCCTTTGCAGAATTAGGTCTTGTGTCCACAGTTGAACTGGCAGGTTTTACTGGAGAGAGAAGAACATGTTGCAGATTAAAAATTAGTGCTACCACCTCAGCCTTGAAAGTTAAACTACTATTTTGCTGGACAAAAATTACCTTTAGGAGCCTGTTTATGTTTTTCTGCTTCAACTGGACTAGTTTTGACTGTTGAAGTTATCTGTTTCTCTTCTGGATCTTTTCGAGGCTAAAAGACATGTGCTCATGAATAACTATTATGATGAAGCTATTGCAAATAGGAAATAGGAATCTATTTTTGTAAATAAACAATCAGTCTGAATCATTTTAAGATGATGTCCAATTCTTTTGTTGAGTTTTAAATAAGCTAAATACAAACTGCAAAGTATTTTAAACAGTCTATATTTAAAACTCAGTAAAACAAATAGGACATTAACAGATGGACATTAACAGATTTACACTTAAGATGTTTAGGGAAGTTTTTAATGTTTAATGTTTTATCGTGTTTTTAATAGTCTGTTGGGAGCCACCCAGAGTGGCTGGGGCAACCCAGTCAGGTGGGTGGCAAACAAATAATAAAACTGTTGTTGTTGTATATGGGGTGGAATATTTTAAAGTGTGGTGACACTGTCCTTTAAAATTCAGGCTTATTGGCAGAAAGTGACAAGAGATGATCACAAAATCATAGTCACCATTGAGTGCACCCATCCCAATCAAAACAAGATTGTGCTCATGCAACACAAGGTCATCAGATGAACTTCTGTATTGCCACATTCATCTCTACTGCATGAATCATTTGAAGCTATGGCCTACGGCATGCAGCAGAATTTGGTTTCGACCGGAGGTCTGTCTGATGAGCATAGGACAGGAGTTGGCAACCAAGCCAAACCTCTGCAATAGTCCTCAACTTGGGTCCATCAGGAAGAAGAGTTTGGAAGAGGCACACAAAGAGAAGCAGGCTCTTTCTCAAAATAAAGAAACATGCCAGAGATAACAAAGCCTTCCACTGTCATACCCACATCATATACAAGGTGACTATGATCCACTGTCACATTTCCACTTGCACCCACCGTTTGTGAAGTAGTTGCACAGAGCAACCAGTTCGTAAGATGTTACCTTTTTCTTCTTTGGGGTTTCATCCAGCATGGCCAGAGTTCTGGCAAATTCTTCATCTTCATGCAGTTGCCTCTCCAACTGAAAGAAGGGATTAATGCATCACAATTGGTATTGATAAGTAAACGGACACTGCTAAAAATCAGAGGATTACTATGCTACCTAAACTAGGGATGTTACTGAACTTTATAATTCATTGCCTTGGAATATAAAACTTCCTTGCCATTGATGATTCTTCATCAACTCAATTTGACTGCAATTCAAGGCAGAGAAGAACCATGTTCCTCTTGCCACCAACAATGGTCCCAGATTGACATATTGCTGCTATGGTAGTAAGCCAAGCACCAGCAATGCTGGGAAATGTAAATCAAAGTGGTCTTCACCAAGTGCTGGGAAAACTACAATTGCGACACCTGGCTTGTTGCGTAAGTAGCACGAAATGGGAAGGTATACCTGCACATCAGTTATGGGACAGAGTTTGAAGGGGTGCTTGGGGAAGGAATTGCACAGTCCTATGGTCTGATTTAACTCATTGGCTCAGAAGAAGACAACCTCCCCCCTTTTTGAGGAGGCAAGATAATTATTACAGCATTTTTTGAGCCAATCTAAGGAAAACCAAAGAGGGGAGGAAGTACTGCTCATGGATAAATTTAAATCAAGTGTTAGCTAACCACCACTAGACCACAAATAATTTCATCTAATCCTTCTTGCAAGTAGCAATATTAAGTCAGTTAGCTGGCATTTATAAATAAGACACATCAGGTCCTCCAGCTCCTCAACTGCAACCCCACCTATTTTTGGTACAACCTGCCTGAAATTGTCAGAGGAAAGTTCGCCAAGGCCGTGCCCACTTTCACCCTAAATGTGTCACACTGTGATTTTACTGCGCAGGCTATGAGAGCAGGGTATAAGCCGGAGTGCAGATTCCTTTTCAGTATGAGGAACATGCTTCCTCATGGCAACCTTCTAGGGCATGAATACCAGTGGTGGGCATGGCTAGAGGCTAAAAGCTGGTGTAGCAACAGACGGGGCTCTTGCCTTTGCACGACAGGATACAGTCAAGCCATGCAAAATTCAGATATTTCTAGGCAAGTGTCTATCTATCCATGCAAGTAAGAAGCACCATCACACTTAAGGACACATTCAAGCCAAGCAGAAGCACACAAGGAAGGGATTAAGCAGGACCAGTGAGGGGTATGCCCTGGAGAGAGTCTCAAGGGCCAGGCAGAGAGGGCTGAGGGCCACATTTTGTCCCTTGGTCTGAAGTTCCCCACCCCTCGTATAACACAACACTTCCTCAACCCATTTCAAAAAGCTATTTTCTGAAATGGCTTTCTTTCCTAGAACAAATATGCACTCAAGTTTCAGTCAAACACAATAAGGAAAAAACAAGTGAATTTCTCCTTCATTCCGCCCTTAATGCAATAAATACAGCATTTGCTGCATCCTGCTATTATCAAATATCGTTTCTTAAGAGGAAAGCTAATTTGTTCTTGCCAAGAGATTTATTGATAAGAGCTGTTCTGCACACATTACACAAATCCAATCTTTTGGCAACAATGAGATCAAAACTTGCCTCAACGCATGATTCAGACAGATAACTTTATAAGCAGAAGAGTGCCACAGGGTTTACTTTTATGCAATTGTGAGCCACAGAAGGATATTTGGACCAATGAATAGCATTAATCTTTCTTGTTTGCCGTATGAAGCTGAATGCAGACAGGCCCAGCAGCAAAAGCGGAAGTCAGGCAAAGAAGTGAAACGTTCCCATCTATAGTGCCTTGGATCATTATTATTTTCTTTTTAAAAGATCTTAAACTACACTAAAACTAAACCACTGTTCCAAATTATCAATTTCTTTAACATTCTATTTAAACATGGCATACATAGTTGAGTATTTAAAATGCATAGAGAATGTTCATTTTCAGTGAACAGGATGGCTTTTTATCTTCAGTGAAATCCTGATAATCTACAGCTTCTATATTTCACTATGAAATGCTCAAGTTTCAGCACCAGCAAATAATCCTTTCCTTTTTCTAACACTGTACTCTGACTGGTAGCAGCTATTGGTGTGGCTGTGCCAGGAAAAGTCCCCTTTCCTCTTATAGTTGTGGGGAGCTACAGGATGAAACGCCGAAAAAACCTTCTAACTGTGCCAATGCAGCCAATGCAGAAAGCTATGATCAGCCTGTCTCCAAGTCAAAACAAGTATATATAAAATTTCCAGAGTTTCACATCTTGCATATTTTTTCAAATATTGTATTTTCAGTCGATTTCCACTTAGCATAGGATATTTTCCATCATGGTCCAGAGACTGCTCTTGGGTCACCTACTCTGAACAGTTTCAGAACACCTCTGGAGGCCTTAAATCTCTGTGCAAGACCAGACCACCCAGATCTCACTCAAGAGTGCAACTACACCACTTGTGGTTTTCAATAATAATAATAATAATAATAATAATAATAAATTTTATTTATACCCCACCCTCCCTAGCCAAGGCCAGGCTCAGGGCGGCTAACCACCAATAATAAAATTGGCAGGGCTGGCTAGTCCATAGGTTGCAGCTGTCCCCCCACAGTCTACAACAGGGAAACACCAAGTAAGAGTAAAACTTCCTCTCAGCTTAGCAAATACTTTCCAAATATGCTTATGAAGCTAACCAGTCAAGGCTACCCACGAGAGCCAACCACTTTTTTAAAAAAGCCTCCCCTTATCAAGGGAATAATTTCCTTTGAAGATAGCATGACTGTGCAAGGACTTTCTCTAGTCTGGGCGCCACAACCTTTGTCCTATACAGGTCTTTACAGTCTTAGATGGTTACAGAATTAAATAAAGAGCACAGGAGTCTTTCTTCTTTTATCATATGTTAACCCTAGAACTAAATACTGTGTCTTATTCATGTGGGTGGCAATATCTATGGTGGGACAAGGCAATTTCTTATTTGTTGTGACCACTCCATGTTGTGAACTACTACTAGGGTCTAGAAAGAAGAATCAAATTAAATCGAGAAAGGGGAAGAAGGAAGAGGAAAGAAGATTCAACCTAGAAAAATGCTATAGAAAAGGAAAGGTTCAGCAGGAATGGCTGTACTGCAACAAAACAGGCAAGAGGAGCCTTTCATATTTGTTATCGAGGAAAACTGTGCTAAAAAAGCCAGAGAAGTGCACATGCTTATTTGTCTGTCGTTACCTCTGTATTCTCTTCAAGCTGTAGCTGCCTGGCAACAGCCTCATCATCTAGTGTGGGATCCCTGCTTTGTGACAGCTGCACCGCAAAGAGAGAAGAATCACAGGGGAGCTCACAGTGAACCCATTACTTAGACAAGCATCATGGAATAATGAATGAGAAGAAAAATCATAAAGCCTCAACCTAAATGCCTGTGCTTAAAACAAGAAGCAAGTGGAACAGGAATTGTACAGGGAGGAAATCTAATTCTAGGTGATAAAGATGTTTTCAAAGCAACAGTTCAGAGAACCCAGTGGCAAGAATATTGATCACATATTTTAGTGTGCCGGCATATTGATTCTGGACATTTGTCACATTTTATTGCACAACCATGCCACGTTCCATAGGCAGAAACCAAAAAGCTAGGCACAGACAAGGAAGTGAGAATTAAGGGCTTTGCTTTCCTCTTCTTGCTGACTGGCACAGACTCAAAGCGCATGGTACTTCAACACTCAGCACTCCCCACACAACAAATGGACTAATGTTTTGCATTCCTTGCCCCAATCTGAACTGGCCTTGTATCAACATGAGTGTAAAGAGGACAGATATGAAAGTATCTGGTCAGCTTGTCTTGAGATTTATGGTCAATGGTTGTCAGTAGCAGACACTGGTCAGAGTCACACCATACATTTAAAGCATTCTTGTATCACTTTTAAAAGTCATGAAGGATCCTGGGAACTGTAGTTTGTTAAGGGTGCTGGGAGGCCAGAATCCTTAACAAACTAGTTCACAGGTTTCTCCATGATGGTTACAGTGCCATAAAAGCACTTTAAATGCATGATGTAGCTGTGACCATTGTTTCCTATTCCATTTCATGCATCTTAAATGACATAACCCACCATCCTCATCTCTTATTTGTATCATAATCTCTCTCCTTTTAAAATGGTCACTCTCTTTATATAGGGAGCAACCTCCCTCATTTTCCTTAATTTGACATTACGTGGCAAACTGCCATTTCCAAAATCAACTTAAGGTGCTCTTCTCACACCCTAATAAAAGGAAGTCTAGATGATATAGACCACACACCAATAGTTTCTTCATGAAGTTCATGAACTTTTCTGCTCATAAGCACACATTAGCTAGAAGAGTCACCCTCTTGTGCATTACTCACTTCTTTTCGTTTGCTTGACACCAGTTTCTTCTCTGATCGCTGAATGCTACCAGTTCCAAAGTAATCAATTACAGAGGTTGGTGTCAGTTTTACTGGCGATAGGGGTTTATTTTTCAGTTTTGGTTTGGGATCAGTCTTTGATGCTCCAGATGTCCCAAAACGAATAGCCACAGATGTCCCATTTTCCTTGGGTTTGGGAGCGACCTTCTTATTAACAAAGTCCTCTTCTTCATCTGCATGCCAAAAAAAGAAAAAAGAAAGAAAGATACTTAATTACTCCTCAGCACCAAAACACCAACCTGAAAGTAATGTTTCCTTACTATGGAAATATATATATATTTAAAAAATGCAAAGGGCCCAGAGTCTCAACCTGGTACAGTGGTACCTTGGGTTAAGTACTTAATTCGTTCTGGAGGTCCGTTCTTAACCTGAAACTGTTCTTAACCTGAAGCAGCTAATGAGGCCTCCTGCTGCTGCCGCGCTGCCGGAGCACGATTTCTGTTCTCATCCTGAAGCAAAGTTCTTAACCCGAGGTATTATTTCTGGGTTAGCGGAATCTGTAACCTGAAGCGTATGTAACCTGAAGCGTATGTAACCTGAGGTACCACTGTATTAGGGCTCTCTCAACCATTTCCCTCTCACAGAAAGAAAAATATTTTCTTGGGTATGGCTTTGGAAGATAGACCCTATGCAAAAAAGATGGGAGATTATCTCCATCTATCTGCACAGGTGATGCTTTTAGAGGCTGCACCCTGAAAAATTGCTGCACGAAGTGCGTGACTCCACTCTGCACAATGACCTGTGGTCCAAAGGGTCTTTGGTAGTTAATGGCTGTTGGGTCTCTAGCAGGGTTTATACCATATGCAGCCTTTCAAAACAGGGGTAAAAGGGGAAATCTTGCCTGCCATGCATTTAAATCTGGGTGCTTTCAATGTTCACATCTCCCCTGCAGAGACCTTGATCAAGCCCACAAAGTTCATTCCCAGGCCTGACCCCAACAACCTTTAGTGACATTTCAAGAACCAAGCTAATGTCCACATTGAACAGCTGTGTCTATGGCAGCAATCATTTCTGTGCTGAAAATGAAGCGCAGCCCGTCCTGAACGTGGAGATCCTTCCTGTGACACTAAACCTCTTTGCTTGGTCATCACCCTGTTCTCAATGCTATGTGAGCAGGCCTTTTCCTCCAGAGATGCAAGAATTGCAAATTATACAACCCTCTTATCTGAAGAGAAATGTTAAAACCCTGAGCTGCAATAAAAACATAAAACTGATCAACTGAATCCGTTTAAATATTAGTCCCATTTTATTACTTCTCCAGAGAAATTAAAACAAACACGGACATGTCTTCATATCACAGCAACAGCCATCCTGGCTACTGCGTCTTGCTGCCCATACACAATGATCATAAAAATAGCACGTGTAATTCCTAATACAGTAACTTGTATTAAAACCGCTGAACCAGCTTCCAGGGCAGAAGAGCCAGTGAATCCTTTGGTATATGAGAATCACTAAGATTTTATTCTGCTCTCTGTGAACTTTGCTTTCAGTGTTGCAGAATTTCCAGTTTCCAATAACCACCAGGGTCCTTTCTCAAAAATCTTCCATGATCAGTACTGTAATGAAAGTCTGACCTGGCAAATAGCAAGCAGTTTTGTTGAAAAACAAAGCTACCCACCAACTCCGGAGACACAAAACCAAACTGACTAAGGAAATGCCAGAGCTCAACGGGGAAGGGGTAAAGAGGTGGGACAGATCTTTTGCATTAAATCACAGTCAACTGATTTCCCAAGACACTCCAATGACAGAGGTTTGGTGGGATTACAAATTGTTTTCATGTGGATCTATGCCTTTCTCTATGGAAGTAAATGGAGATCTGCATTTTATTCCCAAAAATCCAAGGTACAGTGGTGCCCCGCAAGACGAATGCCTCGCAAGACGGAAAACCCGCTAGACGAAAGGGTTTTCCGTTTTTGAGTTGCTTCGCAGGACGAATTTCCCTATGGGCTTGCTTCGCAAGACGAAAATGTCTTGCGAGTCTTGAGATTTTTTTTTCGCTTCCCCCCCCCTTTATCTAAGCCGCTAAGCCTTTAATAGCCTTTTAGCAGCTAATCCGCTAAGCCTTTAAGCCTTTAATAGCCGCTAAACCGCTAATAGCGCTAATCCGTTAAGCCGCTAAGAGGGTTGCTTCGCAAGACGAAAAAACCGCTAGACGAAGACACTCGCGGAACGGATTAATTTCGTCTTGCGAGGCACCACTGTAGTAGCAGAAGCCCACACTCACCAATGACTCTAAGGGTAAGAAGGTTCTTGCTGGTGGGTGACATTGGCCCCATCTCAGTGTTCCCTAGGGATCCACGTTCTTTTTTTCTAACACCACCCTATGATTCCCATTATAGCCATCCCCAAACTGTAAAACCTGCCTTTACAAAAGAAATATTGTTGCTCTCTTGGCAGATATCATCCCCTCAGAAGGGATAACTATGCCTGCAAATTGCAGCCAAATCTGGCAGTAAACAAAAAAGTTATTGACTTTTCATTTGCTTTTTAGCAAAAATAAAACTTCAGAGGTGCAACACATAAAAAGCCTTGGGCATATCTGCCCAGAGTTTGGAAGCTTGCAATTTTTATTCACTTCTGTGGAAAGGAAAACAATTATTGCCAGAACTAGATTCTCTATTATACTGAATGGGGACCAAGGAACTTTGCTTTCAATCCTAAATGCTGAGCTGAGTTAGAAAAACACAGAGCAGCCAAAACAGATAAGGTTTCTTTCCAAAGCTATTTATTCAATGTGGCAAACGTGGCAAAGCAGGTCCCTCCCAACCCGTACAATTTTGACAGGTGGAAAGGGCCACCTACCTCTCAGTCACATGGCAGCAGCATGATGTCAGATGACTGACAGTTGGTGGCCCCACCCACCTATTACACTTGGCCTGCAGGGATTGGTAAAGATAGATATTTGTATAGAAAAAAATGGGTCCCTAAAGAATAGGAAAGTTTTGATACAAGTGTACTTTATCAAACAAATCTGTCAAAACACTCAACTATTTATTAATGAGCAGTCAAAAAAGCACTCGAAGAAAAACCACAGCCCTTGCAAATTAAAAGCCACTTATGAAACTGAGCAAGGTTCAGTGCAGCAATAAGAGGTCATCTTCTACAAACAACATTCAAGGTCCCATACTTAGCTAAACAGTGGTGCATGTGAGTTAGTGAACACGCTCAAACATTTGGATGTCTCCCAATATACTGGGCTAATTTACCAGAGACTAGTTAGAGACAGATATATTTATAAAACCACTCTGCATATTCCCATCACTTGTGAGAAACATTGTGTTCTCCAAGAGACATTGTGTTCTGTCTTAGACAATCAATAACCTAAAAGGAAAAAGAGGCTGCTTTAACCAAACACAGTAATGATGAAAAGTGTTTCATGAGGATTTAAATGATAAACCTAATGACCTGTATGGCACTTCCTACATTAAAAAGAGAATGCAATTTTTCACGTGATCATCACACCCTTTAGAATTTCATCTCCAGGAAGCCAAGTTCAAGAGAAACTGAAATGGCACAGGCCAAGAAGACATTAATCTCATGTTTGCCTAACGATTTTCAGAAAGCACTTTAGCTATAATTCGGAAACTGACAAGAACGTCATTCAACACAATAAACCATTTCAGATGCAAATAGCTCAAGGACCACCATTTATCTGCTTTCAAGACTGAATCCAAGCAGACAAGTTAAGAATGTCCTGACCTTGCGTATTAGATCAGATAAAAAAAAAATCCACCTGTTTTCCGCAACTAGTATTCAGAGGCACACTTCCTCTGATCTTAGAGGTGTCATACAACAACCATTTATAAGCCTACTCTTCATAAATCCTCCAGAGCTTGGACTGTTTGGTTGTAAAAAGAGACCAAAAAAAGAATTGTGCGAAAAAATATTTATTTCTGCTGGAAACAGTGCCAAAAGGTACACCCAAAAGCATTATGGTGGGAAAATAAAAATAGCTTTAAAATTGAGTAGTCTTTTATCACTGCTTTCAAAATGCATGTTATTGGGCCAGAATGAATGAGATTGAAAGCAGGTAAAACAGTTTCCCATTTCTATAATATTGTACATATATCGAACACAGCAGAAGGAAAGGAATCAACAGTCTAAAAGACACAGCACCTCAGGTCAAATCCAAGCAATTTCTTTTTCTGCAAGGTGAGGGACAGAACAGCATAGCAAGCAAAAGATGGTCAGTTTCTCAGCAGATACAGCCCATGCTCAACACATTCCTTTTCTCCTTCCAGGAAAAAAACTACAGAATTGTGCTTTGAACAATGGATGGCAGAAGAAATCATTTTACTGCTGCCACTGCATGGTATTTTAAATGCAATGCTGCAATCAGTCTGCTTTAGTACCAGCACAGTGCTATTTAATTTCTTTTCCTCTTCATTTGTATCAAGCTGTCTACAGCAGCAAAACACAAAGGACACTAAAAAGCGTCAACACTAATGGCACTAATCAGCCCACTGTTTCCTTTGGATAACATACCCCTCAGCAGAACAACAGTCAAAGTCAAAGGAGAAAGCTCAAAAAAATTTAAGAACCAATACAACTGGGCTCCATGAATTCCTAAGGCTGAACCAATTAGCCAGAACCCCATGAGCACTGAAGGAATCTGTATTTTCAGGAATTAATTAGCTGATCATGACAATTACAAGATTTTACAATACCCAGTAATTTGAGATACTCCAGTGGATGGTCCTAGAACCAAGAAGTCTAGAGCTGGCCCTGAATGAAGCCAATAATAATAATAATAATAATTTGTATATCACCCTCCAGCCATAGATCTCAGGGCAGTTCACAACACAAAAATACCAGATAAACCCCCCCACAAACTACTGTATTTTTCGCCCTATAGGGCGCACCTAGATTTGGGGGGGGGGTAAAGAAAACATTTTTTATTTCCCCCCCAGGCGCGGGGCTGGGGAAGACCGAGCTTCCCCTGACCCCAGCCCCCAGAACAGGCTGCTATCCGCAAGCCTTGGAAGCCCGGTGGGAACTCCCGCCGGTCTCCCCAGGCTTGCGGATATCTGCCCGAAGCGCGCTCCGCTGTGCTCCCCGGGTTTCAGGCTGAGGGCTGTCCGCAGGCCTTGGGAGCCCAACGGGAACTCCCGCAGGCTCCCAAGGCTTGCAGATAGCTTCCTGAAGCCTGGAGAGCGAGAGGGGTTGGTGCGCACCGACCCCTCTCGCTCTCCAGGCTTCAGCGAAAGCCTGCATTCGCCCCATAGGACGCACACAGATTTCCCCTTCATTTTTGGAGGGGAAAAAGTGCGTCCTATAGGGCGAAAAATACGGTACATAATAAAAACAAGAACAAGAACAAACCAATAACCCACCCTCACCCCCAATATAATAGGTCTGGAAGACCTAAACAATGCTTCAGATCTGCTCAGTCATGGAGTCTGTAGTGCTGTAAAGTGGCTAATATAGGAATCAATTATGCATCGCATTATCTTATTTCATATATTTCAAGGCTGAGACACACCTATTGACAGTTTCAGAGTAGCAACGTCAATTGTCTGTAAAAAAACTGCTCAGAGCCAGGGGACAGATCAACCATACACAGCTGATCAGTATGTGTTTCAAATTAAGTCGTTAACTCTAACTACAATCACTAGATAAGAATAACCTTGATGTGCAACCAAGACACTCCACAATTAACCTTGACCAAATGTTTTCTTGGCACGTCACATGCAGAAATCTTTAACTACACCTCTCAGATTACCTAATGCAGAATGCCTCTGGTTGCCTTACTTCTGAGCACATCCCCAAGGGCATTCTAAAGATATATAGATATAGATATAAACACACACAAGTCTAAAGAGAACATACATCATGAAAATTTCAAAACCCTTCAGTCCAAAGCTCAATGACAATGGAAATTAATTTTCAGTTTTCAGTCATCAAAAATAGTTTTTCATCAACCTTATTATTCCCATCCTTAGAGCGGATTTATCCACCTATCATTTAGCTTGTCTGACATTACACCCCACAATGTTTAACACTCATTCCAAAAAAGGGTATTCTGCTAAAAATATAGAAAACAGCATGTTGTTACAAAACCATGCAGTTCTTTGTTTGAGTAATTATACTAGAGCCATAAACAACCATTCAACCTGGTTTACTGTAGAAAGTATAAAATGTTTTCATACTTAAAAAAATTAACCCTCTTTTAGACCACAAATGACCTAGACCCTATCCACCCTATTTAAAGCAGGCTCGTACTTTAAGCAATCATGGCTTTCCCCAGAGAATCCTGGGAACTGCAGTTTGTTAAGAGGGCTGAGGGTTATTAGGATACCCCATTCTCCTTGGAGAGCCACAATTCCCATAGTTCCCAGGCAAGAGGGACTGACGGTTAAACCACCCTGGGAATTGTAGCTCTCTGCAGGGAAATAGGGGTCCCCCAACAACTCTATTAACAAACTACAGTACCCAGAATTTTTTTTTGGGGGGGGGGTCATGACTGCCACTGCTTTAAATGTAAAGTTTGAGAATTCTGGCATGTTTTGGTCACAGTCGATAACTTGAAAGAGAAAAATCTGTAAGTAAACAAACTGGGTATATGTTTCTTGTGCAGGTTAAAGTACAATAATATAGTGTAGAGGCAAGTTTATTTTTGCATTGCTTCCATGAACTTTTAAAAGCCTTCTTTTTACATGAGCATTTTTACTACAGCGCAAACCCCACATATGAGCTGCCTTCAGGCTGAATTCATTACCTGTCTCTGAAACATAAACAACAGGGTCCTTCTTTAGAATCTTATCAGGTCTTGAAGACTGTTTTCTATCTGGCGGCTTCTTAGATTTCTTCACCACCTGGACCTCCTCTTCAGAATCTGCAATTTAGCACAGTGGTATCATTAAATTCTGCCATATCCATCTAAAGAGAAAAACAGCCAAAGAAGAGAACAGCGATTCTGCATTCACTTGAGATTCTGACTAAAGCTCCCTTCTAATTCAGAGACAAGGAGCCTCTGATCTGCAGGCCTAAGTAGGTCCAGCATAATCCCAACTTGCCCCACGAGGTCATTTCCCCAAATCACCTATGTGACGTTAGGTGCAGGCCAGGACGTGACTCCAAAGGAACAACTAAGAGCTTCAAGTGGGCTCCTAATGGTTGCTTTGCAAGTAGGTCCCACCAACTTGCCAAAATTGGCCCACAGGGGTCTGAGAAATAACATAGAGCAGGCCAGGTTTTGCATTTACATTGAAGCAAACTTGCACAATTTCTTCACCCACAGAAGAAATATGCTTCAGAAAACAGTAAAAAAGAAAAATCTAAGAAGCCTGTCACCTTTTTGTAGTGTTTTAACAGCCTTTAAGAACGATTCTACTCAGTCAGTTGATGGAGGTCCAGTCCACAAAAAAGCTGCACAAACTATTTGGAGTGAATTTGTTTATTTATTGTTTAAAAAATAAATCTGAGGGCATGTCAGAAGTTGGTAACAGGGCTGAGAAAGGCCTCTGCCCAAGGGCTTGGAGAGGCATTGTCAGTTAAACTGGGCAATACTGGGCTGAATGGGACAACAGCCAAATATAATGCTCAGCTGTTCATATAAAAGAGGCAGATATACAAGCCTAAGAATGCAATCCTAACCATGCCTACTCAGAAGTAAATCCTACAGAATTCAGTGGAGCTTATTCCTAGGTACAGTGAGGGGAGAAAGTATTTGATGCCCTGCTAAATTTGCCCAATTGCCCTCTGACGAAGAAATGACGAGTCCATAATTTTAATGGCAGGTTTATTGTAGCTGTGAGAGACCGAATAACAACAGGAAAAACCCCAGAAACCCAAAGACGAAAGTCAGAGATTGATGTGCATTATAATGAGTTGAATAAGTATCTGATCCCCTATCAAGCAGCCAGATGTTAGGCTACCTGGTATCTTCACTGTATGTAACGAGCTGAGATTAGAAGCACCTACTGTAAGGGAGAGGTCTTACCTGTAATCCCAGCTCGTTACAGTACCTGTACAAAAGACACCTGTTGACAGAAGCAATCAATCCAGCAGATTCCAAAGTACTTTAGCCACTATGACCAAGACCAAAGAGCTGTCCAAGGATTTTAGGGACAAGACTGTAGACCTGCACAAGGCTGGCCTGGGCTAGAAGACTATTGCCAAGGAGCTTGGTGAGAAGGTGACAACAGTTGGTGCAATAATTCGCAAATGGAAGAAACACAAAATAACTGTCAACCTCCCTCGGTCTGGGGCTCCATGCAAGATCTCATCTCGTGGAGTTGCAATGATCATGAGAACGGTGATGAAGCAGCCCAGAACTACACGGGGGGAACTTGTCAATGATCTCAGGGCAGCTGGGACCATAGTCACCATGAAAACAGTTGGTAACATACTATGCCGTGAAGGACTGAGATCTTGCAGAGCTCGCAAGGTCCCCTTCCTCAAGACAGCACGTGTACAGACCTGTCTGCAGTTTGCCAACGCACATTTGAATTACCCAGAGGAGAACTGGGTGAAAGTGTTGTGGTCAGATGAGACCAAAATTCAGCTCTTTGGCATCAACTCAACTCACTGTGTTTGGAGGAGGAGGAATGCTGCCTACGACCCCAAGAACACCATCTCCCCGTCAAACATGGAGGGGGGCATATTATACTTTCGGGGTGTTATTTTGCTAAGGGGACAGGACACCTTCACCACATCGAAGGGACGATGGACGGGACCATGTATCGTCAAATCTTGGGTGAGCACCTCCTTCCCTCAGCCAGGGCACTGAAAATGGGTCGAGGATGGGTATTCCAGCATGACAATGACCCAAAACACACAGCCAAGGCAACAAAGGAGTGGCTCAAGAAGCAACACATTAAGGTCCTGGAGTAGCCTAGCCAATCTCCAGATTAATCCCATCAAAAATCTGTGGAGGGAGCTGAAGGTTCGAGTAGCTACACATCAGCCTCGAAATCTCACTAACTTGGAGAGGATCTGCAAAGAGGAGTGGGACAAAATACCTCCTGAGATGTGTGCAAACCTGGTGGTCACCTACAAGAAACGTCTGACCTCTGTAACTGCCAACAAGGGTCTTGCCACCAAGTACTAAGTCATCTTTTGCAAAGGGATCAAATACTTATTTCACTCATTATAATGCACATCAATCTTTGACTTTTGTCTTCTGGGTTTCCGGAGGTTTTTCCTGTTGTTATTCTGTCTCTCACAGCTACAATAGACCAGTCCATAATTTTAATGGTAGGTTATTTCTTTGTCAGAAGGCAAACGGGCAAATTTAGCAGGGGATCAAATACTTTTCCCCCTCACTGTAAATGGGGTTAGGATTACAGCCCTAAACATTAACTCCATGCTATGGAATAGCAATATTCACCATGTGACCTAAGGGTCATAATAGATACTATCACTGTAGACACACATTTTGCCTAATTTATCACTGAAAATTATTTCATTTGGGAGACGACACCTGCCAAGATTTTGTAAGCCTCTCTCAAAAGAATCTCTAGCAGAGGAAAGTTATCTCAAAGATGGAAAAAACATAGCAACAGAAGTCATAAATGTTACCTGAATCATAGATTATCCTCTTTTTCTTGTTCACCTGTTTGTGCCCAGAATCCTCTCCACGAGATGAATTCTTCACCTAGTTGAAATGGTTCATTAGTTACTCATCCCAACATTAACTCTTGTTTACCAAGTACTACCTTAAGAGAGACAGCCCAATAAAGTTCATTGTTGGATCAAGGGACTGTCACATACACTGACAAATTAAAAACAAAAAATGACATATGAGATGGTCTCTGGATTCTGGAGTGATTTATTTTTTTTTAATGAAGGGCGATTCAAACAATCATTGTCAAAGCCACAGGTAAACTAAGAACAGGAACACTAGCAAAGAAGTAAAGATAAAAGCATATGACAAAGATGTAACAGGCATATATATCTGAACAGCATATACGCACCTTGATTTCCTTTAATTTTGACTTTTCACCTGAAGCCCCCTCCTTATTTGGGGGTTTCTCATTCTTTCTGGTAGTGTCACATTCTTGTTTATTTCTAGGAATTACTGCTCCAAAGAATTTCCGGATATCCTAATAAAAGTGAAACAGTTAAAAGGGTAAGGTATAATTTAAGGATCTGTCATCTTCAAAAATTTCAGGGTACAAGTCTGGATTTGCCAACCAAGATTTTAAAAGGAGAAGTCAGATAACACAGTGTTTAAAATAAGATTATATTTTTAAAAAAATATATTAAAAAGCCTATCAAGGTGGCACATGTGAAATCTGAGTAAGAATGCCACTGAGTAAATGGAACATTGTTGGACTTTGTCCCATATTCAAATCCCTGAATGGCCCAGAAGCCAGTGGTAACTTGAGCAGCACCCCGACTCACATGGCTGTTGTAAATATGACATTACAGAGGTTACAGTGAGCCTTCTTTTTTTACAACAAACCTGTTAACTAAATGAAACATAGTCTTATAGAGACCTAGTTGTCCAAAACATTGTGACTCAAATTTATGTTTGTGAATTCAATAATTTTCTAAAGCAAGAAGGAACATGTGGCGCTCTAGATACTGTATTATTAACTCCTTGCCCCAATCAACATAGTTAATGGTCAAACATTATGGGAGTTGGTAGTCCAGCAACACATGGTGGCCCAAAGATTCTCCAGTCCTGCCTTAAAGAGTGCCAGACTCATAATGTAGCGAGAAAAGTTGGAAAGCCTTTACCTGCAATGTTTTACATTTACATACCGAGGGCACCCTGTATAATCTGGGACTTTGCACAGTTACTCAGAAGTTAATTCCCACTGGGTCCAATAGAACTTGCTCCTAAATGCATGTCTAATTGAAGACCTAATCTGAACCACTTTTACAAGCACGGACTACAGGTTGGTGTCCTTGCCCTATCCCTCTCAACCCAGGGCGGTATCAGGTAATTGCTGCTAATCTGTGATTAGAAAATTGCTTCCTGAACAGCTGATGGCAAGATGCTACATGAGTCATTTTACTCAGACTGCACCTGGGAGATGCACACTTTTTTCAAGCTAACATCCAAAGAGCAACAACTGTTCATTCTAAACTTAAAGATAAATGCATTCTAACTTTCAAAAGATACTTGTAACTGTTTCTAGACTTTTCAGCCACAAAGAGGAGTATATTTTACCCAAATGAAACTGATAAATCAGATAAGATGCCAGGGAAGAAACTATCTAAAAACAAAATCTGTCTGTTGAACTTGATGGAAAGCAGCTGCTCTCACCAAAACCACCTTTGTACCAACCAGTTTTAAAAGTAGCGTAAACAGGAAGATAAGGCACTGAAGCATTTCTCTACATATGTTGAAGGGCTGCTGTAGGCAAAATTCAACCCTCTCACACTGATGAGGAAGTTTTTCAACAGCAAAAATAAGCAGCTCTGACCTAAAGGCTCCTATTCCTAATTTAATCCCAACAAGAAACCCCCAAAACCTTAGATTATGAAATTTAAGCCTCTGTGGATGTCTCTTTAACAGCAACTTCAAATACAGAAATTTGCAGGTGGAACACAGAGGTGTTATTAAGGCATCAGAACAAGCCTGAGTCACACCTGCATGCACTGGTGTGAAAGTTCACAAACGTTAAGGGAAGAATGGCTGGGGACATCTTTTAAAACTGCCTTTTAAGTTGATGCGATACATTTTAGAAAACTAATTCAGTTATATGACACTATTCGAAAGCTGTCAACTACTAAGAAGCCATGTGGGAATAGACCATCACTTTAATTATTTTAATTTTATTTAATGCTCAGGGTGGGTTATAGCATTAAAAATTGCCAAAAAGGTATCCAAGTTGTGCAACAATACATTCACTTTCACAGGATACATAACAGCAGCATCTAGCATACAGGTAACTCACCCAGATGCCCACATACATACCAAAAGCTGTGCTGCCAGGACCACAGAAATAACTGTCAGGCAGATGTGGCTGTACCTAAAGATAGCCCAGGTTATACAAATTGCCATCTTCAGAGAAGATGCAAAGTGGGGGCGCAGCATCACTTGACACATAGTTTAGATATGTAAAGTGTCAAAAGAATGTTTGAAAACATGTGTATCGTACAGACAAAATAGTCAAGGAGTCCCAACGTACACTGTGGCTCCCTATTGAGGCTATACTCTGTGACAAGCCTGAATTTTGCTGCTGTGTTATGTGTGGAAAACCCCTGAGCATGCAGCTGAAGCGAGCTGCGAACTCAAGTAATCAGTCTGCTTTGGAATAAACAACTCTTTACAGAAAACTGTGGTTCAGTGGCAGAGCATCTGCTACGGATGCAGAAAGTCCCAAGTTCAATTTTGTGTTGGAAGATACCTCGGTCTGAAACGCTCAGGAACTGCTGTCAGCTTCCTATGACCCTACGTTTGTTAAGGTCTGGAACATGATGTTCCAAACATCTCACCAAAAAGGAGAAGGGGAGGGAAGAATGAGAGACAAGGGTTCAAGTTGTAAACCTCCCGTGATCATTGGATGAAGGGGTGGTAGATAACAACAACAACCCCTCTTCCAATGGCAGAATAGGACACGTTGAACTTTTCCAAAAATGAGGGGTTCTAAAAAGTCGTAACATGACTTAGGAACACAAAATCTATTTTGATAAAATTAATGTAATTTAGTATTGCTTGGTAAGTAAAATTGCATAGAAATAATTCCCTGTTTAGGGAAGTTTTTAATGTTTGATGTTTTATCATGTTTTTAATATTCTGTTGGGAGTCGCCCAGAGTGGCTGGGGAAACCCAGCCAAATGGGTGGGGTATAAATAATAATAAATAATAAATGATTGCAAAGTACCGTACTTGCATATACGTGTGTGGACATATACACGCCCTATTTAGCATTACCTGGCATTTTCAGGAGGCAAAATTAAAAGCCTTCGCTTCTCCAAAAGCAGTTTCTGTGCTTCTTCCTCAAGCGTACTTACCGACCTAAATGTTGTCCCATCGCAAAAACAACAGCGTGTTTGAATTCCTCACACACACACACCCCGAATTTTTTTTCTTAAGCCTCCCTCTCTGAAGAAATTTGCAATAATTAAGTCCCACCTCCCCCCCAGTCACTCCCTAATAGCAGAATAAGGTTTGGGGAGGGGAGGGGGCATTGGGGTTGGAGAATAGGGCTTAGGCGAGCGAGGGAAAAGAGGTTATTTCGTAGCAATCCCTCGCATGCACCGCCTCAACAAGTTTCTCGCCCTCATGGAGCACAAGGAGGAGTCCCACCCGCGACCTCCCGCCTCGGCCCCCCGAGAGGTTTCCTCTCAGAAGGGCCGGGCCCCGGCCGCCCCTCCGCTCGCGCTCACCATGCCTACGCCCGGCGCCGACTGCCGAACCGCCTCCCGCGACGTCGGTTTATGCCGTTGGCGGCGGGCCAACCGACCCGCGCTCCATCCCCCGCCGCCAGCTTCGCGCCAATGCGCGAACGCGGGGTCCGAGTGCGCAGGCGCGCGCGGGGTGATGGCGTCACGGCCGGAGCGGGAGGAGGAGGAGGAGGAGGAGCGCGGGAGAGGGGAGAGGCGCTCGCCAGAGTAGATTCCCGCTCAAATGGGGCGCGGCGGGTCCAAGCGAACGCGCGCTGACGAAGCTCCCTTGGATCCAGACTTCGCTCCCCGCCCTCAGAGTAGCAAAAGTCTGGATTTAAGATTTAAGCGTGTACTTTGTTAGCTCTGAAATCAGCGCTTCGTTTTGGCTGGATCTTGCCCACGCGCGTGTCTCTGTGTACACATAGAATCATCAGAGTCGGATGGGTCCCTGTGGATCATCTAGCTCAACCCCCTGCAATGCAGGAATCTCAGCTAGGTTATTAAATAGCAGGTGCCCCCCCCCCACCTCTGCTGAAAATCCATCCAAGGATGGAGAGTCGTGCCACCTCTCTGGGAGACACACACACACAATCGGGTAGCTTTTCAAAAGTTACGCCTCTGTGTTTATGCTCAATAAGTGTCTAACAGTTATCATAGCATGCATATCTGGTTTCCCAGCTGCGAAGACACCCAGACACAGACAAGGCAGCCCCAAGGACAAAGTCAGGGCCGTCTTACCCATAAATGCTAGTGGTGCAGGGCGCCAGGGTGCCAAGTTCCGGAGGGCACCAGGCAAGAGTCCGGAGAACACGGAACGAGCGCACTGAGTGAGCGAGGGTGCATGCACCGCTCCCGCCAAGCATCGGCTTGGTTGTTTTCCCTTTTAGCCTGCAGGCACCGAATTCTGCGGGGTGTCAGAAGGCTAAAAGGGAAAAAACCGAGACAACACTCAGCGGGAGTGGCGCACATGCACTCGCTCGGCACAGGCCCACTCGCTCGGTGTGCTCGCTTGCCCAACGGGTTGAAGCACAGGCGTGCGCGGCACCCCTCCTGCTAGCCATCTTCATCTTCGAGCCGGGCATCAGGATCAGGCGCCACGGATTTCCACGGGGATGGCTCCCTCGGCCCACTTGCTGCCCTTGCCCGCCTCTGCCTCTTCCCTGCCAGAGCCGCCCTCCAGCCACTGCCCGCCTCCTCCAGCCCTGCAAAGCTGGGCACATCGCCGGCAGCGCCGTCCTGTCCCAAGAGGTTTCCTCCGCTGCTGCTGGTGTTCCCTCCCTTAAAAAAGGGTTGACAACTCTGGGAAACGGGGGAGGTGGTTTTTGCACCACAACGCCGGATATGCTTAAGACGGCCCTGGACAAAGTACTGCCTGGGTTCTTTTATTATCCTATCATTCCGTTTCCTGTCTTTGAAAATGATTCACTAGTTAGGACATCAAGAATCATCATTCAGCAGTTTGAATATTCAGATACTGTATTCCATTTTTGAATATTCAGACATAGATTATTGAAAATGAGCAGGTCCATAAAGAACTGAATTAAACGCTCATAGATCTCACGTTTTGCACTCCTGGCTTAGCAAAATACTCTCAATCGTTTAATGGATTAAAACAGACAGTTGAGTATGATTGTTTGGAAAAAAAGAAAAGGAAAAGTGATGTTTTTATTGTTGGTTACTTTATTGTATTTTATTGGTGTATCTTTGTATACTGCTCTGAGAGCCTTGGCTGATGATACGCTAATATATATTCTAAATAAGTATATAAATCATAAACCAAAGGTCACATCCCAAGGAACTCCTTAATGGCTTAGTAAGGTATGTTGGCATTTTTGTTTGGAAGTGAGTTGGGATGCCTTACCACTTTTCAGGCCAACCTAAAACCATCCCACTTTTTATCAGCGGATATAACTGTCTAGCCTAACCATCCGACTTCAAGTATAGTAGCTAAGATAAGGGTTTAAAACTACGTTTCATCTGCAGTATCATGCCATTTTAAGCAGTCATGATTTCCCCCCAAAGAATCCTGGGAGTTGTAGTTTGTTAAAGGAACTGAGACTTGTTAGGAGACCCCTATTCACCTCACAAACTTGCAGTTCCCAGGGAAGAGGGACATACTGTTAAATCACTCTGGACATTGTAGCTCCGAGAGGGGAATAGGGGCTTTCTAACTTTCAGAACCCTTAACAAACTACATTTCCCAGGATTCTATGGCAAAAGCTTTAAATGTGTAGTGCAGATGGAGCCAGCTGCAATGTATAAAGCACCAGGATGCACAGGTGCCTTAAATAATAGTCTGTCATACAAAGTTTAAGGGGGACACAAATCTTAAACAAAACAGACCAGCAACAGAAAACGCTGAACCCCCAGATACAGCTAAGTTCAGTGACACTTTGTGGCTAAACTCATATAATGACACTGTCCACAAAAAGGCTTTGCGTGCTTCCAGACATGCTATTTTCAGGTGGGATTTAATCACATACCGGCAAATTCAGGTTGCACAATTAAAGTTGATTTAATGCTCTTGCACAGCAAGCCTGCTTCTCCAAAAGATCAGCCTTTTTGCAATAAGGAGAGTGGCAAGCAAAATGCACTGCAAAGTCTGGGATAATGCTTGACTCATTGTCAAATAACCCGCCTCGCCCCCGAATAAATCAGCATGAAGCTTCCGTAAATAAGCCATCTGGAATCGACTTCTGAATAGTAGGCACAAACAAAAGAGGAAGTCTTGTGCCTTCATGCCATGCCTAGAAGCTTTGTAGAATCTGCATCTGGTTGTTATGGAAAATGGAATACAGGATCAGAGGGACTTTGGGACAAATTCAGCAGAGCTCTTCATCAACGCTTGCATCAACGTGCATATTCACTTGAGCTAAGATGCATTCACACTGCTTCAAATGTTGAATTTCTAGAGACCTGAGGCAGTTTTGTTTTGTGGCTAGCTACCCTAGCATGCACTAACATTTTTAAAGGCACCCCAGAAGAAAATGTAGGGACGGTAATTCACCAGCAAGTGGAACTGTATCTAGTAAATGGTGACAGCTGGAACATGTTAGACCTGGTCTTTTTGCTAAGATCAAGCGTAGAAGTTGCAGGCTTGCAATGAGCCCCCGTGCATTTTAGTCTGGAATTAAAGCGCTGGCAGGTTAAGAAAGAGGAAATGAGTATATACCACAACAGAACTTTGCATATCAAGGTCCTAGAATTCCACTCAACAACCAACTAACTGAACAACAATGGTGAAAAAAATATGGGAAGTAAAGGGGGAAAGTTATGGCACATAGTTTGGCTCCCCTTAATCTCATATTTGGAGTCCTTGTCAACTGATAGTTATGTTCCAGCCACGTATAAAAGTGTCTATTTAATCTAATTGTAAATACAGTATATTGCTTTTTTATTCCTCTTTTTTTATTGACCAGTTCCTATATCATTTTGTTTTTTAAAAAAAATCCCTGCTGAGAAATACGTTATTGCTGGGAACAATATTCTTATTCTTGTATATGTTCGTTTCCTTCATATAAGGGATGCTAATGAAGATAGGGAAGGAAATGCTGGTAAGATTTGTGATGCCTGTTTCATGCTAAATCCTCCTAACTGCAGCCGTGCACAGAATTTACACACTCAATGATGTTTCTAAGACAAGAGCATGTAAAACCACCTGTATGGTTATTGCCTTTCTATTTGGTTTGATCTCTATTTGATATCTGTAAAGTATCATCAAGAACAATCCTACAAAATCCCTTATTTACAAGCAGGGTCACTGTGATTAATAACATTTCTAATCCAGCCTTCATTATTGTTATTTATTAAATTTGTATACCGCTCATCCTCCATAGATCTCAAGGCGGTTCACAAGATAAAATCACAATATACAAACCACAAAACACATAATAAAAAATCAGAGCAACAATCGTCTAGCCATGGTGAGCAACCTGCTGCTCTAGAATTCTGTGTTAGCTGAATTCATACCACAGGATCCCAGGACTTTATACTAAAATCATACAAAATACCTGAAATACTGTTATGTACTGAGCTTGGTTGCTAAAACAATAGGCAAGTAGGATCCTAGAAGGCAGCAACCTGACTGGTCTGCAGGAGCTGACCAATCCGGCTCCAGGAGGAAGTGAATCAGCCAATCACACAGGACCCATTGTGTAAATAATGTACAGTGGTACCTTGGGTTACAGATGCTTCAGGTTACAGACTCCTCTAACCCAGAAATAGTACCTCGGGTTAAGAACTTTGCTTCAGGATAAGAACAGAAATTGTGCGGTGGCGGCGGGGCAGCAGGAGACCCCATTAGCTAAAGTGGTATCTCAGGTTAAGAACAGTTTCAGGTTAAGAATGGACCTCCAGAACGAATTAAGTTCTTAACCCGAGGTACCACTGTATTGTATATATAGTCAGAGGTTTTGGGGGAAAGCACTCTCACTGTTTACCATGAGCTGAAATAAAGAGCATGAAATCAACACTCAACTCCGAGTATATTTCAAATACAGTACATTAAAACCAGTAAGCAGAAGCATAAAACCAAATACCAGTACTTTATCAAAACCTTCTTAACTACAACTACACTCCTCCTCTGCCTAAAGAAAGATGTCTTGAGATGTCAATGAAGACGACAACCATATTTTCACATGGCAGGTCCATGGCAGAGAAGACCCAATCTCAGATCATTGCATAATACATAATAGCTGATGGGACATGAGCAGGGTCTCACCCTCTGTAGATTATAAGGTTTGAACTAGCAGATGAGGGAGCCAGTGTGGTGTAGTGGTTAAGAGCGGTAGACTCGTAATCTGGTGAACCGGGTTCGCGTCTCTGCTCTTCCACATGCAGCTGCTGGGTGACCTTGGGCTGGTCACACTTCTTTGAAGTCTCTCAGCCTCACTCACCTCACAGAGTGTTTGTTGTGGGGGAGGAAGGGAAAGGAGAATGTTAGCCACTTTGAGACTCCTTCGGGTAGTGATAAAGCGGGATATCAAATCCAAACTACTCTTCTTCTTCTTCTTCTTCTTCTTCTTCTTCTTCTTCTTCTTCTTCTTTCTTCGGATATTTGGGTCCTATGTCATAGAATCATACAACTGTAGATTTGGTGGGGTCTAATCATGAAATAATATAGCAGTACTACTATTATTTTCCTTGTTCCGGACCCTATATTTCTATTGATGCAGCCTAGAATAGCATTAGCCTTTTTTTGCTGCTGCATCACTTTGCTTGTAGTCTACTAGAACCCCTAGATTCTTTTCACATGTATTCTGTCAAGCCAGGTGTCCAACATCCTATATTTGAGAAACGTTGAAGGGTATGCAGAGCTCTTACCTATAAAAGCTCATGCTGCCATAAACTTGCTAGCCTTTCACAAATCCTCATGTAGCTGCAGGGGCTTCTGAAGACAATTCTGGTTGGCTTTTCCTCCTATTAATTACCGTTTATTTGATTAAACAGTGGCAGCATGTTTTCTGCATGTGGGTAATTGTGTCAAAAAGGCAATTTGTCTCCATTCCCTTTAAATATAATTGGATCAGCTGCTAGCATCCTCTGACAGACAGCTGCCAAGACTGCCGTTTCAGACATTCAGAACAACTAGGCATTGATGGAGAGAAGCCTTCGTGATTCGAACCTCTTTTTTTCCTGAGGCAAAAAAAGAATTTCCCTAAGGTGTCCTAGTGGTCATGAGAAGGTGATCTCCCTGGGATTATGTTGCTTTTTCGTGACCCATCCTAAGTCTCGCAATGCCAAGCTAATCATTAACAGGGTTTTTACAGTCACAAGCTTGCTTTTTCCCCCTGCTGAAGCTTTGATAAGACACTCCAGCAGTTTTGTGGCAAATGAAGACAAGCTATGCAGCAGGGATCCCAGGGAATGGATGCATTTCCAGGCGCCGCCAAAAAGAAAATGTGACTTTTAGCGTACACTCCAAAAAGGCGCAATGTTTATGCAGCAGCTGAAAGGATCCCTAGCCTTGTGGACGTTCATTTTTATACCGACAGTTGCTGGGCTTGACAACGATGGAAGATCGGTCTGGGGGAAAGAGTCCAGTTCAAGTTTTGTGAATGAAACCCAGATGTTTCTGCAGGACACATTCCCCAAAAAGTTCTTCTGGGGTGTGGGGACCAGCGCTTTTCAGGTGGAGGGTGCCCAAAGGAAAGATGGAAGGGGACCGTCGATATGGGAAGAGTTCACCCGTTCAGAGCTGAGAGCTGGTTCCAGGACAGATGACTCCAGTGACAGCTACATTTTTTGGCAGAAAGATTTAGCAGCTCTGGAATTTTTGGGAGTTTCTTCTTACCACTTTTCAATTTCATGGCCACGGCTCTTCCCCACCGGGACGGTGACAGCTGTCAATGAAAAGGGACTTCAATACTACAACAGTCTCCTAGATGCTCTGGTTCAGAGGCATATTGAGCCTGTGGTCACCCTTTACCACTGGGATTTGCCCTGGATTCTGTACGAGAGATATGGAGGGTGGAAAAACGAATCCCTAATCGGTGTTTTCGATGACTACGCGACTTTTTGCTTCCAAGCTTTTGGCGATCGAGTCAAGTACTGGATTACGATCCACAATCCTTATCTAGTTGCTTGGCACGGGTATGGCACAGGGATCCATGCACCCGGAGAGAAGGAAGAAAGCGCTGTCCCTCTGGTAGGACATAATCTGATCAAGGTACAGTACAGAGAGATTTCACTGTCACAGATTTAAATTTCACTGCCACTGGAGAGCCAGTATAATATTTATACGATGACTGCAAAGCTGAGAGTAATGCTTGTGATAATCAGTATTCTTGTTGCAGGCTAAAAGCCTGGGCAGAAACAAACGTGCTGCCCCTTGTCTTTGTCCATGTAATGATTTCAACACTTGTTTTATTAAAAGTAAAAATAAGCAGCAAATTTGGCCATGTTCCAGTTGTGGATCTTGAAGCTGCCTTAGATCACAGTTGTTTGACTGACAGCTAGGGTCTTTCCCATTGCATTTCACCCTATCCTTTTTGATTGGAGATGTCGGAAGTTGAACCATGTTGCCAACCGCTGAGCTCTGGTCCCCCATAAATTAAGGACTTACTGGGCTGTAGCCAATGCCAGTCCTACTCAGAGAAGACCCATTGAAGTTATTGGATATATATGACTAAATTTGGGCCCATTAATTTCAGTGGGTCTGCTGCTCTGAGATGAATTTAGTTGGATATGACCCTTTAAGTACTGTAAATTTCAGTGAGGAAGTCAAGCATGTGTCTCTTAATCTGCAGTCCCTGACTAGGGGACCAGCCTAATCAAATTCAGTTGGTGTTACGTTTTGAGCAATGCTTATTCCCAGTATATTCCCATTATGCACAGTATATTCCCATTCAAATCAAAATATGTTTACAGCACTTGAAGTCTGGTTGGATTGTAGCCTTAATAACAGCTTGTCTGCCAAAAAAAAAAAAACCCTTTCCCTTCCTTTCATGCTTGTTTGCCTTGGACCATAAGGATAACCTGCATATGCTGATATTATCTGATCGCCCTAAAAGAAACACATATTAAATAGTCCTAAATCTGACAAATTGTAGCTTGATGAAGCAATCAAACATAGAGAATAATTAAATAATGCAGCTGAACCTGATACAATCACACCGCAAATAGTAGCCACTATACTGAACAAACAATGTTACCAAGTATTTTTTAATTGTCTGAAGAGAAATATCCTTTATGTCAATATTGAAGACCTGAAGAATGACGTCAAGCCAATTCTGTTTTCAGCTGTTTATTAGAATTGAGCTAGGGTAGCTACCCCTCCCTTAGCTGAATTATATATCCAACAGAAGTTAGCTTCTTTCTGTTGACTTAGTTATCGTTTAGTGAAATCAGAGCTCTTATTCCAACTGCAGATTATGCCCTAAAATTTGTACACAGAAATACTCTGCATAATTTGGGGGAGGGGGTATTAGAAGAAAAGTACAGCCCCCACCACAACTGCATCATTTGAGAAAAGCATCCCTTGACAGAACGGCCGAAATAATAGCCATTGGTCTTTCTTGTGGTAACTTAGGGCTTGTCTACAATTCCACACACACAATCATTTTGCAATTCAGCCCACAAAAAGTAACTAGGTTAGCCGTTGCAAACTTGGTGCCTTCCAGGGGTTTTGGACTACAATTTCCATTAGCCCTAGCAAAAAGGGTTCCTAAAATCTGAGTTCCCTTGAAGTGATTCTTTCATAAGTGGCTATTGCCAAACCTGTCTTAGACATTTTCCTAGACAGAGGCTCAACAATGAGTGAAGGCAAGGGGAGGAGTTTGGAGAGGGTTGGTCCATACCTGCACGTTGCAACATCACATGATGACCTGATTGAATAACTGAGCATCACAAACCAAACACAGCCAGAACATCCCCCTCTCCAATATTTTTATCGGTTTTCAGGCATTTCACATTTTTACTTCTTTTCTTGTAAATTTTATTATTTTTCACCCTAGCTCTGCTGTGATATTCATAAACTAATATCATGGCGTAATCATCAGGACCGTAAGCAAGGTTAAAGTAAAATGACAATTGAATAAGATATATCCTATCCATAAACACTGAAATTATATTCTGACATTCTCATGATAGCCAAACATTCTTATTTGCTTCTGGAATCAATACATTTAATTTATTATTGTTAGCATATTGTATAAAATTCCACCACACTTCACAAAAATCCAAAGGTTGCACTTTGCCTTGAATTAATTTTAAACTAAATATTTTTCCCCCTGAAATTGCAATGTTCCACACATTTAAACATAGAATGTTAATGTCACCTTGTTCTGTTCAACTGTAAGTCATCAGGTGGTGGTCCGATATGTGTGGAGCAACTCTCAGGTACACTGGGAGTGAGTGAGTGAGTGAGTGTTTAAGGAGAGAAAAAGCAGCACATGATATAGTAGAATGGAAAGGAGGAAATCAGCCAAATTCTGGATGCCACCACCAAATTCTGGATGCAGTAGATGTTCTTAGGAGCTGACCATTTGGCACTTGATTTTGGACTAACGCACTGAGTTACAAGTCCCATTTATCCAGCAGAAAGCAAGGCCTTGAAATGTTGTCCAGTGATCTACTAAAACAAGCATGAAAAGGAGCCGATCCAATATAGTGTTTAAATATCTGAATCAGTAGGAAGTTCAGGTTCAGCCCAGCCTTTTTAGGTTGAGTGTCACTTGGAGAGAAAGAGTGGATATATTACGTGGATAGCGTCATTATATCGTTTAGTCACTAGATGGCACTGGACTTTGTTTTCTGTATCTATTCTGCTGTTGCGTGTGATACAGAAAGTTATTGTCCATCTTCCTGACTGGTACGCCCTTTAAGCCTTCCATGATACTTACAACAGGTTTTGCTGCTGACTTCCTTTTTTAAAATCTGATTTACACTTTTGCTCTCAAAACAAAAGAAGTGCAGGTGCCAGGTTTTCCTCCATTTGGCAGAAATTAAAGAACACGATGTGCTCTATTTTTATAGCAAACTCTCATGTTTTGACCTCCGTTTGGAGTCAGTTGGTGGGGTTCCCTCCACCTGTCAACAAAGGCAGATAAGAATTGTTTCACCAACATAAGTTGAATGAGTCAGCTGGACTTTTCCCTGTCTTACTTTCTTTCAGGGCAAGGTAGGAACATAAGAAACTGCCTTATTGCAAGTCAGACCAATAGTGGCTGCTCACAATTTCAGGCAGGAGTCGTACCCCAGAGATTCCAGAGATCCAACCAAGGACCTTCTACTACTGAGCCACATTCTGCTAATAATTGTATTAGGAATACTCATTTTGTTTAACCAGGAAAGAGAGACGCTGAATGTGAGATCGTGAATGTCCCTGGGTTAAAATGGATGTTCATAGGAGCTGTGCAAAAATAATAAGATAAAGGAATCTTTACTTTATTCAAGTATAGGCCCTAAAATCAAGGAATGATTTACCTCTAATTTGTCACAAGATATGCAAGAACCCCATAGAGAAAACACAAGGATTATGATGCCCATTGTACTACTGATATCGTGCCCTTCCCAGACAGTTGTTAACTAACCATTTGTCACAAAGTAATAAACTTGGAGACATACATGTTGCTAGCAGTGGAAGCCAGTCAATTAATGATTGCAGTCTCTTCTCTTATGGAATGTTATTCTCTCCATAAGAAACATGGTGGGCATCTCCAGGTAATAATAATAATAATAATAATAATAATAATAACAATAATAATAATATATTACTTTTACCCCGCCCATCTGGCTGGGTTTCCCCAGCTACTCTGGGCGGCTCCCAACAGAATATTAAAAACACAATAAAACATCAAGCATTAAAAACTTCCCTAAACAAGGCTGCCTTCAGATGTCTTCTAAAAGTCAGGTAGTTATTATTTCCTTGACATCTGATAGGGCATTCCAAAGGGCGGACACCACTACCGAGAAGGCCCTCTGCCTGGTTCCCTGTAACCTCGCTTCTCGCAGGGAGGGAACCGCTAGAAGGCCCTCGGAGCTGGACCTCAATGTCCGGGCTGAACGATGGGGGTGAAGATCCTCCTTCAGGTATACTGGGCCGAGGCCATTTAGGGCTTTAAAGGTCAGCACCAACACTTTGAATTGTGCTCGGAAACGTACTGGGAGCCTATGTAGGTCTTTCAGGACTGGTGTTATATGGTCCTGGTGGCCACTCCCAGTCCCCAGTCTAGCTGGATTAATTGTAGTTTCTGAGTCCCCTTCAAAGGTAGTCCCTTGTAGAGCGCATTGCAGTAGTCCAAGCAGGAGATAACTAGAGCATGCAGCACTCTGGCGAAGAAGAAGAAGAAGAGTTTGGATTTGATATCCCGCCTTTCACTCCCCTTCAGGAGTCTCAAAGCGGCTAACAATCTCCTTTCCCTTCCTCCCCCACAACACACACTCTGTGAGGTGAGTGGGGCTGAGAGACTTCAAAGAAGTGTGACTGGCCCAAGGTCACCCAGCAGCTGCATGTGGAGGAGCTGAGACACGAACCCAGTTCCCCAGATTACGTGACTACCGCTCTTAACCACTACACCACACTGGCGAGACAGTCTGCTGGCAAGGAGGGTCTCAGCCTGTGTACTAGCTGGAGCTGGTAGACACAGATTTGACCTGTGCCTCCATGGACAGCTGTGAGTCCAAAATGACTCCCAGGCTACACACCTGGTCCTTCAGGGGAACAGTTACCCCATTCAGGACCAGGGAGTCCTCCACACCTGCCTGCCTCCTGTCCCCCAAAATCAGTACTTACGTCTTGTCAGGATTCAATCTCAATCTGTTAGCTGCCATCAATCCTCCAACCACCTCCAGACCCTCACACAGGTCCTTCACCGCCTTCACTGGTTCTGATTTAAAAGACAGGTAGAGCTGGGTATCATCCGCATACTGATGAACACCCAGCCCAAATCCCTGTTTGAAAGCTGCAAGCTGACCTTCCCTGAACATTCTTCAGTGTCACAGTGGACCTACTAAGGCAGAGGTGTCATGACCCTCTGGTGGCCTTCAGCTTCAGAGCTCAGGTGTCACCAAGGGTCAGGGCAACCTACAACAAAAGAGTTCAAGGCTGAGGATTGCTTTGAAATGACACATTACATTAAATAATTTGGAGTGTTTCTGTTAAGCCTCAGTTCCAGACAGCTAGCCATGTTCCTTTCCAGGATACTCCATTTGCACCCCAATTTTTCATTTCTCCTTCCAACAGATGCTCTGTCCTCTGTTGCTCACTGGGCACACTCTCAGCCCTCACTGAAATATTTTGGGTTTCCCCCTGCCCTTTCAGTTTATTTTCCTACAGATTTTTTTCTCCAAAACCAGTCCTACTGATACTTCCTTTTGTGAGTGGATGGCACAGTTTTGGCTACATAAGGATCAGGACTCAAATAATGACTTTGCTGTTAGTGTAGAGAACTGAGGCTACACTGACTTGGGTTGGGCAGAAGCTGTGTTGAATTCAATGAGATTTTCAAGCAAGTAAACATGTATAGGATTAGGCTATAAGAATTTCCTTGGTGTCATATGCTTTTTGATGGAAAACCACAGACGGATCGTGGCATTTGCTGTTCATGGTAAGTAGTGCATAATCTGAGTAAAAGTGTTTCTGAAGAGATACATTGTGGTTGGAATTCAAATTTAAACCATGCTTGCTATTGAGAAAAGAGAATTGAAGTGGGGTGAAGGAAGGCTAGATTAATCAGCAGTAGGCTAAGCAAGTTGTTTAGCTTCTCTCTTTTTTTGGAAAATCTTCAAAAAAATAAATAAAAACGAAGTGTTTGAGCTATTTTTAAGGAAATTCACCAAAATTTAGACTTCCAACATGGAATGTCTGGATTTTCCCAGACATTAAATCAATTTCCGCCCAGACACTGTTTCCAACTGTTGTATTCTAGCTATGTCTGGGAAATTTCGGACATACGGCAACCCTTATAGAGTTGGAAGAGACCCTGAGGATGGTTTCGTCCAACCTGAATACGCAGCTGTCCCATACAGGCATCAAACCTGCAACCTTGGCAGTGTCAGCATCATGCTCTAATCAGCTGAGCTATCCTGACATATAAATTTAACATTCAGTCACAAATTTGACTGGGGGCATGATGATAGAAGTGTAAGTTTTATTTTGTCTCAACCACCGGAGGTCCGTTCTTAACCTGAAACTGTTCTTAACCTGAAGCACCACTTTAGCTAATGGGGCCTCCTGCTGCTGCAGCGACGCCGGAGCACGATTTCTGTTCTCATCCTGAAGCAAAGTTATTAACCTGAGGTACTATTTCTGGGTTAGCGGAGTCTGTAACCTGAAGCGTATGTAACCTGAAGCGTATGTAACCCGAGGTACCACTGTAAGGCTGAAATGAATTTGGAGAAGGACCCCAATCCAAAGGACTGTGGACAGAAAGAAAATAGCCACTCACGCTGGTCAGCAAATGTACGTCATATGATAACTTGAAAGCACCTGTGAAACACATTTCCCCCTCAAAGAATTCTGGGCACTGTAGTTTGTTAAGCATGGCTGGGAATTATAACTCTGTGAGGGGAGAACTAAAGTGCCCAGAATTCTCTGTGGGAAAGAATGTGTTTTGAATGTGCTTTGAAAATGTAATATATACACAGCCTTGAATGGGAGCTTCTGCAAGAGTCTGCATAGATAAGATTCTGCCGCTCTGGTCCTGTTTCCATTTGTGCAAGAGTTTGCTCAGGGTGTTGTTCAGGTAGCAGAACATAGCGGCTTTAGTTTCACTTATCTCAACACTGCACATTTAGAGACATTCGAATTTGGAGTTTGCAAAGGATTTAGGCCCTTTTCACCATGTGAGCCAGACTATGTGTTTTCTGTCTATCAGGGCATGGTAACTGGGCGCTCGGTTAGTAAAATGCCATGCACCTGTCCAAATCAAAAGTTGTGGCTGGGTCAGGGAGCAGATTGCATTCCAGATTACAAAATAAAATAAATGCAGAATGTACCTTGGTTCTCCCCCCACCCCAATGAGTTCCTATTTACTATAGAATTATAGATAAAATCTTGGTTATCTAGTAACCACTGAAATTGCTGGTAGCTGGCAACCTAATCTTGGGTATCTAGTCGGCATAAGACCTTTGATACTTGGAAAGGTATTGTCACTCCTGAGTTGGTCCTTGGCTTAATTAGGATGAAAGATGGAGCTTGGTTAACTAGCGCAATATCACTCGATCCCCTAGTTTCTCTTGCACAATAAGGAAGGTGGTTGAAGATAATCTTTTGCCCAAGGTCTAGATGCTATCTGTGTTTGGTCAACACTAATTAACTGTCACATAGCATCTTCCAAACAAAAAGGTTTGGACTTATTTCCAAATGGTAAAATGTAATCTATAATATATTTTAAGTGTACCTCTGTCACATCTTTCAGTTATATAAAAAAGCATGGCATTTCTTTTTGCTACACCCCCAGCCCTGTTGCAGACACTCCAAGTGTCCCTATTTTCCAGGATTTCCCTGATTTACAGAAGCCGTCCTGGTTTCTGATTTGATCCTGGAATGTCTCACTTTTTCTTAAAGGTAAAGGGACTTGTTACG